ACAGCGTTTCGATTTCGATTAATCGATATACATTATTTCCCCCAGCAATGAATAGCAATCAAATATCCTACGATACATAATAACAAAGCTGATCGAGCCAAGGCAGCGGGGAGAAACTCATTAAAGGTCGGGGCTCTTAGGGAGAGACGATACTTCCGAACGAGCCAACGAGCCAATTTGCATAGATTTTGCTCAAGGATACGCGTCGGTCGCACTCGCCAACCATAATAGCGTTTTTACATTCGAGCGTACGCGGCAAAGCGAATCAAAATGCAGCGGTATCGAGAGAGGACGAGTTGAGAAAAAAAAGGACAAGAAAAGCCCACACGAGAGACACTTTTTATTATATCGGAGGGTAAAGTGGCGAAGAAAGAAGGAGCGGAGAAATGTGAAAAAGGCTGAATTTCGAAGGCTAACCTTAATAAAGATGAAATTTTTATGCTTCATCAAGGCGACTCGGATCTTAACTTGTCCTTCTCTTTTTTCTTTCTCTCTCGGACGCGACACTCCGATCGAACTTAAATGCTAATTTATATTCAATAACAATACTTGCTCGTGTGTCTGTATTACGACGCGCCATGTCACGCGCGTAAATTCGATCGCATATAGCCCCTTCGAAGGGCTATCCTATACACCGCTGTGTAATAAGCGCGCGCACTTTACATGAGCTGGGCCTTAAAAACATTAAATTATCGATTTTTTCGAATACGAATGAAAAATCAATAAGACAGTTTTGCCGAATAAATATAGCTCGGGGCGTGTAGTTTAAATTTCATATCCGCCAGACGCCTGCTGTCGAGCAAGTATAAACACATTTCTTTTTTCCTCATAGTTTGACTCTTGGTTGCAGTAACTGCAGCCGCTACACGAAACGATTAAAAGCTCCCCTGCGAAACGATGTTTGTTCGTTTTCCTCATCACTCATCCTTCAAAGATTCATAATGCTATTCTCATTACGCTACAGAAAAAAGAGACGAAAAATTACACGTTTTTTCTGGTTGGAAAATGCACAATAATCACTTTTGCCGGATGGGAAAAATTTGTTGTGTGAAATTTCTTTTCATTGCCAACTTGAAAAATTAATTAGTAAAGCGTGCCGAAGGCTAAAAATTATGTCATAAAAACATCAACATATGATTGGAATACCTATTATTTAATGGAGTTTTTAATTTTCTGATAAATACGAAAACGCTTAGATAGTTTTGTTTTTTGGTGCCTAAAAAATATTTTGCCTAGTCAACTAGAGTATAACAAAGGTAAGAAAAAGGAAGTCATGATTATGTATAAATACAGACTAAAACCTATGGTGCTGAATGGGCGAAAAATTACGGCATTCTTTACTTCAAACAGTTGAATTACCAGACAGAATAATACGTAGTCATCGCAAGTAAAAAGAAGAAAAAAACATCAGCTCAAAGTCAGTCCATTGATCATTGCAAGTAAAAATCTCGATCGAAAGCTCAAGGGCCTCGATAATTGAAATTTGGCAAAACACAAAGCTCGAGTAAAATTAAGTGCAGACGTAAAGTTGGAGGACTGGCTGTGGCGTAGCCCAGACTATCATGGATAGACATAAGCTCGCGTACACGATCCAACGAGCCACATGGGCCAAGTTAGCATTCGGCTACGTATTGACGCTCTCTTTTCTTTGCCACAGAGCTCGTACGCTGCTGCTTTTTATCGCCGTAATATGCGCAACTGCATAAGCGCGTACCTACATTGTCAAAGGGGAAAATGTAGCAAGAATTTATTATCTGTCAGCTTCTACGGCGGCGACGACGAGGACGACGTATATAGAAACCAATCATCGTGCACGAAGACTTCATACTTAGCGAACAATTTTACGATCGTCAGGACGTTGCTTCGTTTCAGTGCGTATCCTCGGCTTTTTAAACGCTCGATGACGCCCAAAGCCCCGGACATAATTTGCAATTCGGAATAACCCCAAATTTCATAAAACTGATTATTGATTCCCTCGTCGTAATCACTCTCAGAAGGAAAAACGAATTTAGACACATTAGCACCAAGATTCAAAAGTAGACCGACCAAATGCGGCGAAGGATTCGCCACAGTCACTTGCAGTGTTATCCGGCCCTTTATGTCTTTCACGTCGAGCTGCACCCGACGACATTTACCGCAACAGATCTCGAAGAATGGCACCGCTATGTCATCGGAAATTCCATTCAATTTTCTCATGCAGCTAATATGCAGAAGCGTCAGTCCTTCTGTGTCGGCTAAATCTGAACCTCACCAATTCTTAGCAGAGCCTCGGCCACATCACTCTCACACTTGGTCAAAGCAAGATGCCCGGTCGAACTTGTCCGCCGCACCGGCAAATATCTCTCGTGGCTGCACTCATATAACGTCCTCATCGAAGGTTCTTCGCTATACTTCTTGCTTATAACGCGCAATGGTGTGGCTCCATCCTTATTGGCCAAATTAGGGTCAGCTCCACTTCTAAACAGCAACTCAGCAATTTTCTTTTTCATTTCGGCGAGTACCACATGCAGCGGCGAGTCACCTGTTTTTTCAACGAAGCAATTTGGATCCTCGCCGGACTCCAAGAATTTTTTGACGAAACAGCCATTTTTGCAGGCCACGTGAAAATGCGTCGTCCCGGTAGTCTCGTCGACGTAGTTTTAGAGTCAAATTTTGTTTCTGATATCAGCATCTCATTGATATTAAGTTAATATTATTAACTTATTGATTTAGCTTTTGTATTTCAGCTTGAAGCTGTATGAATGTGGTTATCGTGCTGATATCTGCATTACTTTTTGGCGCTATAAGTTGAGCAAGCATGGACCAGTTGCTCTGTATTTCTGATGAGTTGTTTAGCCAGGCAGGTTTAGGAAAATTGATTTCATTGTTGCTGGGAGGTTTTTTTGATGTATTTGATCTTAGCTTTTTGCCTAATTGGGCTCATATTTGGCTTGTATGCAAAAATAAATGATTTTCCTCTTGCGGATTCGAACATGACACCTAGCGGCGAAGCGCGAACTGCGCAGCACGGCGATGTCACGGTATTAGCGGACTCGTTCGAGCATCAAGAGTAACGAGTTTTTCGTGCGGCAGTAAAGCCGCCGTATACAAAAAACGCATAATTTTATGTTTCAAACTTTTAGCCAACTGAAATGTTTACAATAAAATAATTCAAAAGCGTGGTAATACTTTTTTTCAAAATATTAAATAGGGGTAAGTATGACAGTCTGAGCTATGATAGTATATCCAATACATTCCGACAAGTATTCGAGCAAATTGAAATTTTTTTCTCTCAAACTATAACTATAATATAAGGTTTGTGATAAAATAATTCAAAAATTAATTATTATAGGACTGTTAATATTATTAGTAACTATAAGATTCAATAATCAATCACGTAGCTATGATTTTATTAAAATCAAATACATTCCGACAACTATTCAAGCAAACTAAGCTGTCGAAGGATATTGTAGCTTTTTCGATATCTTATTCAAATGGCTTGGCTGATTTTCCTCGCGATATGAGCTCGCGGATGTAGCTCGCTCCTTCGAAGCATCAGCAAGAAGAAAAAGCAGCGCAAACCGAGAGCCGAATATTCTGATATTCCGCAGATCATGAGTAAATGAACATGGCCTGTTGATAGGCTCGTTAAGAATCATCGTACTATCGGCTGCGAAAAGTCGACAAGTGCATTTGCGATCTGTGCCTGAATCTGCGCCGAGTATCGAACATACTGGAGGCGCCGTAATTCCATCCGTGATCGATCACCGCTATATCCCATACTCAAAGTAGGCATTTGTCACGTCGTTGGCTCGATGCGACAAAAAGTCAAAACTTTATCTCGTACCTTGGACGGCTCGATTTTTTCCACATCCTCCGAAGCAATACGCAGCCAACTCTCAATCTTCGTCAACGCTGTAGTCGCCGTCGTTGTTTGTAGCTATTTTCCACGAATGGAAATTAATCGTTCGTGCTTACTCGGTCGAGCAATTAAAATGGGCAGCTCGAACGGGCGAGCGAGAATGAGAGACAGAGAGAGAGAGAGAGATAAAGAAAGAGACCGGACTTAAGACAGAGAAAGAAAAAGTAGAATCTGAATAAGGCGTATACGTAAGCGAGGGCGAAATCCTTTAATGAGAATGCTTCTGGCGATCAAACCAAGAAAAATTGCAGTAACAGTCGTACATAGGTTTTTCTCACTTGCAGTTTGCGCGCGCGCACACACACACACACACACACACACACACACACACACACACACACACACATTTATACAGCGAGTCTCGAGCACAAGTGGAGCTAGCAAGGGGATAAGATAATTGGAAGAACGTGACTGCACTGCCTTATAAACATCATACCAAATAATTAAAAGACAAATCTTGCTCTCTCTTTTACCTCTTCCTCTGGACATCTTTGCGTACAGCGAATAACAAAAATATTTATTGCTAATTATATATGCAACAACAACGCCCAGTTATTATTGTTATTACTGTTTGCACACTCGTTTTTTGCATATTTATTAATATCCTTGCGCCGAGCGTTAAGGTATGCGCGCACGAGCTTCGCCAACGATTGCAATTACTCGCTTGCTGCGCGGCTCGACGCATATGTGTCATTGATGATATGAGGAGCGACGAGCCATATAAATATATCAAACGATCCCCTTTTAAACCTTGTTTTCGATTCGTACTAGTGCATGCGTATACTCGAGCCGAGACAACCAAGGCGATGTACTCTGTACCTCTAGCTGCTCTGTACTCCTGATTCGAGGACGATGGCTCTGAATAAGCAATTTTTTCTCATCCAGCGATCATCTTAAGCGCCGCATCCATTCCTACACATTTTTTTATTATAGGAGAAGCAATTGTTCTTTTAAACTACTATTGCATATACTAATTTCATATGTTTGTCATTATTTATCTAATATGTAACTAAGTTCAACAAAAAATTGAGAAATTCTTCTGTTTATATTTTTTATACAAAAAACATGCATTTATTTCTTTAACAAAAATTTCACCAAGTATCCAAGAGTTATATTTTCATATTAACATTATTTATACTTTTGGTGAACAAGTATAGCTTGTTAATACTTTGCTATTACATCAGCAATACGCCGCTATTATTATTCTTTTCTATGTGCGATCTGTTTTAACGCGTCAAAAACATAATTTTTCTCTCCACTCACGTATTATCGTAAAACATTGTTTTAACTGCCCACGATTGAAAGATTGTCTACACAAAGTTTTCATTATAATCTATGAAGAAAGAAAATCAAATAATGAAAATGGGGATGGTAGATTTAGTACTTTCAATGAAAGATTATGAATAGTGAGGTCAGGGTTCTGAAAAAACCACGTAATCAAAAAATAAAGTAATACAGTGAAATCGAAGATTGAGAAAAATTGTGCGTTTATTATTTTTTTCTTGTTTTTTTTTTTGTTAATTTTTTTCTTTTTTCTTTTTAATGAAGACGTTGAGATTGTTCTTAAGTAATAAACGAGACGATCGGCGATTTTCAAAGGACTCATCGGTTAATATGTTTTGTAATCATAATACAACTCTAATCCACTTTCAACAATATATTTTCGAAGAAGTACATAATAATTTTCTTAATAACCTTGTAACGTTCGCGAGTTATACAATATTTTACTAGCGTACACACACTGCAGTGATAATTAAAATTCGCTGTTTATCGTACCCAAGTTCTGAGCCTCTTCGATGCTCATTTGCACCAAAAATCGATCACTTCCATAGAAAATCGCTTGGAGCACGATGTCTCTGTTTGATCATTTACTTTTTTTCAAACACCATTTTATTGTGATCGTCAATATCGAAACCTATTTTTTTTACATATAATTCATGAATCTTTTTTTTAACAGTCACTTCTTCATACTATCGAGAAAAAATAAAATCAATGATTCAATTGGCTGCTATTTCTTCAAATTTGCTTAATTTTCTATATAGTCAATTTATTTTTCTTTGTGTTTATAATATTTTTATTTAATTTAATTTAATTTATTTATTTATATGAACTCCAATCGGTGTCAATTGGAATACTTTGAATGATTTAAATTTTTTTCGTCGCCTATTTCATCACACACATAAGGAAACACGCACACACACCGGCAGACACACTGATAAATACTAGATAAAATCGATTCTCCGTTTCAAGTTTGGGTTCACATACCCATGCATACACCCAGTTAACGGACTTGTCGGACGCACGCACACAAAAACATGATAGGTGTATACACCGCTGCCTGCCTGCCGCAGCCCTCTGCACACAAGCACACTTTATAATACGTGTATCTGCATACATATACTTATTATTACAGAAGAGAGAAAGACAATTTGTTTGGGTACACACAGATCACACATACACGCACGCGCACAAATGCGAAATAATCGATATCGTGGTCATTTTTTGTATCTTGTTTATATCTTGCAAGCACGCATAATGTCATACATCAGCCCTCCCTGTAGATAGTCCTAGTTCTAAGATACATGTAAATATGTATGTATCGTTATTATAAATTTAACAAATATCTCTTGGGCTGTGCTGACTCGCAGACGAACATTGTGCCAATTTTCCTAATTTTTTTCCTCATTTTCTTTTGTATCTCGAGAAGTAGAAGCAATACGACAAGAGCGAGCAATCGAGTAGCGAGAGGTGGCAAAAAATTGATGGCAAATAAAGTGCGTGACTCGAATCGACGCGTGAATTACGTAAGATTCATCCAACGTAAGATTTTCGATTATTTTTTCATCATTTTGATAATTCAACGCAGGCCGCACTCTTTTTGCATAGAAAATGTAATTGATCCTGCGAAACTAGCGTTACGTAGCGCGGCGTCGAGAAAACCAAAATCGAGCCAAGCTATGCGAAAATAATTGAAGATCGAGTCTTGGAGCCGTTGGTTGATGAGTTATACAATCTCGTTCGCGGGTGGTTCGGGTCAGGATGTACCGACTAATATATTGTAACATACACATACACAACGGTCGGATTCGTGCATATAGTCGCAAGCCCTGACTGTATCTGTCGCAATTGAAAATGTGCACGCGAATGCATAACTATCACGTGGCGCATCGATTTAACCTACTTACGAATTAATATCTCGTGCATGCGAAGGTACGAGTGGAGTTGCTGGGCTCGATTTGTGCGACTCGCACATTATACACACGTACACCCCACACATGCCACAAAAGCGACGTTTTGACTTTCGAGTGCGTGGCTATGCGTGTGCAGTGTATGCCAAATGCAGTTCATGGGGGGACACTCTACCGTCCAAGTATCGTGTTCGCATATCCTGCGGAGCGTCTTACATCATTTCGCGATTCATCTTGCACTGCACATACATCTCTTGGCGCCAGACTCTGTGAAAACCTCCTCTCGCCTATCTATTTCTTCCGAATATTTGACTGCTACTTATTACGCACTTTTCACGCTAGTCAGACACACGTCAAACGTATAATAATTTGTTTCTCTTCCTTCCTCTCTCTTTCTATATATCACCTATTATTAGTCAATTAAAATCATTTTAATAATTCGTTACTTGCACGCATTAAAGCTGCACGTAACGATTTCATTACAATCCAATTTATATTTATCTCGCGTTTGTGTATAAGTAATCATACTATAAATGTAATATTTAGCTCACTTTTCTGTCATCTTATTATTCGTTATATTATTTAGTTAGAGATAGTTGTTATATTATTTACGCGTTTAACATTTCATCGCTTAATTGTAACTACATTATTTCCATCATCTATGCCTGTCTTTCGCGATTTGCGTAGGAGGTGCGCTTGGTATATTTTAATGCCATTCTTGCCGTGGATTTTTTCCTCCGCTCTTTCTCTTCTTTTCATAGATATGATCATTGGCGTGGCCAGGCCGACTTTGTAATATGTATCGGTGACGATGATTTTTAGTAGCCAATAACGGATAATTTTTCGTTACAATATATATAAGCGCTGCCGCGGCTGCACTCACGAGAGAGCATGCACGTGTAGGTATGTGCGGATTCGCGAAAAATTTCGCACGACACAACGAAACTTCTATCTATAAATCCTCGCCCAAATTGTTTTAAAATGATTTATTCCTCCTAAATGTGTATATTATACATTGCGCGCGAGTTTATCTAAAGTTTCGAGTGAGAGAAAGAGGGAGATATAGATGATTTAAATTTGAATGTTACTACATACAAGCATTATATAATACTATTATTATTATTCCTACGCATGCAAGTACAGACGCACGCAAAACGCTGCAAGTAGCCACGTGACAATATGTTCTGTATACGAGTACTCATGTTAAACGTTCTATAAGTTGCCTGCTGTCTTTTAATTTTCTTCTAGCTTTCCGCTATACACGTTCCTGAAACAATTTATATTTATGCATACCTGGCAGTAATGAAAAACAGTATTTTGACCGACTTAAGGTGATTTTCTTTGGTTTCTTGTTTCTGATAAAAGTGTTTTTCTGAATTCGAAAAAACTTCGCGCTACTTACAAACAGGCGAAAGAGAGGCAAAGTTTTTCTTTTAGTGCTGATTTTCGTGTCGGCTACCTAATTCACTGATACGCGCATTACATTTGTATACCCGAGACATATTGAGCTCATGATTTCACTGGTTTAAAATTGCTCGTTTGCCTTTGACTCGTTATTAAACATACATCTATTTAAGGGATACCTTATATGCATCACATGTTTGAAAATTTCAACTCGATCGCATCGAAAATCTGCGCTTACATGTGAAACGATTCTTTTTGGTTTTTTATCGCTTGGCAGTACAGCAGCTTTTCATTGTTCAATCTATCACTTTTACGAGTTATGTTTTGCTCGTTATAATGCCGCTCAATATCTCGAGCTGCACGATTATTCACACGAGGGCTCGATGACAAAAAAGCCTCCCGACAAAATCCAAAAAATTGCGCGCGTAAAACATAACAAAATGAATATACAGCCTCGACAACGAGGATGGAAAATTTGTCAAGTCTGATCGGATCGTATTACGAGGAAAGCGCATCGTGAGCAACGAGCTTTTTCAGGTAAACTTGCGCGAAAGCTCCCAAAGATAATCGTGAGAAGCTCTGTGTTGTACTCTACGCACGGAGCAATTTATATGCAAAGCCCAAAGCGCTGTGCGGGCCTTCGATAAATTTACAATGCGAGAAAGCAAGCGAGCAAAAGTCTGCCTCGTTGTTTTCTGTTTGTTACGTACAGGACATTAACGTGGGATTGGCAGAATCGATGAAACGGAATGAAAAGAAATTAATCTAAATTTTCATCTCGCGCTCAAGCATTTTCGTGCAAACAAAAGGCAAAGAGAGAGAGAGAGAGAGAGAGAGAAAACTGGCATCAAAAGAAATTTTCCAAACGTCTTGCAATTATATTTCTCATAGAGGCGCGCGTTCGGTCGGAAAAGCTTGCAGCTATATAACACGTGCATGTCTATATGTTTGTAGTACACACTCATAAAGTAAAGATTGAGAGCTTAAGCATCGTGACCTGTGACGAGCGCGCCTTGCTGCTTGCTTTCTTTCAGCCTCGCCTCATTTCATATATTGTTACTTTTTATTACTCTCGGCCTTCTGCCCTTTGTTGCGCTATACGGGCGAAATTTCTTTTGCTCTCGGTGTGCGACGCGCTATGAAACATCGCACTTTTTGTTTTTCGCCTCCGTACTCTACTGCCCCGCGCGCACGTCCTACTGTTGTTTTATAACAACAAGCACTTTTTTCCCAACGAGCTAAAGCTTCCTAATTGATGAAAAATCTAGTGCACCGACTATCGTCGCACCACCCTGCTGTTTTTTTTCAATTTTCACGTATTTTTTCTCAGCTTTTCCTTTACTTTGGCTTTATCCTTATTTGTTTTGCGTGAGAAATTCAAGCTTCGTGAATTTATTTTGGATAGTGTAAAAATCTAGATAAAATTTAAGATAAACAAGAAAGAAAAGTACCTTGGATTCTCGAGTTATTCTATGAAATTCTTGGGTTAGTTGAAATGTGCTTACTGTCCGTATATGACGATGAAAAATGTATAAAAATATATGTACGAAACGAGCTTGCATATTGGTGCACACACGTACCTCTGTATGTGATAGTTGTTCAATAGGCATTACGTACCAAGGATACGATACATTTTTACTCGATCATTAATTAAATTAGTAAACGTGTTTTCATACAAAACTATGAAAAAAATGGTTGGATTTAATCAGTGCTTTATACGGTAGATTAAATCAAAATTTCTCATTCCTTTTTGTCTGATCGTCAGGTATGTATATTTTCTCATTTATAAAATTTTCATTTTTTACGTGAAGTGTTATATGTATGTGTTTTTGATTCATAACGTCATTCTCAGAACTTTTCAAAAGAAAAAAAAGTAGTCATAAACTTTGCTTGCATCTGTTTCGTATACAGTACGTAGTACATTGTTCAAATATTTATAATACATCCATTATTTTATTTTTCTCACACGAGGTATCGAGAGCCTCATTATAATTTTTATTCCTATTATTATAACTATTATTTCTATTATTATTATCATTATATCTATACAAGTGTATCATTAAAATATGCAAAGATGAGCGTCAAATAAGTATATTATAATACTAGGTAATCTCTCGTTTTGTCTTTGTTTTTGGTATGCAATAATAGCGCATCTGCACTCGCACTGAGAGGGCTCAAAGCTCTTTTATGCAGGCAACCTAGAGCATGTGCGTAAATTCGTGTTACGATTTGTTCATGTGGTATAAATGTTAAAATGAAATTGCTTAAGGTATACTTTTCGCGCGTACTAATGATATATACGACGCGAAATGACTCGCAATTTTTTATGGTAATAATATTATTTTTTCTTTGTTAGTCTCTCTCACTTTTTATGCGATTAGCGCATATTATGTGGCCCCGCAGTATAATATATATGTATATATGTCTTCGCCCTGGAAGACCCATATAATATTTTTTATATATTTATTTATAATAATATTCTATTTTTTGTTCAACGTGATGGTTTAATATCTACCAATTTTTTACTTCCATGTGCATTAATGATTGTGTGACTGTGTATGTGTGCGTGTTAGGTGCTTAACAAATGTATCCGCAGGCGCTCTTTCTTGACATAATATTCGTGCCGTATTATTGTGTAACCACACAGCACATGATTTTTAAATATTATACGTTTATTCATGTAAGTATAATAATTACTATTATATTCATAACAGCAGTGTTTTATCATATACGTATTAAGTACTTTGGAAATTCCAATCATTGTTTTAACTATATGTATATAGCGGACCTAAGCGTTGCAAGCTCGCCGAGCGCAAGCCTATTCTCGAAAATCAAGCTTCTCGTGCGCGTGTGCGATTATGATTCTGATCACTCGTTCTTTTGGTTTATTCTTAGCTATAGATAGTCAATATATATATTTATATCTATGGTCAAAAACGAAGAGTATATTAATAATGTCTTTTTAGTTAAACATGGTGCGTACGACGAGAACCACTTTTTTCAACTCTTGCCTATGTCAATTGTTGCGAAAAGGCATAAATCGATCGCAGATGGACAAACACGATTGCGATCAGTGCGCTGCATTCGCCAGGCGTTCGTTCGCCTAGTCTCACTTTCTCGCATTGCCATTTTTTCACTTTCTTTTTGCAATAGACGCGCTTCGTCTATTATTTTTATGTATAAAAAAAATTCTCCCAGTCGAACTGGAGAATGCGCCGCGAGAGACAGAGAGATACAAAGAGAGAGAGAGAGAGAGAGAGAGTGGCGTAATTTTGTGCGCAGCTCGGTCGACGTCTTTGCACTCGTCACTTGAACAGTCAAGCTCGACTAGCGTCGGCTTAGCGCTGGAACATCAATTACGTGATGGACTTTTTTGATTTTCTCACGGGCTGCGTTGACGTCGTCGAGGACGAAGACGAGGCGGCTAGAGCGGCTGTCGGTGGCGCAACTGCGAGGGCGGCTCCGTCGGCCGCAGCCTCGATGCTGGGACTCGGCGGGCCACTGTTGATGCGAGCCATCTTCTGGTACAGCTCGCTGTTGACGAAGCGCGGGTACGAGTCCCGGTGCATCAGCGTGTAAATCTGAAGCTGAGCCTCGTCGAACGTGTGCGGAGTTGGATGCGTCATGTTGCGGTTCACGATTTCCCGCACTCGAGAGTCCAGGCTGACCTGTTGACGGTAAAGTGAGCACTTCAATTGCAAATGATACTTTTCATTGGCTTATATCTTAAACTAGCAGAGATAAGAGGTATCGCTTTCTTTTGATTATAAAAACAAAACTCGAGCGCGACTGACTAAGCTATTATGAAATTCTTAAACTTTACACAAACTAAGCTTTACATTGCTTGCTATGGGAGAGGAAAAACTTATCTTCGAGTGATAAGTTTTTATCTGCGCGAGCTGTAAAGACGCGATAGCAATCCAGATGATTCAGTCTAGAAAAGAAGTTTCACCATTGCTCTATGCACGCGGATGACGAGATGGAATCGATTGCGCATTCTAACGCTGCTACATGTTTCTTTACGGTCTGATCGATCGGTCGTATGTGTAGAAATATAATTTGCGATTCCTAAAATTTGAGCACCTAGCTCCGAAGAGGCGAGTAATCGCGCGAGTCTATTATACTGCAGCCACGGGCAGCTATTGCCGTGCGCATATCCGTCGTTAAATTAATATCCTCGAAGCCAAGAGACGATTCTACGTGCAACTATCCCTGCCCGTTAGATTATAGATTTTATAACCCTGGTTAGTACTCCATTCAATCTTTTTTACTCTTCGAGGGGTTAGAAAGAGACCGAGTGAAAGCGAATGAGGGCTTTAGCAAGAGAAAAAGAAGAGGAAAAGAAGATGCTGAGTTGTCGGATAAAAGCATGCAGCCTATCAGATGATGATATTACATGATAAGTTAAAATTGATAACAAAATGATGGACTTGAAAATATGTCTAGTTTCTCGACTGCGGCGCACGAAAGCCGTAGCGTGTGTTAGAGTTAAATTTTGGTCCGGAATCGCGCCTGCTGATATGCAACGACTCGGTGATGGCCGATACTTTCTTCATCATTCCAACGAATCTACGTTTTGCGTGGAGTGCTTCTGTTTTCGACAGTCCGAGTATCGAGAATTTTTTTTTTTTTTCACTCGATCGTTGCGCATTTTTCATTTTTACATATCGCTGCGTTCTTTGAGCCAAAGCTGCTCTTGTTTTTACATCTCGAAGGCTCCATCAAAGACTTTCACGAGCGATCGTTAAAAAAGTTTGTGTGTACTCGATGGGTGAAGCATCTCCTCCCTTCGATTAACCCTTTAGAAAATTCCAACCAGCCTTAACAACTCCCCCAGAAATAGAATACTTGCAGAAAATTCGATTCTACGTATAGCGTTACCAATCATCGTTAATGCGACCTGGAAATCTCGATTTTCGCTTGAATCTAGCTGTTTGCTTTTTCAATCCCTCGGACAGAATTTCTTGTCATAAAGAATAGGATAAAAATCGTTTTATCGAGTGTCCGTGGGACGTTATCGACTTCCATAAGAGAATTGATACGTTTGTTTTGTCGAATATAGCACGTTTGAGCATCGCGATTTAGGTCTTGGAGATATCGATATACTCGATCCATTGGTCGTGAAGTAAGAAGCGTATCGACTACATTTACAATAGATATAAAACAATTCGGTTCCCAGCAGAAAATGTAAACAGAGCAAATTAGGAGCTTTGCCTAAGCTAGCCTGTATACTATATTGTTATTATTGCCGCGTACGTTATACACACGGGAGGCCCTCTTTACCCTGCGTTTACGTTTTCTGCTGGGAACCAAATGGTTTAACATCTAGTGTACAAGGATGCAATCGCCTTAGTCGCGTGCAGCCTACTCCACTCCACGATCAATGGCCATTGCTCAAATAAGCCACTAAAAAGACGGTGAATTGCCAGTTACCTCTTTAGGCGATATAATAGATATATAATCCTCGTAAATGACCCGCGCCTTCTCCTCGATCTTGTCGTTGTTCTCCTCCTTTTTGAGCTGCTCGCAGGCCAGCCAGAAGGCGATGTTCTCGTCGCTGTACTCGCTGACGAGGAACTCCTTGAAGAGCTTGCGGCCGAGGGGATTGCGCATCAGCCGGTCGAACGACGAGCCCCACGAGCGGATCTCCTCGAGGCTGATGTCGTTGATGTCGCCCTCGAGGCCGGCGCCGTTGTCGTCGAGATCGTCGCCGAGTCTGACGCCGCTGCCGTGGTGGGTACCCTGGGCACCTTGGCCGGCTCCGCCTGCACCGCCGCCGTAACGCATCGACGAGGCGCCTCCCGATCCTCCGGTACCCACAGCTGCCAAGCTATACACAGAGTCCATTAGTATATTTCTTTGAATATATCTATATCACTGAAAAATAGTATATATGTAACAGAAGACGAGCTCGCACGAGAGCCGTTTAATTGCGGCCTCGGCCAGCAAAGTTTTGCGCTGCTCTGTACTTTTGCCTCGCATACTATGCTCTTGTACAAACTTGAAGAGTTTGTTGATATTGAAGATGGCTCAATTTTTCGAGTAGAGCGACAGCAGCAATTTAATTTTATTCGACGAGTTTATTCGGCGCAGTTTTATAAGCAGCTCGTCGGCTGTCGAGTTGCGTGATGGAAAGCTATGCTCACTACTTGTATATACTTTGCTCGTGTGCGGCGTGCACTCGAGGAAAGCTCCATTTCCGCTCACATCCGTATGAATTTAGTCGGGGATATTTTAATGAAAAATTCAACGAGCTGCACTGGCTTTTTTCGGGCCGTAGATCGGCTTTCGAGTACTTTGCGCAGTTACGATGCGAGACCACGATCGCAATTACAAGATGAACGATATTCGAGGGAGGCGATGTTGCTTTGAACGTTGGAAAATGATCAACGAAATCGACGGCACTGCAGCACAGCCTGTGAGAGTACGGCTACTGGGTACGAGCGAACGAAAGAAAAGCAAATAATTGTATTAGCAAGGGTCTAACGTACCACGAGATGACACACTCGTCTCTGTCGGATGTATCGAAGAAGCGTTGGCTCGAGCACATGCCGAGCGCACGTGTGCACAATGTTTTAACGTGCCTGCAGAGCTGCATGTGCTCTCGAACGTCCGAGTGTAGACTCGAAACTTTTGACTCGGAGCGCGCTTCAAAAGTGCATCGAAATCAATGGCGCAGAATCGATGCCGAGCAAGTTGGATGAAAATTCTTGAATATGCTCATCCAGCAGCCACGATCCAGTAGGCACACAAAGACACACACACACCCACACACATATCGCGCGCCCGCGAAAAATAAACTGCTACTGCTGCAGGAACAAAGCAGGAGCAAAAAGCAGAGTGCGCAGTGGCGAGCGAGTCGAGCGACTGAGAAAAAATATTGGCATAGGCGCGCACAAGTCGTAGGATAAACTGTCGAGACTGAGAGAAAGAGAGAGAAAGAGAGAGAGAGAGTCTAGAATTTCGTTGTTGGCGGCGTCGTCCGATTCGTTGGAGCGGCCGGCAGACGAAACGACACACTATATATACAGACCGAGCGAACGCGGGCTCGTGCACACATACACAAGTACACCAGCGGAGTCACATACACGCACACACGTGAGGATACAAAGACAAACAATCCCGCAGGCCGACGCCGACGCCGACGCTGAGCAATGATCTTTTCAAAAGCTGCTCGATCGTATATGCTTTGCGAGCGCGATATATCGCATACGTGAAAATGACCGAGCGAGATAGAGGCCCTACCGAGTGTTACGGAGCTACGAGTTATAAGGAGCGTGGGAGGAGGCGCTGGCGCACCGACTCGCCTGCTATATACTCTGCTCGTGTATTTAAACGGCTGCGACTCATGTACTTTATGATAACGAAGAGAAAGAACGAGCGAGAATGTAACATCGAGTCGTTGGCTGCTTGTTCTCGCGCTCGCCTATGTAAGCATGTATGCGTACATATTATATTATATATATGCTCACGTCGTAGGACTTTGTGAGCGGCCGCGGCTGTTGCATTGCCATTATCATTATTACGGCGTCATTTTTAGAGTCGCGCGACATGGAGTGCAGCATCCGACTTTTATATATACTCGTTGTAATGCAGACCGAATAGCGCGGCTGCGGCTCGCATCGGGAAGCGACAACGATTTTCGTCCAAACGTTCGTTTATAGCGAGCCATCGGGCTGATGGGCGCCGATCGCGTCCTCGAGCAACGACAACCGCAGCGACGGTAATGTAATTGAGTTTATCGAACGGGCCGAGCTTTTGTATCGCGCCGGCTGCATATTACGCGATATAGCACGATATAGCTCGTTATCCGAGCCACTCGGCGCTCTTTTGTTTCCCGGCTCGCTCGGTCGGACGCGCACCTATACACATCGATGCGCCGACGCGATACTAAAAACCAACGGCCTCTCGTATTTTCCTCAATTTCTTTTCTAGCGGCGTTTGGGAGGCCAGACGCGACTAATTACCGAGATGCTGCGAGCACGTATCCCTTACGTAATACCTCCGCTCGTTTATTCAATCGATACAAAAAGTGGCTAAAAATACAACGCCGATGTGCACGTGTGTTCGTACGGAGGTGGCTATACAACAACGACTAGGTGTATAAGGCGCATTACGCGCCTATCCTTAGCTTTCGGCACAAAGTACGCGAGTCAAATTCGAGCTTAACTTACTTCAATGGAGAGCTTGAATCAATGTAAAGTTCTCGATACATAAGTAAACGCGATACGATATACGAGAGGGTAGCGAGAGAACAAGTTTATGTGTACTTTTCGCGCGAGGCAGTTTTCCATGGAGCTCGCCGCTGCGATCGCACGACTGCGCTTCGCACTCGTTAATATATACTTGCACTGTGCAACATGCATAAACGTATATAGTTCAAGAGTAAGAGAGACTTTTCATCATTTATATACACGTCGCACTGACAGTTCGTAGATATACATAATACTGTATTCGTACGTGTGTGCCTATATCTGTAGCTGTATACTGTTATGTATACTGAGCTAGCTCGAGCGAGCGACACGAGCCAGAAAGTGATAGAAATACTATTATTTCCACTCTTTCTGATGGAAAGTCTTTACACGTGAATCGATATATCAGGACACTATTTACGTGTCTCTACCTTGCAAGCACATTACGTATATCATGGACTCGGCTTCGTATTATTAATTTTAATAATTTCGTTCGAATTGCGTCTGTTAACTGTTTCTCGTTTTTCGCCCCAATGGCTTCGCCAAAGAGGCCAATGATAATTCCTCGAGCCTATTATCGAATTCGCAAACGGATGAACCTTCGATCTATCCTAGCTTTGACTAAAGTTACTTTATATTTACGATGTACGTTAACCCAGTTATTTTATTCGGGACATTTAATAGGCTAACGCGTGTACGAATGTAAGGTAAATAAAAAAGAATATCAAACGAACTCTGAACAATCACTCGGGCGGCGCGCGTATATTTAGCTACTCGTATTCCCATTCTCGACAAGGGGTGAGAGCTTTTAACGCGATAGCTCCTTTCGTTCTTTTTTTTCTTGCCCCGACGGATAAAAGCTCCCGTAGCATCGATATCGTGTAGGCAACGTTTTAAAAATAACGATGATCCCTTACTTGACCATGAGTTTCCTCCAGAATTCCATGAGGAAAGTAGCGATAAGAGCTGGGCGTCGCGCTAACAGTCGAGGGCCGAATAGCCGAGCTCGGCCTCATCGATTCACAATATTTGCATCGAGACCATACCGAGATCAAACTGCGCACCGAACAGAAACGAGCTTCGAGTGCCGATCTTGTAATCCAGAGACTCTGCCGTTCATCGCTTTCGATTGTCTCGGCAGCATAAAAGCAGAGCTGGCGATAATGATCGCGGCCAGAAACGAGCACTTGTCACTTTACACATGGCAGCTGGAGGAAACACGCGCATGGGAAAATTCGCTAAACTCGTTGGCGCTTGCAACGCATCGGTTGCGGAGAGGAGCGGCTAAAAAAGCGCGAGCTACTTATTCTGGCGAGCTGACGAAATTAACGAGCTTAATAGCGCAGTGATGTTATTAGAGGCGGCGGCGCGCACCTCAGCCGTATTAATACTGTCGTATATAGTTGTCGCGGAGCTACATAATATCCATTATCCACACACATAGACGCGCATAAACGCACGAATAGGAGCATTTAACACACACAGGAGCGCGAGCGGCTCGTGCTTGCGGAGTCGGGGCTTGCGCGCGAGCGGCATAGCTATACCTATCGCTGTGTACGGCCCAGATTTTCGCGCACGCGCTGCCTCCTATATCTCGTAAGCGACGTACAGCTCGACGTTTACGTGCGAAGCTAGGCCTCTGCGTGCTCGCCCATCGCGTGTCTCTAATATTTCTCTCTCGCGGCCGCTCCAAGCGCAGGCTTTTTTACTATTGCACAGCCTGTGCATCGCCGCGGACGCAGCTCTATTTTATACATCTACGCATGTATGTTCCTACAACTTGTCAAACACAATACAAGCTTCAAAACCAACAGAAGCTGGAAAGAGTGAGCATGCCCATACGCATGTATTATATATATGTATGTACTCCAGCTGTGCAGTGCATGCGATGCTATGCACCGGATCACGCAAGCGCCGAGCTTTTACCTTGCGGCGTACTGTGCCTAGAGCGCACAAACCGTAGCTTTGCACTCCAACTTATATACTTGAAAAAACATTAGGTAGTAAATAAAGTTCAAGTTTTGTTTACCATTTATTTCCGCTGATGACGTGGAATCCATGAGCGGCAATTGTGAGAAGATTAACGTAGCATGAAATCAAATTAAAATGACATTTTAGCGAACATTTTTATCTCCATATATAGTTGGCTGATTCACTGACAAATTGAATGACCTCAACACTTTGTCAAACATTACCCTTGATATTATTACGATTTTTGGGTCTCTTCGAGAACGTTTCACAGACACTTATGATAGTTCTTAGAGCAGCCCTAAGTACATTATTATTTTCTGGATTCAAAAAGATTTAAATAAATATTGCTGTTATGCAAATAACATGAAACTTAGAACCCAATCCATTTCCATTTTTGCTCTTCATGAATTCATTAAGTTCTTAAAAAAAATGGAATATTCTAAGACCTAAAGGTTCACGATTATTTTTTACAAGACAAACGCAATTTTCACTTTTTTATTTGAAGCCATTAAATTTAAAAGGAAATCAACCATACGCAATGAAATTATCTCATAATTCGAAATGGTTTCATTTTTTTATTCATTTTGAATCAATTATTCTATTGAATTTGAGATGTTAGCTGAGCATTGTTCAACCTTATGGTGTAAAGATAAATGTACTAGTATTCGAAGTTGAATAGCGGTCCCGAGAATTGGAAATTATGTGATTTCCACTATTGTTGTATGTAGAAACTATGTTAAAACATATTCGCCGCGTACATATTAAGGCAAAGAACGACCCTCTTCAAGTATATGGAAGAAATGATTTAATGTTCAGACTAGAGAGCTTTTACCTCCGGTCAAAAATTTTCATGAGAGGAAATCTCTTATATATTGTAGAGCAGAAGCCTTCCCTCTTTATTTCTCTCTCTCTCTCTTTCTATACACACGTATGTATATCGCAATACTGCGGAGCTCAAGCGTGGATGTATTTAAAAAGGTCATAGAGCTGTCTTGACGAGCTCAAGACTCCAGACGCCGCCACCAGCGTCGCCGTGTATATAGTATACGTCGAATAATGTATATAGGTAGACACTCGTGTAATTCATCATTTATACGAGGAAAAAAATAACCGAGAAAGTCGAAAAGAGGCATAGTCGCGAGTTGGCGTACTTAGCAGGGAGCAATGAAAATTTCGTGACAATATTTTTGGCAACACGAGTACGAGCCAGGGGTAAAAAATATTTGTTTCGATTATATAGTTGGCGTATCGGGCATAGCAGCAGCCTGATTCTGCCGAATCAAGCAGACAGAGGCACGTAGCTCTTTTCCGATTTAAATTTTACGACGTCGATTCCGAGGCATGCGTGATGTAAATATCTAAGCCCGAGCAATTTTCATGTTCGATTCGACTTGCGCGCACTCGCTCGCTCGTGCACGTAGCGTATACGAGAGCGAGAGGGAGACGCGTTAAAATAAATTGGCACGTGTTTATTATTTATCGAGAAAGAGAAAGAGAGAGAGAGAGAGAGAGAGATAAGTACAAGGTGCAATATAAAAAAGCGTCTATTCTTGTCTCACTTCTCGTTCGATTCGTCTCGAGCTCTCGAATAATTTATCACATATCACTGGTGTCTAATCAAAAAATCCCGTTTTAGACGCGCTCAAGCTACTATTTGCAAATTGTTGTAACTGAAACTCCAAATTTTCACCTTGTTAAGTGCAGTTATTTAATAATTTCATTTTCTTACTCTATAGTATCACTGATTTTCTTTTGACGAAAATGTTGGAGTCGGAAATCAATATATATAAACGGACGATGGCTAAATTTATATGTATAGTATAGAACCCCTGAGTAAATTATATCGTTTTTTGAATCAATAAGAAGAATGTGGCGAGTAAAGAAGAGGAGGAAGAAAAAGAATAAGAAAGCATAGTTACGCAGTACAACAGCTGCAACAGCAGCACCAGCAGAGGCAGCAATTGTCCTTTTTGGATCTGGCTTGCTGCGACGTCTGCAGAGCATGCTTCTGCTCTTTACTCTGACCCAGTGACGGTTGACCCGAGTTATTACTACCACGTGGTCCCTGCCGATGTCCAGGCGAGCCCTGCGACGCTTGGCTCTGGGCTCTTAAACGGCAGCCTGTGCTGGCGTTTGGCTCGTTTCCAGAATTGCTGCTGCCATGCGTACTAACCCCCAGTCCCATTGTTGTACCGAGTCCGCTCGACATCTTTTTTGTGCCCCATCGTTCGTTCGATGGTTCATTACAATGAAAAAACACAAAGCAAAGTACACAAATATAATGCATCTTTCGATGTATCATTGTATTACATATTAGCATGTGCCAACGTACAAACATTGAGAAAACAAAACGAGATGCAATGGCAATTATGTAAATTAGAATCTTGATTAGCATAGCACGTGACATAGATCCAAAGTTAAAACTATATAGTCGGCTACGAGGGAAGAGACTCGATGCCACGGATGTCCAGGCTGCAGTGCTACAACGCAAAGCTCGTCAACGGTTAGATTTTCACGCTGTTTGACGCTCGTCAAACTTTGTACTTTAAACTTGCTCGAAACTTTCGTAAAATGGTTTAGGCTCGGTGGCTGTATACATATGAAACTATTTGTAACTCGAAACTACGCGTGCATACAGCGGAATATCACTGCTTGACACGAGTCGCACAACAGCCGGCAAAGCCCAAGCAGCTCCGAAGCTCCGTTTCGCTTCGTTTGTTTCGCGACGAATTTGCCTCTCCGCGCGGGACGATGACGATGACAACAAAAAACGAAATAGAAAAAAGAGCCGAGAGATGACGAAGAAGCTCGAGAGCGAGAGAGCAGCTTTTTCTTGCATTCTTCCTTTGTTCCGTTGCGATTCTTTCGCTGGAAAAGACCAGAGACTTTTGCACTGGCGAATCAATTTTCGGTGCATTGGCAAAACTGCTCGGCGAATCATATTGGCGACTTCTACATCGCGAAAAATTCAAAGACTCATAAAATAACGCCTCTCGACGGCGACATTATTTCCGTTGCTATCGAGAGAGCTGAGCTCTCATCCAATTTAGCCTCGCAGTTGCGTTATCATTTTCGCGCGTGTCAAGCTATTCTCTCCTGTATAAAGCCGCCATTCACACGTATTTACCTTATGCACCGAGTGCACGCACAAAAACGACGACAACAACTATGCTATCAATTATTCCGTGTGCGCATAAACAAAGTAAATTAAAGTATTCATGGGACACGATGCAAGCTCATCGAGCGTAGACAAGAATTTCGTCTTAATGTTTCGTCGATGAAGCTAAATATTTATTTTGTTCCGCAGCATTGAGTATTCGAAAAAGCTCACCGATAAAAATGAAACGCGAAAAAAAGAACGAACGAGGAGCTTTTATACTTGCATTTTCTAATTTAGCATTGATATACAAAAGCGACGACACTGGCGTTGATGCTCGTTTTTTTTTTTTGCCGTTCTCTTTTGACTCGCGTTATGTAGCCGTAAAAGTGATACACGAGCGAAATTGAATTTTCGAAAGTTTTATTAAAAAATAACAAATTTGCGTATAAAAAGAAAATGAAGGGTTGCTCCAAGTGCGGCCTTATTTGCGGAGTTCCATAATGTTTATGGAATTACTGTGCCGTAGACGATTTTACGTGCGCGTATCGACGAGCGAGTACTAAACAAAAAAGATAAAAATTCCCAGAGTACCGCCAGCCCCACTCTTGCTTTACAAACAAAGAAGAAAAATACGAATAAAAGCTCTCGTGGATCAAGCGAACTCTTCGACATACATTTAAATATTTTTCGTGCATATTTCAGGCCAAAACATATGCGTATGCAAGCGCAATGTTCAAGAAAAAAAATGGGCCGTAGTATTCAGAGGACAAATAGCAAATATTTGTATTTGGTGTCTTGTAAATTTGTTTATATGTGTCTCTTGGAAGAAATTACTTTTCTACCGATAGCTGTATCCGAGCCAATTATGTATTCGCAGTCAAGCAAGCAGAAGGGATCGATAGGCGGGTGTACATATCGTACAGGGTTCTAAATAGCAGAATCGAAAGTATATCAGGACTTTTTTCCGTGGAAACAGCGAAACGTTTGCGCGCACGAGACAATTATGTAGATGAAAAGTCGAACGTGGCGCTAGCGATAATATCGGTAAATATAATGCTACTTTTGCAACATAGTATATGGCTAGCAGCCTGCTGCTTACCTATACAGACACACACATAGGCAAGCGCGCGCGCGTTTCTGTTCTATAGCGATGTATAATTAATGTGAAAATTGAAGCTTTGTCGCTGATAAACATGGCAGAAAATAATAGTCTAAAATGTAGCTTTCAGTGCTCGCGAGCCGCTGTTGGAATAATTAGCATCGATTTTTTAAAAAAGAGCTTTGCGTCGTAGGGAGCTTTTTTTCCTGGCACAGAGAAATTTTATAATGTAATATGTGGCAGCACGTTGTGTCTCTTACGAGGGAGCGAGCGTTAACCCGATCGGTAAGGATGCACATGTAATATCAGTTCGACCGAAGCGTGCAAGCACGCCGAGAGAAAAAAGGCTTCGACTATTTGCTGCAGGGACTATCTATGCTCACAAAGTTCACAGAAATATCATTAATCTTTAAATATACATGTTTTATAACTCGTTGCGGAAAAAGTAAAAAAACAAGAAGACGAAAAGCTTTCAGACAGAAAGATATTTAGTGTCAACTTTGTTCAAGAAATAAAATAACGAAGGGCGAGAGGGAGGAAAGTTGTTAGGGGGGAAAAAAATTGAAACTCACCTCTATCATGTTCCATGCGCTTATGAGCGAGACCAGCTCGCTTCTATCGTTTAGGCAGTGTTAGTTGTGGGTATTATTTGTTTGTATCTCTTTGTTTTCTCTCAAGGAGGCGAGACGATGTATAAATTTTCTTACACGACGATTCGAATTGCGTAGGTTTATCCTGTTTCTTCCATGCTACGAAATCGAGCTACTACTCGCATAACACGTATAGGTAGCCGTTGGGCGATCTATCCAAGTGTTGCTCACTCACGCACAAAGTATACACACGCGCGGGTCCGGCTCAGCTGCCACAAGAGCAAAGCAAAAGAGAAGAGAGAGAGAGAGAGAGAAAAGATGAGTGGATCCAACTGTTGCCAGGGTCGATTCCATCGACTACACCCGATCTCTAGATTATATCGCGAAGCTCGGAGAGCGATATTTTGAGAGTGTCGATGGGATCGCTGCTGATTGTTTACTCGGACTGCGACAGTCTTGGAGCGAGTCCGCTCGTTCGTCTGTCTGGCTCGAGCTCTCGCCTCTCACGAGGAGCGACGCTGCAGCGAGTAGCTCTCTGCATACACGTCCAACACGCGCACGCACCCGCACACGCACACTTACGCATCCGCGTAGTCCGGAGTAACGCGTGTGTCGTTGAACTTGTAAGTATTGGATTCGCTGCCGCTGGCGAGTTCACTGTGCAAAGTTGCTCGTCGTTACTGACTGCAGCAGCCAGCAGCGGGCTGCAGTCGAGAGGCCGATATCGCTTTGGCCTAGTGAATCACACGGCGCTTTTTTATCCACTCCTCCTTTTTTTCGCCAGAGGAGGACGCCAGAAAAGGACGATCTGGGCCACTAGCGCGCACAGCGACCCAAAAAGGACGGATTGACGGATAGGTGGAGTAAGTGAGTGAGCCAGAGACAGAAAGAAAAAGAGGGGTTCAGAGCGAAAGGGGGCTCTCTGTACGCCAGTGGGTGTGTGTGAGAGCGCGAGCCTAAGTGTGTGTGTGTGTGCAAGCGTTGTAGATGGGGCTCTGGCCGTAGTTATATGTGAGGGTAAGTTTGCAGATACAAGGAAAGAGCTTACGGACGAGGGGGTTTTCTGACACGCCGCTGCTGCCAGAGAAAGAGAGAGTCGCACTTGTTATCGATTGGCGAGTCTACGTGTATGTACACACATAAACACAGGATCGCTTTGCGATATCTTGTGCGAGGTGACGCGCCAGCTCGCGCGAGCTTTTTCTCTCTGCTCTCCTCACTCCTATGAATTCGACGGCTCGTCGTAGCAGGCGAGTTTAACGTACGTCGTTGGCGTTCTTTCGATTCTCGTTCATCCTCTATGTGTGCAGCTTGCGAGCTTTTTTGCTTTCTCTCTCTCTCTCTCTCTCTCTCGAAAGCCTCACCTGCTACCTCTACCTCCTCCTTCTCCTCTTGGTCGTACGCTGGCACCGCCGCCACCGCCACCGCCTCCTCCTCTTTCGATCGACTCTGCCCTACTGACTCTGTTTACGTGTCGAGCAGCGCCGTCTGTCGCGCGCTTAGCGTTCAAGCTCTCCGTTTCTTTGGCTCGCGAGTATATGTCTATACTTTTAGCGACGTTGTACACAAAGTAGGCACGCACACGTACACTTACACTTTGGTTAGTCACGCACACAAGTCGACGTCTGTGTATGTTGTTGTTGTTGCTGCTGCTGCTGGAGCCTCGCGCGAGTCGCACTATTAGCAAAACGGGTAAATAGAGATGTGCCGTTGAAGCTGGAGCGAGGAGGAGCGCGACGTGCTGTTGCTGCTGCTGCTGCTGCTGCGGCTGCTGTCGTGGTCGCTTACGTTGTTGCTACTCGAGAAAGAAATTCTTGCTCTTTGCTCGAGTGGCGTTATCGAGTCGAGCCTTGGCAGCATCGTTTATCGTTTTTCTGCTATTCTCGATCTATCGCTGCCTCAAGACGGGCCACTCCAACTCTTGTAACGTCCGTCACTATCGCCGAGTCTCCGGGCTATTATCGCTCTCGACCGATCGATCCCGCCGCCTATGTATTATGCACTGCAAGCTCGCTCGACATTAACAATTATCTATAGCTATATGTAAACGCACGCCTCGGCGAGCACGAGTTATCGAAGCTGGCCAAGACAAAGAGAGCAGCAGCTTTAAAGCTCACCGTAGCTTCGAGTCTCCCGTCAGCTACTGCTGCAGCTCTATATAGTTGCTCTCTCTCTCTCTTTCTCTCTCAATATGGCTGCGCTGTGTGTCGTGACTGCTAGGCTCTGTGTGCGCGCGCGCGCGCTTCAGAGCAACTGGGCTGCTGGCTGCTGCTGTTACTACTTCGGTAGCTTTCAGAGCGCGCGTTTCGCCATTGTGCTCTGTCTATGTGTGTGCTGTACTTGTATAGCTTGCACGATTAACGCATTGAAGCCACGGCCAAAGAGAAAAAAGGCTCGAGACTTTTCGTCAATTACAAAGATTCGATGCTTCTGCTGCTTAGAAAAAGACAGACTTTCCACCGCCCCCCCCCCGTTNCTCCCCCCCCCCCCTCTCTCTCTTTGCTGTACATATATAAAGTCTTTATGCACGGTTGAATAGCCGCACTGCCTGACCTCACGCTCGAATCTTCGCGCGCCTGCAAGTGTGCGTGACCCCGCACGTGTGTGCTCCTACAGAAATACAGCATATAGCACCTGTACGTGGGCAACTTAACTTTTTAAGCTGTTGCTTCAGTGAGAACTTGAAAATTTCATTAAAAAAACCGCGATGCTGCGGCTTTGCCTTTTTTTCAGCACTTCTTAGGATGAGCAAGAGCACATATGTGTACAGGATGAGAGAACGAAGGAGAATAAAAATGGGGTTGGCTTCTTCAATTGACGTACTTGAGCTTTTCAGAACGTTGACCCAGAACTTTCGCTTTATACAAACGAATAATGATTTGTTAATTAATCTTATTGCACTTGACAACGGCTTTTTAGCTTTTAAACTATGAAACAATTAATAATTTGCTGGAAACTTATCGATTAGCATGGATTTAGTAAATGTAAATTTTCTTCAAAATTATCATATTCTCTATAAGGCTTTAACATTGTCCTATTGATACAAATTATTAAATGAACATAGAAATGTGTGTTTGATATACTGAACTCCTTACACTCATCCTCGACATATACATTTATAGATTTGCAGAAAAATTTATTTATTTTAATGTCTCCTCTATAACAATTCTGCATTTCTTGAATTTTGTAATCATATAATCACAATTATAGGTAATTTCGGAGTAATTCATTTTTTAATTGAAAAAAGTCATGTGCTTGCAAACGTAGATTCAAAAGTCTGAAAATCTTTCCATCTTTTGTTTTCTTTTTTAAATTATCTGGTCAGCATCTACTAATTCATTGAATTGTTTTTTGGTAATTGTAGTAGTAAGCGTTATATACTCTACATTCTTAAATTGACCGTTGAGAATTAAGTATATTTTTATTATTTGATATATACATAATTTTTATTATGCAAGTTCTGGTAAAATTCGAATGAGCTTTCAAGAAACAAATTTTCATGAAAAATGCTGCGTATGACCAACACAATTGAAGTCATTTCTTTCCATTTTTTTGTTCTGATCAATTAAGCAAACATATATAAGGGAAATCGATTTATTTTTTTGGTAGGAGAGCTGTGAATAAGGTATAACTCTCACCATTTATCGAATAAATGAAAATGAACCGACTGCTTTTAAAATATAACAATAAGAACTTGTAAATATTTATTTCTCCAAAAACAATAAAATACCACTTTTACCTATAATAATCATTTTCATGAAAATTTCAGCCCATGTCAAGTAGTGATTGGTCGAATCATGAAGCGTCTAGAATAAGGGATTGAAGCGTCATATAAAACTTTAAGAATCGATTGAAAGTACTCGTCGATAAAAAAAATTCCTAAATAATGTTCTTTGACAAAGATGAGCAAGAATTTCATTGGCTAAATTTTTAAACGTTTGATTTCGTCAATTACAAGATTAATAGTTGGGTTGAGCGTATGAGGCTATCCAGCAGTAAAAACAAAATAGACGCATGCGTGTGCAACTTCTCAGCGATAAATTCAGTTCGTACTTGGCCATCACCGTAAGCTATCAAAATCTAGCCTTAGAAAAGAATCGCGCTTTCAAAAGTTTGACAAAATTTTCGTGCAAATTTACAGTATAGCCTTTTGTAAGCAACGCCAATGATATAACATCATGGAAGTTAGTCACCAGCCGCAACAATTAACGAGGAGAGTGTCAACATCGTCGAGTAAGTTAGCTAAATATTGAACGTTTGCTTCGCCTAACGTCAACTGCAACTTTAATGCGACATTCGACAATGCAGTGGATGATGGACGGCGGGGCCCTCGATCCTATTGGCTGCACAGTCGCGATAGGAGCGATGAAGATTCGAGGCCTGCGCTGGATCTCGAGGAGACTTTATCGCGCTCGAGCCACCGATTCGAGCCTGAAATCATCGAGAGCGCTGACCAAGCTACAGCCAAGTACGACAAGTTCGAGAACGAATGGGAAAGGTTGAAATCAAGAAAATCCAAACAACAGAGGCTGCTGCAGCCAAAGAAACATACCGAGGATTGCGTCTCTATTCCAACGATCGTTGTCCAATCGGAAAAGTCATCGATGAGCGTAGACAGCGTTTCAGATCGTGCCAACGACGATGACGATGAGGACTCTGTAAAAATGCACGACAAACGTGCGGACAATGACGAGCTCGAGAGCAAGCACGAAAACAACGAATTTAACCGCATGGAAATAATCATGACGCCTCGTTCGAATTTCGACATGTCCGAGGTAATGCCCTCGCACTTGCTGCAAAATTCGCGTCAACAGCACATGGTTGGAGACGCGAGTCCAATTCTCGAGGTTGAAACAAAAATCAGTTCGGAGAGCATCAAAAGCAACTGTAAAAGGCCCAAAAGATTGCAGCCGAAGCCGAGAAAAAAAGGCTGGATCGGGGCGGAGCGTGGCTCGGTTTACAACGAACCAATCAAAATACCCGATTTCAACAACCTCAATAAAAACAAAAAGAAGAAGTTTCAAGGACGGCTGAAAAATTCGTACTCCAAGAGCACCGTCACGACCAAGGACAGCGGCAACGTCTTTACTCCGAAACGAGCGCGTAAGCCGAAGCGCTCGTCAAGTACGTCCATCGCTAATGTCGCTGGCCCAGCTCCAGTTGACTATAATTGCACAGCTTTGACAACAACGTCCACAGGTGCTGCTCCCGACAGAAGCGCAAGTGCATTTCCAGCGGCGCAGGTAAAAAGACGCCATCCGAATAATTTGAAAGCTCGAGAGTCGAAGCAACTGCGGGCCAAAGAGACCTTCGAGAAACAGCAGAAACACATGGCGGAGATCAGGCAAGCGGCTGGACTAGCGACGAAGGCAAAGAAAGGACAGAGGACGCAGGCCAGAAGATCGAACTCCAACTCGGAGTACGAGACGGCTGGACCGACTCAGTTCGGCCGCGCTGGCAAGGACTTTACGCCCTTGATAGAGCAGATTCTCGAGCATAACTACGCAGGCAGCGACGCGAGGGATCAGGATGAGCAGGCGATATCACCTCGCGACTTTGGTATTCAGGACGAGGGAGGAGCAGCCGACGACGACGACAACGATGAAAAAGAAAAGCAGCAGCAGCAGCAAGAGCAGCCAGCCCAACAGGCCAATGCCTGCACGCAGGACTACAACGACCCTTTTGAAACTCGCAATTATCAATTGCCGACCAAGTCTTCGAGGTTGAAGCAGGTCGAGCGCTCCTTTCAGCACGAACTGCAAGTCCGGGGCATACCGTTTGTCGTCGGTACTTCGCTTTCACGAAGCCACAACATTGGTCTCAATGTCCAGCAGGTATAGCTATCGATAGCCAGCCCCCCCCATTCGGAGAGCCGATCTTTTACTCGCGTGTCTTTCGTTCGCAGGTTCTAGGTCTGATAAAAACGAAACAGCCAGCTGTACCTGGCATAAGCTCGCTCCTCATTCGGAAGGTCAGTCGAGGCATGCAGCCGGTATCGTCGTTGCTCGAGCACCTCAAAAGCAGCGCATCCTACTGCGATGGATCCGCCTACTACGGCCAGAGTCGGCCCGAGCCAGTGGCCTTCCGAAGCAGCAGTTGCAGCACTTCTTGGCCAACGGGAACCAGCAGTTTCGTTGGCTTGGAGCCGAGCGAGCCCGATCGTGCTCGTCGTGCGCGAAATTCCATGAGCTTCGGCGAGCCACTTTACGAAGAGGACGAGGTCGCTTTTTCCTTCTCTCTTTCGATTTCGTTCTTCTTTTCGTTTATTCTAATGATGCGTCGTCGTGTTTTCAGGACGGTAAATCAATCGCATCGAGCGCGCCACACCAAGTCAAAGAAAAACAACTGAGGCTCGGAGGAGGTGGCACACTCTTTGCCAATCCCAAGCCTTCCGTTGTGAGAGGACTCGAGACTCTGCCTGAGCCTGGCTTCGGGCTCGCTTTCAACGCCAGCAAACGCAGCGACGTCGACGTTATGCAAGTCTTGATGAGACTTTATCGTGAATACGAACAGATGATTAGGTACCTTATTAAATATCCTAAAGATGTTCTATTTTATAGAACTGCTCTTTTATTTTTCAGTCAACAAGAAAAATTCAAAGAACAACTCGAAGTGCGCAACAAAGACAAGAGCGCGACAAAACAACTGAGCGATATGGAAACTGCCTTGGTGGCCAAGGACCAGGAGATAGGCGCTTTCTGTGCTCTCTACCAAGAGGTACACTATCGCTTATTTTTCATCTGTCTTCGAATTCAAAACTAAACGTTGGCTCGTTAAAAATTTTAGATCGCTTCGTTGAAAAAGCAACTCCAACAGCGCAACAGTTTCGTCTGCATAACGTCGAGTCGGTCCAAGTCAAAGCAAGCTAGCTCTGCTCAGTTGGATACCTTTAGTAATCAATTTTACAATTGTCAGAACTTTGGTCTTCAGCAGCGAGACCAGACGACCTACGTCAGGCTCACACGTTTCTTGCGCGAGATCCAAAATTTCCAAAGAACTTTGGCTATGGCTTAATATTGATATCGTCCGATTTTCTTTACTTTGTCAACATCATTTCGTTTAATTTTACGTATCGTCTCGTTTTCTATATCGTCTGTAAAATACGGGTTTTTTCGTTTTTCGTGCAAGGAAAAATAAAGGACTATTTAACAATAATTTCATCTGAATTAGCTTTATTCATATTTATATATAGTATTCAACGATCCACGTGTACACTACGCGTTGAAACACTTAAAAATATTGTTCATATTATTTTGCACTTCTTGTTACCTCAACTATTACAAACTTTATTTTACTTTTCTTCAATGCTATACAATATGCTTCTAATTTTTCAATTATTTGTTTCGACAATGTCACTAAGCTTTTTCTATCTGCTTTTGGAAGTTATATTATTTTCGACTCATTCGTTAAAAAATATTCAACATTACACTTTGACACATAAAATTATAATGATTGGACAATCGCGGCAGGGAGAGTCCGTGCCAAAAGACACTATACCATTTGAATTCGGTCCAATTTACAACTGTAAATGTATTTCAAAACATGTTACGCTTAAATATCTCGTTGTAACGATACCATGATTTGTAGTTTGGATTTATTTGCATTTCACTTATATATTGTTGAATATATTTTTTTAATTACGAACAGCATTTTTGGTTTGAAAAAGACATTCATTTTTTTGTATCATGATGATTTTTATAATTTTTAGAGCACATTTGTGTGTACCATTAATTACACGATTCATTGCGTTTTAAAATTATTCCAATTGTTACATTCAATCGATAATTTCTTTTTATAAAGCTTCACTACTACCGATACACAAAATTGAATGTTGAAAATTTTACTATTCAACCTTCTTTACAGCCATGGTACAAAGAGAAAATGTGAAAAATGCATGCTTAATAAGTGAAAAATTATTTTAAGTACCATCGATTAAATTTCCACATAATGAACCTATAATTCATTACTTTATTTTCATTCATCATTTTTCACTTTGCTTGTTCAATTCATTAATGTGATAAATTAAGTTTTTCTTTTCTAAAATATCACAGACTAAAAAATTCTTTGGTCTAAAAAAATTAGCAATTAAAGTAATTTTTACATTTATCATCGTAATTTGTAATCCACGTGATACAATGACCGGCGATCTCAAAATCAGTTTTTTTTAGAAATTAACAAAGATATCGTCGTAATAAATAGTATCAAGAAACTCTCGGGGTGATACAATTTCACAGAAATGCTGCAATTCATTTTCGTCACCTCTGATAGTATCGAAGTGTTGAACAAAATCATGAAAATATAAAATTCGCATAACAGTAGATAGTATACAGAAATAACTTCAACAGGGGATAACAACTTTTGTCTCTTTTTACATGTAGAGCACGAGTATTTATATATTTATATATTTATATATTTATATATTTACAAGACTTTTCCTTCACAAAAATACTTTGAAAAAAATCTGCAAAATCTTAAAAATTCGCTTCTCTGAAAATCAAGGAACGAGCTAGAAGGCAAATTTTACCACAACCACACGCGATAAGACATTAGCTCTTCGGGTATTAAACAATTGTAAATATTTTAAAAATCGTATTCAATACGTAAAAAATATGACCTCTAAGTACACGTTTAAAGAAAGTCATTTAAATGCTATTATACATGATTATTTAAAACTCGTGCGTGACATAGATATATCATAAATGACGCTGAAAGAACTACTCATAAATATTCTGTTATCTCGAACGTGAATGTGTTATGCTTACAATTTGATTACCGATTAAAAAGGAAGTTACAAATAACTTGATACCATCGGAGCAGCACATAACGGTGAAAAATTCGATAATTTCTAGTATGAGTAAGTTGATTGATACTACTAAACAATTTACGAATGACGGTAAAAGTGTGATCGATCAGGTTTGAATTGAAAGCAGTCAACTTTACGGGTTTTTGGCGAGCAGAGCACTGACGAGCCTCAGCTTGGCCTTGGTCTCCTTGTACGATTCATAAATCATGCTGACTTCCGGCCCTCGATCTGCACGCTGCATTCGACGTCCTGCCCGAGCTTCGAATTGCATCTCAAGCTCCTTCAAAGCCCTCCTAAGACGCTTCTTCTCTTCCTTTGTTATACGTTGTTGTAGGAGCAGATCATCCCTAAGTAAGCAGAGAGTTAGCCAGAGTTTTTGCAGCAAATGCGTTGCAATAAGTTGGAAGCAAAAACGAGCCGTCTCACTTACTTGGACATGGAGTGTAAACTTTCGATGATGCCTCGGCTGCTTTCGCTGCTGCTGTGTTGACTGTCGCTGTCGGTGATCTGTTCGGAACTCGAGTCAATGCAATCGAGGATTCCCCGGTGAGACATGTCGGGCTCGCTGGCTCTACGCTCGCAATCGATAGGATTGCCAGAAGTCGAGCTAAAATCCATAGTCTCGTGTTCTAAAATCGTCTCGAGCTCCGACATGCTGTCAGTATACTGGTTCTAGAATAAACAAATTTAAATCGATTAAGCGGTAGCTCTTGAATCGTTTGGCATAATCTTGCGTTATGTATTGAATGTTGTATTTACCGCTCCAGCTCGGATAAGAAGTCGCTTGAGAGTACGGTACTTGTCATAAAGAGGTCTCACGATCGTCCGGTCTTCCTTTGAGACAGGCCTACCGAAAATGTTCTCTATATGCAGCAGGGCTTTTTGCACAGCAGTTTTTTCTTCCATCAACTGCTCATAACTGAGCTCCTCCATGTTGTCGGATCGGCTAGACTTGATGCGTTTGTCGGACAGTTTTCTCTCGACATCCACGACCATTTCGTTCATGCTCGACGCCCTCAGCTTTTCCTCGCTCTCGTTGCCAATGATGTTATTGTTATTGTTGTGCTCTTCGCGATTAAATCTTGAGCCCAACAGAGAACCAAAAACACCTTCTTTGAGAATTTTGTGCTCTTTGCGAACTTTGTTCAATTCCGTGACGAGTCGTTTAATGTCGCGGTTGCTCATCTTGTCAGAGTGGCTCGGTCGGTATCCAAAGTTGTCTTCGAATTCGCTCTCGTACCTCTTTATTCTCTTCTTCAAGCTGCTTATTTGCTTAGCTAGAGTCTTGAGACTAAAGTCTTTGACACTCGTGGCGTTCTCTTGATCGTTGCTGTATTCTTCGGAATAAAAACGTCGAGGTACCAAAATGGAATTTCGTGGTGATACCATATCTTCGATTCGTTCGCTGGTCTCTTCATCCTAGAAAAATTAAAATTGTTTCAGATAATTTGAACAAAAAATGCTGAGAGGTCCCTGGCAATTGATGTATACATTATTCTGACGCATGTGAAAGCCCCAATTAGCCAAAGTCGGATTGTTGGCATCGTCTGGCGTCGAGGAGGGAGGCCTGACTGGTGACGGTGATCTACTTGGACCACTACTGAGCATCTCCAGAAAGCTTTGACCTTGCTGACCGTTTCTAATCGAGTCCCCGCCGATGGTATAGATCACTTCTGGTCTATTTGACTCATTTTCCTGAAAATACAAATGAGCCAAATATCCAAGTTTTACTTTTCTACGAAAAAATAAAGAAAACAATAAAAGTGAGCTTATTATAAACCTTGCTGGAAGCTTCATCGCTGAGAGAGGTCCTGTGGAGCTTTAATCTTCTAACTTGCCTTCTTCCTTTAGGTATTATGCTACGGCTGAAGCGCTCGCTACTTCTTAATCGCTCAGCGTCACAGTCGTACTTTTCCGTGGCAAGCACTACCTCACCCGACGAGTAAATTAGAGACTGCCTGGACGATACGGGTGATGAATTGGTCCTTTCTTGTAGTGGTAGGCTGTTATGCCGCTGTAAGTAGCGTAAAAAACAAGTCAATAATTGTCTAGCTCGAGCAGAGTTTTGAGCTCTATAAATGTCATACTTACCGGACCATGCCCCATATCTTTTTGTAGTTTTGAAAGTAATAGTAAATGCTTAGACTTGTTGAAATCTTCGTGGCTACTGACACGCCTAATTGCTTTTTCCGTGGACTCGTTTCTGTTGTCGTTTTCTTCAGTCTTCGATACCTTGACGTTGTCCCAAATTTTTTCTTCGCTGTTACTTCTAAAAAATTCGATTATCGTCATTAATAACCTTATTGCAATTAGAAATGCATCATGGTTCGGAGTAACTTTTACCTAATGAGTTTCCGTTCTTGTCCGCAAGAATCGCTTCTGTCCTTGCGTTTAGATGGTTTGTTGGCGCCTAGACTGGCTGATGAGTTCATTGGCGAATTTTCGTACAAGTTGCACTTGGCTTTCGATTTGGTGCAAACGTCTAAAACGTTGCTCATTGAATTTTTGTTTAAGCTAGAAAAATAAATTATGTTAAACAAAAATAACATGAAAATTATAGTTAAAAGTATGTGTCTATGCGATGCCAAATTTCGCGACAGTTTTTCAAAAAAGATCAAATCTCACAATTTCTAAATGCTCGACTGGGTGAATGGCCAAAGCGTCATATCGTACATCAAAGAAAAGGCCAAGGTAAGGCTTTGCATATGTACGTATAATTTGACTGTATATATTTGTATAAAAGCATGACACTTGCCAAGTGGCACGCGATCTTTACGCACGCATGTGTCGTCAGAAAAACGTCAATGTACTCGACGCGTGGCCGAGCAAACATGACTGAAATACGTTGCTCTAGACGTTCTAATTAATGTCTTTTTTGAGCTCTGACAAATGAAAATATCAATTTGAGATATGAAGAAAACGATATCGATGGCGTGACCAAGTCACATTATATATACGATGTGAAAAAAAAATATTCACTTGGTGAATGCATCAGCTAATGTCATCGATTGTTCTATAGAGTCTTAAATGCTCTATGTAAAGAAAGAACGATATGTAAAGAAATATTTGGTGACGCAAATGAAAAGATATTGCATAAAGCGCTCATGGCAAATAGAGATTTGTTCATCATCAGCCGTAGAATGGCGTTTAAATAAATATATTTCAGCATTTAATCATATTGAATTAGATTCTGCTTCAAGAGCACGATTGTGAAGCGGTAAAGTAAATATATATCTTATCACAAAAATTAAATAAGTACAGCAAAACACCGAGTCTAATGCATTGTACGACAGGCTATACTTGGTCAGTTGCCACTCAACATTGCTGCAAAGAGTCTGACGCAAATGAGAATTTTTATCGTGTTGTTACTTTTTAAAACGAAGTGTTTCATTTATGGGATTGATGTAGATGGATCACAGTTTGCGGTTGAATCGTAGTTTCGAGTGCCTTGTGTGACTTTCCGAACACGAGAGCTTGCGGCAATCAAGCTCGCTGACGCGCATCTGCCTCGAAGCTAATTTGCGCTATCAAAAAACAACAAATCTTAAGAAATTCTAAACAAACACGATCGAGCGCGAAAAGAATCCAAGATCTGGAAAACAAACTATACGCGGACTCGCTTAAATTGAATAACAGCGCGGGCGAATCATTTCTCGGCGGTTCCGTATCGCGCTCGTAAAGTTGAATTATATCGTAGTTGAGGAAAATGACAATGCAGATCGCCGGCGAGCGCAGGTGATGTCATACTCGATTCGGGAGTAGTATAATCGTGCGCTGCAATATTTGGAGCGCCGGAACACACGAGCATCAATGCACGAGTCGAATGCCGATGAATCGGCAGCTTTTTCGATCTGTGTGGCGTGCGTGTTAGAAGGCGCATTGACAGCGCAAATTGCAAAAAGTGCACGCGGCACAGAGGAAGATTTCCAATGGCCAAGCAGCACGCGGTTGCCTCGATTAAAGTGTTATTCACGGTTATTTTATGCAGCGTAAACGGAAATTCAATGTGTCAAAGTCGCGAGTATTCGCAATTAGTCGCTGATTGTTTGCTCGAATACGTACATAAATATTATACGATTGGTATATGTAAACAAGTCGAACAGTATAACAAACGGCTTGGTATAGGCAACTCGAGCAATGCACTGTATCGAAAGAAAAGTAAGTATAGAGAAACTTTCACGAATCGATGAAAAAAGACGTGTAGTTGACGGCACTGGTAGACAGTCAGGCAGCTGCCTGGCACACGCACCTCCAGACGAGAGAGAGAGAGAGAGAGAGAGAGAGAGAGAGAGCGAAATAGCTGCATAGTAGATTGAAAACTCACCGCATCGATCAAAATCGGCTCGGCACTGCTCGGAGCTCATGTGATGACAAACATGAGTTTTCTCCTGTTGCAGCGTAGCCCCCTCAAGTCACAGACTATCCTCTCGAGAAGCCGATGAAACATTTAGAAGACGACTAGACTTTGATCGTTAATTATTCGACGCTCGGTCGAATCCGTCAGCAAGATCGCGCACCGTTGCAGTTCGCGGCTCGATCGGTTGGCAGATAAGTCAATTTGCGTGGACGCTGGACGTCTATTCGGCCACGCGCGTGCAAAACTACTAGGGCTATTTTCGACGAGTAAGTCGACGAGCAAGCGGTGCGGACGGGCGAACGCGGTAGACCGTACTGAGTCGCTGTACCGACGTAGCAGAGTCGCGTTCGGAAGCCAGCGCGAATAACAGCCAACGAGAGAGCGAATAAGAGGGAGTCGGCCAAATGCCGGCCGCGCGCCGCATAGCACGCAGACAAAAAGACGAGCAAGCGATCGTTGCAGGGAGAGAGAAAGAGAGGAGCATAGCTGCGGCGAGGCAGTCGTGCGCTCGCCGCCGACAAATTCTCTCTCGATCTATGTACATGTGCACGTAGTACAGCTCGTGTTCACCTACATACACAATATGTACGTTCGCGTGCCCAAGTGCAGAGAGTAAAGTCATTGCAAAGACGTCGGGCTAAAACAACTCGCCGAACGACGTATGCACGAGCTATAGAAGCCTATACGAGCGGTATCGCACTGCACTACTGCAGGTCGATGCTAGACACGCGGACTCCAAGCTCGATTTGCAGCAGCAGCAGCAGCAGCAGCAGGCCACGCTCGACGCTATACGAGCCGCTCGCTCGCCTTCTCCAATCTCGTCGTCCGACTCGCGCGCCGATCGCTGCCCATCCGCCAGCCGCAGCTAGCGGAATATTCCACTGGCACGCGCGAGCACGCACCTATCTGCAGCCTATACAGCAGACGACTCGACGCCGCCTACCATAACAAACAAATAATAGCCATTGAATCATGGGGGAAATTCCCCGAAACTTGGGCTTCTCCCATCTCGCCCGGAGGATCGCCAACCTATAGGAAAACGATAACCCATGCTTTTGCTTAACTTTTCCCCTTTTCCCTCGGAATAATGTAGAATAATTTTAAAAAATTTGTCAGTCAGACAAGTCGATCACGCTGGGAGCTTTCCAGCCCCAATAAGCAGGATAATAGTGACTCGTGAGCTTTTCGACTCCGTTTCAAATTAATCCAATAAATTAGTCATTTATCGCAGCTAATGGCCGATGAAAGTAAGAGTAAACGTCAATTTAAACGCAATCAATTTTATCAGTTCGCCACGCGCGTGGGGTGTACTTGCTCGATCGTTGACCGGCTCGATGAAAGAAAAGCTAGAGACAGAGCTTGCGTCACGCTAGTGCATCAATCGGTCGACACGATTTCGCGCAATCGCTCGGGAGAAAGTTGAAAACAAATAAAAAATGTGGCGCGCGCCAACCGGTTCGGAATTAGACTTTGTGCGCGAGACTGCAAGCTCGCGTCGGCTGGAAGCACGACTGCAGCAGACACGCATAAACAAGCGCGTCGGGCGTGCGACAATGCGCAGCTAAAAAAGCTTTGTTGTCTCGATAGATATTAAATCCGTGAGCACGAGAGCTCGAGAGCGCTCGGTCGAGGGATATTTTTAAAAGGTCGCGACTGACGCGCGCCCGAGTCGAAATACAAAGCCCGAGAGCGCACGGTTACGATCGTGTATATCGAGAGCTGTCGTTGACCGACGTCATTGGCGCTCGATAAAACATCGATGCTATATATCTGTAGAAACGTCAGGGGCTATGCCAATATTGCACTGTGTGCGACACGCGCTCGATTATTTCGAATCGGATGCGCGATAAATAGGCTCAATTGCAAGTCAGCTGGGAGGCAGGGGGACTTTGGGCTTTTGCCGCGACGCAAGCTCGTAAACGTCTTCAATTGTAAACGATTAAGCCACTCGGGCGCGTGCATGCGAGCGTGCGTTTGTTTACAATATGCATGTGTCTACATTCTGTTGTTGCTGCTGCTGCTCGGCGAATTTTAAATGAACAAACACGTGATCGACAACAGACGTTGTTTTGTCTGCACAGTCCTTGAAACTGGAAGCGATGAGATACAAGAGTTGAAAATACCCAGTAACCCAGCCAAGGTTTTTGTACCTCGGAGTCGCGAGAAACGTCCGCGTCGAGTTTCGACAACTCGACGAGAGGATAAACGACTCATCGAAACCTTGCGTCTGTCGTGCGCACAAGCACAAACAGATCGTAGCAGCTCCGAGCAGATGCCGAGCTTTGCTAATGAGCTTTAAGGCTTCGCTTATCGCGTAACGCGTTCGCAGTCGAAGAAAAGTCGTTGGTTTTCTTGCGCAACGCGTCGGGACTCGCTTACGAGCCGAAGCTCCGACAAAGCTTCGCTGGTACATCGATGCCTTATACACGATCGTGTACGAGGAGTGCACATGGCAGCAAAATGCCGCGCGGAGCTGCGGGAGAGTCAATTATAACTCGTGTGCATTATGGACTCAGCAATAAATATGTACAGCGATAAGAGGACGCGCGTTATTGAATCGTGTTATTGAAAGAGAGAATCGAGCGGCTACATAACAATGAGGCTTGTTTATGCAAGGCGTCGCCCGAGCTCGACCTGGAACACTTTGTCCGAGCCGTATATCGTCGCCGGCTATCGAATGTCCGGCTCGGCTCGGAGCGGCCATTGTCGTATCAGCTTACGAGGCACAATTAACAGCAGGCACAGCGCAACGATCCCCACTCGACACGCGGACGAATGCCAGAGGGAATTACTCACCTATTGTACTGAGCAGCGATTATCGAGCGAGCGTCCTGGAGAATGTCGCGAAGCAGCGGAGCAGAGGTCGCCAAGCCGGGCAGCAGCAGCGGGCCGAAAGTCGCCGGGATCGCCCTGCTGGGCCCGTGGAGCTGCTCGTAACGGCTAAAGAACAGCAGCAGATAGGAGAAGAGGCGCTGGTTCCTCGGGGCCAATTCCGAGCAGAGCAGGCGGCGCGTGTCGGCCGCCCATCTCTGCTGGTCGTTGCAGCGCTCGTCTGTATAACGAACAAGACCATCAGCCACTGACTTTCAATAATTGATAGACGTAGCAGCGTAGTTTTATACTCACGCGCGTGAAGCTGGCAGATCTTGTAGAGGCAAGAGGAGCCGAGAAGGGGTCTGGGCAGCTCCTCGAGGTACTGGCGCAGGAGGATGGGCGCCACAGCCGGGCAGCCAGCGGCAGCGCTCTCGAGATCGGCATCGCCTCGGCGCTCGAAGCTCTGTCTCAGGCGCTCGGCCAGCTTGCGATTGGCGCTGCTAGCGGCCCCGATGGCCGCCGCCTCGAACAGGCCGGGATTCTCGAAGGCCCGAGACTCGCAGAAGCTGCAGAGCCGCTGGACGAGCTTCGGCACGCCCGTTTCGTTGTGCAGCTTGACGCAGTCGAGATCGATCCCAAAGCCGGCATTATTGCCGGCTCCGTGGTTCGCCACGATCCGGCCCAGTAGTACCCTCTTGACTTTAGCCAGGCGTGACTCGTGTTCTTTACCGTTGCCTGTTGGCTGCTGCTGCTGCTGCTGCTGCTGATAGCGTCGTTGGTGGCTGGGACATTGAGATTGTTGCTGCTGGATAAGAGCCGAAGACGAAGCGGGAGCAACGGAGGACGAGGAAGAGGAGGTCGACGAGCATGACGTCGGCAATGGCTGAGTTACCGTGACCTTCGTTCGGTCCAGCTGCAACTGAGCTTGCTGGTAGAATGGCTCTGGTTGAGGGCCTCTCATTCCACTCGTTCTGCTACACCTCGAGCCACTGCCGCACTGACAAAGAGCACGACGATCCATCAGATTGGCACACGTATCTTTTGATTTAGAATGAGTTGGGATATACTCACGATGCACTCCTTGGCGACTCTCCACAGGTTGAAATGCGACGTCGTGTAATCGAGCAAAGGCAGGGGCTGCTGCTGCTGCTGCTCCGGCTGGCGTCCTCTGCTCTGCGCTACGATGCCGGGACTGGGGCGGTCGGACGACGTGCCGAGGCCGAGCCGAGACGCGACGAGCTCAAAGCCGCTCGGGCTTTTTCCCGAGGCACCGAGGACGCGGTTGCGAGCCGCTCCGACAACTGGCCCCTTTCGAGTCGTAGGCTGCTGATCGCGACTGGCGATTCGCGGCCGCTACCACCGAGTCCGAGGACGCGGGCCGCGCACAATCACAACTAGCGTCCTCTTTGGGCCTATCACTCGACAGCGCCTCGGTACAATTACAACTAGTCCAATTGCACGGCTCGTTCGAGGCTCGTTCGAGGCTCGCTGGCCCGAGGGCGACGCGTTTGCAACGGAACTGGTGCTCCTTTCTTCTTCTTCTTCTTCTTTCTTTTTGTCGGCATTAAAAGGCCTCTATGGCTGCTTGAGGAAGTGAGTCGAGACTAGTCGTAGGGTTAGCATGTATGCAGCTCGATGTGCCTATCGACGGCCGACTTACTGGGTAGTGCGCACCTCGTGACGCGCGATTCGCTCTCGGGAGCTTGCGGCCTCGAGCTCGGCCAAAAACTTGTCTTTTACCACATCACCGTGCACCGTCGCACTGCTTCGTTTTACTCACTGCTGCCTGCTGTAACAGAAGAAAAATTAATCGACTTACGCTCGTGTAATTCCAATTTTTTTCTCTCGTAAACTCGAACTAGTGTCAACTCGCGCGGTTATATGCACTGCTCTACGTAATTAGATGTTGGCATTTTTGAACGTCGATGCAAGGCATGCGAATCGATCGGCCCGATGAAATTCTGCCGTATATAAATTACTTATATAATACGTAATGTTTGGCGCGGAAAAATTATGCATCGTGTGCGTCGGACGGCGGAGCGCCACAATCGTCTTTTTGATCGTTTGATTTTAATTCAAGGGCCGATTCGTTACAAACACAAAACGTAACCGACGCGCAAAATGAAAGCGATCTTGTAATCCAAATGATGCATCGAGCTTTTTGCGAGAAAGAGTAAATAAGAATAAGGCGTACTGGAGGCGGGCACGAGTCTCTGCTGCGACGTAGTAAACACAGCTGGTCTGCGCAGGCACTCGATAGCTCGCAAGCTCGCTCGGACGTGCAGGCGCGCTTCCGCGAGCGACTGCAGGCGTGTTGGGCTGCACGTAGGCTCGCGAGCAAAACATCGCAGCGGCGCAGTAGCACATGCCACATGCACGGGATTGCTCGCGATCTCGTCTACGTCGTATAAAAAGTACAGGCAAGCGCATAACTCGTGACCGAGTCGGGATTCGGAAGGCGGCGAGCGGCTGGATTATGGATATGCGTGTCGCAAGCTCGCTTCTCTGGATTCTCGTGCAAGCTGGTCAACAAGCCCCGCCGCGATGCGCGCGCACCTCGTGCAGCCCGCGGCTACCTACACTACGTACACCTTATAGCCTCGTTTCTCTTTGGCGCGCTCCTGCTGATCGATATTACCCCGAGAGCCACCCACGCAACGAGTCAGAGCAGCCAGAGCACTGCTGCTCGTCTCCGAGCTGTACCTCGCCAAGATGCCGCGCAATACGCTCGATATTGCCAGCTGTTTGTTTATATTTACTTGGCGTCAAGAAATGCTTTGCTCGTTTGCTTGGCTCGCGCACGCCGCCACTACCGTTGCTTTCGGATCCTCCCTTTTTTAAAATTCACGCGCTGATTGCTAGATTTTTCGAATCAAGTGCAGCTACGTATCCAGCTAACGCGTCATGCGCGTCGCTCTTTTACCATCGACACTCGGACTAAAGTGTCCGTTTTCACGTTGCAAGCACGCTAATTTTTCCGCTAATTTTTCGCTATTCTTCCGCTCGCGTTTGTCTAATTTTTGCGCTCGCCGATGCCGATGGCTAAGGGATTCGTTAGAGGGAAGTTGCGATGGAAAGGCCAACGACCGGCTCCGAGCCCCACGTAATTAGGCCGATTCGCGATTGGATTAGAGCAATTAGCGCAGCTGTGCAGCGCGCGTAATAATTTCCGATAAATTTTCTATTTTTAGCGCCTTCTCCAAGCGGCTGCTATCTACGACCGGGCTATCTATGCCTACTTTTATTCCACTGGGAAGTCTGCGTCTCTGCCACTCGCCGATAGTAAACAAATAGTGAGGTGAATTATTATCAACGAGTTTCGACACTAGGCCTGTAACACTGTACGATACCTCGTGACAAGTTCAATTTTTGACGCTTGCAGTTTGATTCGCAAATTGACGCAATTTCGATAGCAGCAACAAAGAGCCGAATCAATACGATGCGCTGCTTGCAATAAGCTCGCGCGAATTCACGCATCCACGCGTTGCACCTACTCACGTCGCAATTGCGTTGCTCAACCGTGTGCCCTGGTCGCTGCTGAATTTTCTGGACTGCGAGCGAGGGAAAGTCGAGCACAATCGTCGCGCACTACTCGAACGAAGAACTGGAGCAAAGGTTGATCGCGGACACGCCGCGGCAAACGGCTCGATGTACTCGCTGGCGATTTTCAATCGAGCGCGAGACAGTTTGACGTTGCAAAGTGCGACGAGTGGCCGAGGGCCCACATGGCGCGACTCGTAGCTAATTCTCGCACTGTACCTGAACTTGCTAGATCTCGAAAGCCAAGACTGACAAGTGCAGCGATACTCGTGTGCGCGGGCGGCGAGTCACACTCGCTCGGTCGCCACTCGACGAGATTAACGTTGCAAATTCTGCGCAAGCGTAGCCGTCTCCAGTTCTCGACTTTCCTGCAGTCTCATTGACGTCCGAGTATGTCTAAAGCTCCGAGCCTCTGTCCTATACTTATATATAACCGCGATCAGTAATCATTCGCAAGCTCCGCCTTTTACGCACTAGCAATAATTTGCCGCTGCCATGACATGCCAAACTTTGGCCATGTACACGATTTTCTTTGCTAATGCAAATTAAAATTTACGAACGAGTCCCCCCCATAACTACCTACCTGTCGCTGATTCCGCGAGACATTCGCGCTCATAGCAAGATTATTTATTTGTAGCTGCATATACGCAGCGAGTTTATAGGTGAACTGCGGCGGCGCTTTCGAACTGACTTGGCGCGGATTGATTTTAATGACTCGCGACCTGCTCTCTCGGTCCGCGATGCGCTGCTAGAACCGTGAAAAGCGTAGTTATGATTCGCAACCAAAAAACTGCTCTGATCTGCTGATGTTACGCGAGCTTTATCAGCCAACTGTCTTACCTCATAACCTCTTTCGAGGAATCGCTACTGCCGATCGGAGATCCCTCGATTGTAGAATCATCCGCAGCGATCAGCATGAAACTGCATTACTGCACTGATGTATAAGCTTTAATAGGTAATGTACCCTGCCAATTATCAGCCGTTTGAGCCGTATAACGTATTGTCTAGTTGAGCAGCTTTATTTGGCTGTACTACATATTACGGAGCCTTGCTTCCGTGAGTTCGGCTAACACGAAACTTTGCTTATACTCAATGCCAATTACGCTTTCTGCTCCAGCTCCAACTGCCTGACGACAAACCAAACTGCAAATCCATGTGCCCTGCATGACCTGCATCCCCACATAATGTACGTATCGATTGTTTATTTCTGTGTACGATTAAATTTCAAGAGTTCCCAGTGAACGCTATAAGCCTCGTGTTCTCCGCTACGGTGCCCTGCTCACTGCAGTTGCTGCAGTCACTTCTACTACTGCATACTGCTGCTGCTGCTGCTGCAATACACCTTAGCACCCATCTTACTTTCGCTACTTCCCGAATTGCGCGCCCCGAGCCCTACATTACATTTGACCATCACAATACGTGCCTCTATCTCGATATAGCTCGCGACTCGCTCGTAATTCGCGATTCTGTTCGTCGTGCTCTATTGTAAATGGGCTCCAGCAGTTTATAGCGAGTTCCGAGCCTCAACTCTGACTTTTGAGTCGCTCTCGAACGTATTACATATTAAGTTCTCGTCGTCTCTCGTATCCTCGATAATCAGCCGATACGGTCGCTCACTAGGTACGGTTCAATCGCATTGTTTCACATTCGAACTTGCGAGCTACATCTGCGTCTGCTTACCAAGATCTGCTACGGGCGAATCTCCAGTCTCGAGCCTATACATCCACGTTTTTCTGTGGCTCGCGCCTTACTGCTACTGCAACTGGCATTTAATCAACTTTTTTCACTGACGCTATCGCAACCTCTCCTTTCTTCACCATTGCTAAAACGCCACGAGGTAGCGACCATCTACCCAATTGAGTCTATCCTTTTCCACTTACCTTGCGAGTCACACGCTTTAACGCAACTCATAACGTACCTCGTCGCTGCTGGCATAAACAATTCTCGCAGCTTACTGACACGCTTAGCATTTGCTCATTTATCTGCTGATTTATCCGACGACATTGACAATCCTTTTTTACTTTAATGTAGCTATTGTCAGTGCAGATAGTCTTTCCCCGTGCAACTCGAGAGACAATGCTCTAACAGTCTGCCAGTTCGACGGATTACTGCCTCTCGACTTTCTACGACCGTGTAGCTCGACTATAAAGAGAAAGAGAGAAAATAAGACTGAAGAACGCTTTGACTCGAGCATCACTGGTTCAGCGATATGGGTAGAAAACGCAGATCTCACGATAGCAATGCTGATGCAAGTGGAGATTCTACAGCATCTAGCGATAATAATGCTATGAACCAAACAGACTGTCCACACTTCAACAAGTCTATTTCTATTCCTAAGATCAGAAAAAATGTCAAGGACAAGAAGTACGATGTTTGTCAAGATTGCCAAAAGGAGAATTTCAACAATGATATGGACAAAGATGATGATGATAGCGAGGTATTCTACTTATTTATTTGTCTAGTTTATAATAACTGATTCGTATTAACCATGCATATTTTCCTCTTTTAGAAAGAAGAATCTCTCAATTTATGGCTTTGCTTGCAATGCGGACACATAGCCTGTGGAAGAAACAACCAATCTCATTCTTTGAAGCACTCGACTAAAGCAATGAGTGACCCTCATCATGTTGTAATAAATTTGCAAAACTGGGGCATTTGGTGTTACAAATGCGATGAATACCTTCATTTAAAGTACATCTTCATTTAAACACAGCTCAAATTTTAATTACAAATTTAATGAAATATTTCTTTTTTAATTTTTACAGAAAAAAACAAAAAGAAAACATAGAGCAAATAAAATCCATAATCAAATTGACCAAACCAGTTGTACAAAAGCCTGAATTGCCTGTTTTATGTCAGAACAACGTGTCTACAGACAATGGAAATAATAAAACAGTCAATTCAATTCCAAAAGTTGGAGTAAGTTTTAAATTTAATTTTAAATAATATTTTTTTTTAAATAAACCTAAATTTAATGTATAATTTATCTTTTAGGGATTGGTTAACCTAGGAAATACTTGCTTTTTCAATTCAGTGTTACAATGTTTAGCTCAAACACCTTATTTAGTAAAAGTTCTTGAAGATTTGCTTGAACCTGATCAAACATTTGTCTTACCTGGAGGAAAATGCAAAACAAATGACAATGAAGAAATTGAATTAGTGAGTATAATTCAATTTTGCTTATTCTTCTGTATAAAAATTTTAAATCTACCTATTCTTACTTTTAGCCTCCCATTGAAGGAAAACTAGATAATAACTTCACTTTCACACCTGTATTACTAAAAACGTTGACAGATATGCAGCAAGGGGAAGGTCAAGTGTACAGACCTTCTGAATTATTAAATGCATTGAGAAGAAAAACAATGCAGTGTACCGATGGTGGACAACATGATGCTCATGAATTACTGAGACACTTACTAGAGTGTGTCAGAAATGAAGATGTAAAGGTAATTTGAAGCTATTTCTTTTTTTTTTAATTCTATCATACTTATTTTGTGTTATTTAATTTTTGTTTTATTTTACAAAGCGATATAAAGCAGTAATATTAGAGGATGCTGGATTGAAGGGTAGAGTTACTTCACTGGATACCGTTGAAGACAGTAAAAAGGCGCAAGTAAAATTTTATGGAATCCAAGCAATGGCAAAATTGTTGGGAGCAGAAAGAGCTTTCAGAGGAGAACTTGTATCAACTCTTCAATGTCAAAAATGTAATTACACATCGATAAGAACAGAACCATTTTTAGACCTCAGCTTACCTGTTCAAATAACTGAGAAAAAAATCGTTGTATCTCATTTGAAGTAAGTAAAATAATTAAATTAAATATGAAACATTTAAATTTACAAAATATTCGTTTTAATAGGAGAAAGAGCTCAAATTTAGATAATTCTTACGATTCAATGGGCAATAAATCTTCAGCTTCTCTAACAAGTAAGGAAAAAAGAGCTATTAGAGCTGAAAAAAAGAAGAATAAAAAATTAAACCGTAATGATATAAATAATTCTAATACTAATAATGTAGCAGGCGATAAAGGAAACGAATCGGGTGAGTAAATTCTATTGCGATTAGCTTTTTAGCACAAGAGTTAAAAATATTATAATAACATTAATATGAAATTTAATTACAGAGGATAGTGACGCAGACGTGGAAGATAACGTAGAGAATGAAGATTTATCAATGCCAGAAATTGGTGAGTCAGGGTATAGCTCTGAAAAAGCATCAGCACTAACAAGCCCTGCATCTCCCGGAGATCACCTTTTAACCGATCAAAACATTAACAATGTCGAATCCAATAATTTATGCGCGGAAAACAACATGTCTACGTCCTCTTTAGATTTAGTTAATCTCAATGATAATAACTTAAATATTTCGCCGAGTTCGACTGATGTTCAAATGACTGATTTATCATCCGATAATCGAAATAACGGAATCGAATGCTCGTCGCGCTCAACATCTTCGCAATTACTTTCAGACTCAACGAGCCCAGAAGGAACAACTGTTAGGCCCTTTAATAGTCCGGTCTCAAACGTAGATAGTTCTTCAAGCCCAATATCCAGAAACGTAGATGATAAACAAGTATCAAGTGACAAAGAAGATTCGGAAAAGTAAGAAAAACACATTTGAACGTTTATAAATGAGCAGTCAATCTTACTTGCTTGTAACTTTTTTTTTCTCTCATACAGAAAAACAAATCTGAATGCACTGAACGATGATTCGTCCACCAAAAAAAAGTATACCAGACCGCAAAGATCAAATGGCCTCGGTGATGTGACATCGAATTTGATCAAGCTAGATTTGTCGAATGTTTTGGATTCATCTAGTAGGTACCAAGTAAATGAAGGTGAATGCTCAGTGAAATCATGCCTCAACCAATTCACTGACCAAGAGCTTATGACGGATAACAACAAAGTCATGTGCGACGCTTGTACAGAAAGAGAAAATAAGGTGAGTTTTATTTAAGGGTGTATAACGGCATTGACTACAATTGATGATCGAGCTAATCATTTTTCTTTCGTTTTATAATTTATTTAGGGCAAAAAAGAAGGTGTAAAAATGGTCTGTCAGGATAGTACAAAACAATATCTTGTTTCACGCGTACCTGCTATACTTATTCTACATTTGAAACGCTTTCAAATGACCAAATTTAGTTTTAGAAAACTTAACAAACATGTAAGTTTTCCTTTGGTCTTTGATTTAGCACCAGCCAGTAAAGATAGCACACCAAAGATGTACGCCCTGTACGGTGTGGTTGAGCATAGCGGAACTTTATACGGAGGACATTACGTCTCCTACGTCAAAGTAAGCTTAGCATTTTATATTTCTTGAAATGTTGAATAATGGATAAGTTTATTTGATTTTTAATTAACTTCTTTTAGTCAAGAGCACCTTTAACAAGAGATGACCCTCGATGGTCATTTTTACCAAACAGAGACAGTTTTGAAAGTAAACAATCGAGTAATATTAGCTCCGATGTGGATAGCGACGACTCCTCAACCAATGAAAAAGACCCTGCTAATGTGGAACCTCCATATGGCCGATGGTACTACATTTCCGACTCGAGGTAAAAGCTATAACCATCGATAATATAAAATAAAATATTGATTACTTTTGTAATGCGTCAATTTTGGTTTTTACAGAGTGACCGAGGTTGATGAGAAAACGGTTTTAAATAGCGAAGCCTATTTGTTGTTTTACGAAAGAATATTATAGATATATTGCTCTCCGATTAAACAAACTATCTACATTGTAAACTCACCGATTCGTGCTGATATTATAAAGAAAAAGGAAAAATCTTATCAATTATTGCATAAATTATACTTCAAGTAAAGTATACTACCATCCAGTACACATAAAAAATTTTCTCAGACGTCATAAATATTATTTTTTGAAGACACGAGAAAAAGAGATATTAAAAAGAATTACGTACCATTAAGGTTTTAAATATACATTTTATGTGTATTGTCAGATGTACATCAACAAAATTATGAAAATTTATTAGTATTTTAAAACAAAAAAGAAGAAAAGAACTTCTTCTAATGCTTATTGCATTCGATTCAAATTTTATTAAGCTCTGCTATATTGCGCATATTTTGTCATTTTTATTGTTGCCAACGATAAACTGCTTCGTCAATTTCACGAAAGCTTCAAAATAAAATTCACATATTTTGTGCCACACGATGTTGAGCCAAAATGAAATTATTGTGTGTAAAACCTGCAATGCTCACAGATAGCCAACAGATTTAAAATGTTACAATTATTGAATACTTTGCATTTGCATGTATATGCAAGATAAAAATGCTAATTTGTATAATAATATTAATAAATAGTGATAATAAAAAATAATAACAGTAATAATATTAAAGTAATAAATCATGTTGAAAAAAATTACTCATAAATATGTTCTCTATTGATATCAAAATTTAAACTTGTTTAAAATTTAAAATAATGAAAGCGGATTAAATGTAAACAGTCAACAAAAGTATTTTAAATAGCTGACTCGATCCTTTTTTTTTAACCATTATTTGCCCCAAGTGCCAGTTATCAAATATCGCGTACCACAATTTAAGCTTGGATAAAACTAATACAAGTATAGAGGATTTATGTTTTGCTTTGCAACATGAAATAAAAGAAGTTGCTCTTGATTTGATTTTGTTTGAAAATCAACTTTTATATTCACCGTTTCAATATTACATTTTTAAATATTAAAAATATATTAATTAGTTACACAGCTGGCATCATCTTAAAGCTGAGTTGTGAGTTAAAACGGCGATTCTTCTCATTACACGGATATGAAAATAACAGCTTCTCTATTCATTATTTTTCTTAGTTGAAAAAACAAACGAACCAGCGCAAATCAGTGAAATAACTTATTACTATATTTCAAGTTTATGTACAGATATATACATATCATTAATATCATTTCACCATAGGCAAACGAACATTATAAAAGGAAACTACTCTTTTCCCTAGATACATTAAAAAAAAAAAAAAAAAACTAGAAAAACAATGACTTTGATCATTTTGTTTTCATAAGTTTCTCACTTTCATCATTGCTAAAGCGCAAAATTGTCGAGATCGCATTTAGCATGTGACGCTTTTGCGCCGCATCTTTGCTCATTAAATAATTGATGAATACGTTTTTGAGGTATTCAAGATTAGCATTTTCTCGAGATTTGGATGCTTCTAATCTGAAATAAAAAACAAATTTGTGGTATAGATTATTGAAAAAATGTAACATTTAAACTTTATTTTTATACCTTTTAATTTGAGCTTCGTATTTTTTTATATTTTCCTCGTGCTTGTCCTGTGCATGAATCGAATTTCTTTCGAGCTCGCGCAACGCTGCTTCCATTTGCATATTCTGCTTTCGTAAAGTCGATACTTGAACTTCTTTACGAGCTAATTCTTGCGTATAATGAAGCATAGGTGGATTGTTTTCAGTTGATAAAATACTGGACATTAAATTACCCACATCATTGCTGCGCGTTCTAACTGTACCCGATGATTCCGAAGTGACTAATTTTTTTTTGGGTAACAATGCTTCAAATGAAGATTTGAGTGTTTGAATTTCTCTGTCTTTCTCTTGAATGACACTTAAAGAACGTTCACGTTGTCTCTGTAATTGTTGTTCTAATGTAGCAATTCTGTTTAAATATTCGCTATCTTTTTGACTCAAAACTTGTTCGTATTTAGTGTATTGCTCGAGACTCTGCTGTTGTTGCATTTCAAGTTTGATTTTGAATTCTTTTTCCCTCTCGGACATTTCAGAATAGAGCATTCTCAATTTTTCCTCCAAATTTTTATTATGAGATTTTGTCCGACATAATTGCGTTTCGTCCTTCGTTAAATTAGTATCGGTGCTTTGTGAACGGCTTGAACTAGTTGAAGCAAGTTTCTTAAAATCGTCGAATTCTTGACATATGTTATTGTACTTTTCTTTATACGTTGATTCCTCGCCTTTGTCAATGAGTTTTAAACTGCTTAAAAGCTCTGTAAAAATTAAAGTTTACCATAATAAGAAATGCCAAACCAGAAAAGTTTATGCCTTAACATACCTTTTATGTAAGTACATGATTTATTGTTATCTATTTCCATTAGCTGAAAATAAAGCTTTTTAATAGTATCAACATATTCTTGAGGACTTCGTACATTGTCAGATTTTTGATGATTTTGTAGACTTATTAATTGCTCTTTTAATGCATAAATAGCTTTCTGATCTTGATGACGATGTCGATCATAACTACCAACAACATCTGATAATTCTGCTAGGCGAGCTTCTAAAATTGCTACACGTGACTCATGGTTTGCGGCTAAAGTTTTAGCCTCTTGTTCAGCAGCAGCAGCTCTTTTTTGTTCCTAAAATATAATTTTATGTTAAACAGTGCAGGAGTCTATTTTTATGAAATCTTGAACATCCTACCTCAGCAATAGCATTTTTATACTTTTTCTTCATAAGTGACATTTCTGTTTGTAAATTCTGTAACATTGCTGGAGTTTCATTTGCAGCAGATTCAGCAATTTTCAGTTTATTTTTCAAAACATCAATTTCAGCTTCTAATAATCTGGTCTGAGATTTACTGTGTGCACCTGTTTTCAATTCCTTCAATTGTGCTTCTAACTGCTCTTTCATTAGCTGCTCACTTTTAATTGCTTTTTGAAGTTCTCTATGGTTGAACATTGATTTTGTTTCATATTAAATTAGTTGGCAATAATTAATTTTCATGAGAAAACTCACTTAGTTATTGCGGAATGATCATTTTGCTCTTTTTCTCTCTCATGCCTTTCCATTATTAACTTATATTTTAAATGTTCAACTTCTGACATAGCATGACCTTGTATTCTTTTCATTTTTTCTTTAAGATTTTTTACTACTCTTTCATTCTGTAATTATTTTATATTATGATTTACATTATATTATGTAAATTTCATTCAATTTGAACATCATTGACAAAATACCTCATCTCGTTCACTGCGAATTTGTCTCTTTTCACTTTGAAAATTTGCTTCCATTCGAGATTTTTCAGATGATAATACAGCCAATGAATTCATCAAAGTTTCAAGTTGTTTTTTCAGGCCTTCAACTGTATCGTCTTCACCTTCGACGTTTGATGATTTTTCGTCATAATTCTCCTAAAATTTATAAAACAAATAAATATTGAATGGATACAAAATTCAGTTAATAACACGAAAATAATACCTTAACATCTTTATCAGGAGTCACTTGTAAGTCTCCTTTTGTCTTCACATCTAAAGTAAGAGGTAAGGCTTGAGTAATGCTAGAGAAAGACTTATTCTTTCAAAAAAAATTCAGGAAATAAACATACCTTGAAGGTTATCTCGAATGTCTGTTTGCACTGATGAATTTTCTTTTTTGACATTTTTTTTAGAAATTTCCATTTTGTAAAGTATTAATGATATATATTATGTTTTTTGAGACTATTTTATAACATAGTAGAAATGTATACTTAAATATAAATACTGCTTTACTCAAACTTGACGTTGAGTTAACATATGTCAGAGTGTGATTGTTGACACTTATAGCATTGTATTGTATTAGTACACATTACACACCTCACATCACATAATGGATGCATCAGGGTTAAGTTGAGCATTTTCATCAGAAAACTCTTATGAGTATCAAAAATCAATAGTTTTTATCAAAGAATTGTAACTACCAATAAAATCAAGTCCAAAAAAAAAATCGATTTTTAGATAAAAATTTCCCTTTTAATTAAAAGAAAATTTTCATATGCCATAAGGTAACATATTTTTATCAGAAAAAATTAAATAAATTCTTGCATGTATATTATTTTAATATTGTATAATATATTTAAAACAACAAACATAAAATTAATAAATTCCAAACACCATTGAAATGAGATTATTCATTGCTTTTTCTATACAAAAATATTTTACAAAAAAGTAATTATTTTACTGAAATATCTTTCAAATATTTATATCACAATTTTATATAAAGATAACTGAAAAATTTTATTTTGGATTTGCAATAGAGCTATTTAAAAAATTCATTTTATTTTTGCCTCAATTTAATTATGATGGTGGAACCCATCCTCCAAAAGCTTTTTCTAATTCTTTGGCTACTGCAATGCATAACTGATCATTGTTTGGAGCAGCCACTACCTAAAAGTAAATTATAAAATTCAAATCAATATTAAAATAAAAATGATAGTTCAATCAATCTCCTTTTAGTAACATCTTGTTTACCTGAACTCCGATTGGTAATCCATTTTTATCAAGACCCATAGGTACTTGACAAACTGGAACTTTCAATACATTAAATATAGCCCAATATCCAAAACTGAAAGGACTCAAAAATGGAGCACAATGATATCTTGCAGAATTGAATGTTGGATATATAAGAACTCCTTTTTCTCCTAGTTTTTCCTATAAATTTTTGTTTCAGAGTAATATAAAGCAAAAATCTACATTGATTTAAAAAAAGTTTAATTTTATTTACCAATAAATATTTTTTCATTTTATGTGTAACATCTTGAGCCCAATCTCCATTTTCTTTAGGGAAAAAGTCATGGTCTATCAATTTAAGTACAGCTGCAAGGGTAACTTCAGCATTTCCCACCAGCATTTTTTTTATTTCTGCCACAGCGGTTGTTTTACCCTAGTTATTAAAATTATTCAACTTAATTTTCAAATTACAAAAATAAAATTAACAATTACATCAATTTTTCAAAAAAAGTTGATTACATCATCATAAAAAATGAACATTTTTAGAAAAAAGAAAGAAATAATATTATATACAAGTATTTTTGCTTACGTTATTATTAGTTAGATCTGATGTAAAATCAGCATCTTCTTGGGTCATCCAATAACGCCATAATCTGTAGCTGTATTCTGTACCTGGTATTTTCACCTGTTAATTTAAAATTTCAATTTATAAATTCTTAATAAATTTATATTAATTTTTTAATTTGCTACATACTTTTGTTGCTGAGCCAGTTACATGCTTTAAATGACTAATAGCTTTTGTAAGAGCTTCTTGAGCTGCTGAGCTTAGTTTGCTTGCTCGAATATCATTTGAACATTCTTGATAAAAAATATCAAGCTGTTTCACATCAACTTGTTCAGAGTTTAATTTGATTTCAATGTTTGGTCCAACAAATATAGACATAAGTGTATCCAAATCTTCAGCTTTTTTGCATATTGGACCTGCTTCTGCCATTGAATTATAATAATGTTGTTTTCTCAACCCTATTCCAACTAAAGAAGTTTTTCCTTCACTTGGCTTGAATCCAAAAACTCCATTTCTTGATGCTGGTATTCGAATGGAACCACCAATGTCACTACCAACTGCAAATGGTACTCCACAAGCAGCAACTATAGCTGCATCACCTCCACTGCTTCCTCCAACACCTCTAGTAGTGTTATATGGATTATTAGTTTGACCATAAATTTTATTTCTTGATTCTATCCATTGATTTAATTCAGGAATATTGGTTTTGCCAATTAATATGGCACCTGCTTTTTTAACATTTAAAACAACATCAGCATCTTCTGTTGAACGATGACCTTTGCGTTTTAGAGTTCCCATTGAATGTAGAGTTCCTAAAATATCAAAATTAAATAATCTTAGTAATAACTTAATTTACTTTAATTTATTAACTGCTAAATCGTACCTTTAGCTTCATTACTCTCTTTTGTCGTAAATGGTACTCCAAACAAAGGTAAATTTTTTTTAAGTTCCTCCGCAGACAGTGATTTATTTTGCAATAATGTATCAACTTCGCGAGCTCTTGCAATGGCTTGGTCATACTGATCATCTACAATTGCATTTAATAAACTATTGACTTCCTTACAGCGGTCAATAAATGCTGTAACTACTACCTCACAGCCGACTTTCCTTTCTCTAGAATTCATTTGAATAAATTATTAATGAACAGTTAGAGATCAGTTCATGACATAAATTTTTAGCGAAAATTACCTGATTTTTTTAGCTAAAGATATTGCACTTTCAAGTAATAGTTCATTCTTAACAGGTGGTACTTTTTGCACTTTGCTATCATAATACAGCCCAAAAATAAAATCGACAAAACAATCAAACAGCCAATGGATCTGAATGATTATCCACTTAACTACTTGCAGAGTCAATTTTTTACAGCTCATTCTTGTTTTTTTAGTATGTCGCTAAATAAAAGAAAAAAATGCCGATTAAATTCAATGATCAATGAGTGAAAGGGTATGTTGCAAAATAAATACTTTTTCACGGGTAGAGGTGCACATACTGTTACGATATCAGTTATCAGATAAGTTGTCAGCTGCGAATGACTCGTCAAAAAAAATCAACATATACAAAACGAAGCAGTTGTGTCACAGAATTATTTAATCAATGCTCATGTGAATAATTAAAGATATAAGTTTAATTATTAAAGTAGAGTTGTTTCCAGGTGAAAATTCGTGCAATGTTTTTTGATCTTTCAGGAAAGGGAATTTTGATAAACTGCATAAAATATTTGCACGACACTGACCATGAATAAAAACGCGTATCTGTAGTCTGTACAAGCTTTAAAATTTTGGCGAAAAATTTGACTGTGTCGATTTTTTTACTGTTCGTATATCCTACGCACAAAATTGGCACGCATTGCGGGCCGCAATGTGGCGACATCTAGTTGAGCGGAGATATAAACATGGGCGGCTGCTCGAGTCTCGACTACAATTTTTGTGCATACACAACAAATGAGTCAGTGTTGAGTATTCTCGGTCGTCAAGTCAAAATCAAGATTAAAAATCTTAGGATATACGATTCTCGAGTCTATTTAACATCCAAAAGATAAGTGTATTGGAAGAAAAATTTTGTGTAGCACTAGGTAGTCGTGTTTTTATGCCGATTGTTCAATTCCAAACTGAAGTATCTGTGTTTTATAAAGTTACGTTGTGAGTGTGGAGCATATTTAATATCTACGTAGAACAGTTAATATTACGTGCTCTAATAACCTCTTTGTAAACGTAGAAAAATTGCCCAGACAAACGTCAAAATCGAAAAAAAACTTCAGTGACATTTCTGTGGCAAGTCCTTGATTTTCTTTTTATTTATTGACAGTTAGCAAACTGGGTGCCGAACAATCAGCCATGTCCGTTTCTCAGATGGAGAGTATCCTTTTAAAAAATTGTTCATTCAAAACTTATTTAATACTATTTTTCCATTATTATTAATCTGTAACATTATAAAAATACTAATAATAATGCTATATTATTTCCTTAACGTTTTGTTATAACACAGAAAACCTTTTTAATCTTAAATTTGCTGTAAAAGAATTAGAAAGAAATTCAAAAAAATGCGAGAAAGAAGAAAAATTAGAAAAAGCAAAGGTCAAGAAAGCAATTCAGAAGGGAAATATGGAAGGTGCAAAAATTCATGCTGAAAATGCCATCAGGCAAAAAAATCAAGCTTTGAATTATTTGAGAATGAGTGCACGAGTTGATGCTGTAGCTAGTAGGGTACAAACAGCTCTGACAACAAGAAAGGTTACACAATCTATGGCTGGAGTTGTAAAAGCTATGGATGCAGCTATGAAATCTATGAATCTAGAAAAAATTTCTGGTCTCATGGATAAATTTGAGAGTCAATTTGAAGATTTAGATGTTCAAAGCTCTTACATGGAGAATGCAATGTCACAAACTACCACAACAAATGTTCCGCAAAATGATGTCGACAGCTTAATGCAACAAATAGCGGATGAGGCTGGGTATGTTCAATGCAAATTTGTTCTAAAAATATGCAAAAATCCACTTTATAATAATTGTTTTCAAATTTTTCAGACTCGAATTAAATATGGAGCTGCCTTCAGGACAACTGGGAAGTGTTGGAGCCTCAACAGCTGTCAGTCAAGAACAGGATGAATTAACACAAAGATTAGCTAGACTTAGAGAATAGATGTATAACAAAATCAATTATATGTATGATATAATTTTATGTATATTTTTAATAATACTGAAATGTTTATTATTATAAGATAAAAACACTTAATTTTATACAAGAAGTATTGGTTTGAAACACCCTAATTCTTACTATTGAATGACATCATATGAAATTAGCAGAGTTTTATCCATTGATGTCTGGTTTTTTTATCTAAATATATTTTCCTTTATATATAAAATACTACATATTCATTTGAATTATAATTTGGAAATGTACAGATTATGAAAAGGAACATTAATGCTGAATTAAAAATGAATTGTTATATTTTCCAAGATTATTACAGAGTACTTTCTAAAAAGCTGTTTAAATGCCTTATTTGTTGGATTGTTCCCTGGATATCAATAAAATCATCAAGGAGAAATGTGAGAAAACAAGCCTGCAAATCCTTTATTTTATTCCAACTTTGATACTCCTCATAAGCAGAGTAATTCTCTTACGATAATTTAATCAATGCTTCACATAAATAATGTCTGTTATGAATCATTAGCCATTGAAGAAGTAATATGCAAGAATATGGAACGTTTATAATTATATTTATTAATACCGTCAACTTTTTCTAAATGGAATCGCATTCCAATAATTAATTGTACGGTCCTATTTTTCTGTTTCTACTTATATTGCCCTAAAACATGGTGAATTACAAACAAAGAATTTAAAGGGACAGAAGGTGAGATGAACTGTCAAATTCATCGAATTATACAAATACACGTCACAAGTGGCGGCGCCTAGTGTAACCTATAAAAAAGTTGTAGGTCTGTGTTTTGGTTTTAGACTTGCGTCTTCAAAGTTAGAAATCACTGTAATCATCGGTTCCAACTTTAAAGTCTGTGTTTGCGCAATAATACATTGTATGGGTGATACGTTACTTATAAGACTGACAGTACTGTACTGTCACTAGTTGCACATCTGTGTGTTTTAATCGTATGCTACGCATAGCCTGTGTTAGTGTGTGCGCCCAACAAACATCGGAAATATTGTGTGTACTTTAAATTTTCTTCAGTGATTCACCACAGTCAAGCTTTGAAGCATCTCATACGCACTTATATTCGTCATCGACATTATATCAATTTAAAAGAGACATTCAGTAAATTGAGTATCATCATGTTTTCGAGCGGACCAAATTATACTAAATTAAAAACTCATCTCAGATTAGCAATCAATCGGCTAAAATTATTGGAGAAAAAAAAAACCGAACTTGCCCAAAAAGCAAGAAAAGAAATAGCTGATTATCTTGGTGCTGGTAAAGTTGAAAGGGCAAGAATAAGAGTTGAACACATTATCAGAGAAGATTACATGGTTGAGGCTATGGAGTTACTAGAAATGTATTGTGATCTATTGCTTGCTCGATTTGGTCTTATTCAGCAGATGAAGTAAGCACAGTTGATAATAATTTTTAAATAATGCTACAATATTCAATTTTTAATATTTTTTAGAACTCTAGATGATGGATTATCTGAAGCAATATCCACTATTCTTTGGGCAGCTCCACGAATGCAAACTGATGTGCAAGAAATGAAAGTCATATCTGATATCCTTACTGCAAAATATGGTAAACCCTACACTGATGCTTGTAGAGAAGAAGCATTACAAACCATATCAGAAAAATTGAAGCACAAAATGAGTGTACAATCTCCATCTAAAGTTTTGGTTGAGAAATATCTCATAGAAATAGCCAAAATTTATAACGTAGAGTATGAGCCTGATCCTCAAATCATGGCTGAAGGTCAAGATACACTTTTAATAGATATTACTGGTCAAACTAATAATTTGGATCAAGTTAGTGGTACTGCGCCTCAACCAGCTGGATTTATCGGATACCCTCAACCTCCGGTTCCTGCTAGTCTCGATCTAGCAACTGGTGACTCTAATCTACCAATAGGTTTCACAGTTCCAACTTCACCAAATCAATCAGAGAGAGAAGAAAATAAATTCAATCCTGCTGCTTTTTCATATAATATTCCTCTGGATAAAGCAACAGGGCCTCAACCAGGACCACTCAATCAATTTGTACGTACTATTACATAATTTGAATCAAACAAGAATGAATGTTAGGAAAGTTCAATATATAATTTATTGAAATTTATTTGCATAGGATGATGATGCCCCACCGCCATACTCGTTTCCACCAGATTTGAACAAACAATCTGATCAAAAACCAAAGCCTCAACCTCGGTCTAAAATGCCTATGAATGATTTCAATTTACCAGATTTACCTGCAGTACCAACTGACAACGATGGTCCGTCAAATGCAGGTGGTAGTGGCAGCGGTGGAGCTAGTGGAGAAAACGACGACATTGACTTTGACGATTTAATGAAACGCTTCGAAAACTTGAAAAAGCGGCATTAATATGTGTCTAATTATATATTAATTATTTTCAGATTCGCTTTAACATTGAATATTTGAAAAAAGTATGTTAGTTTTTCAAAAATACCGCTTTTTTAAGATTGTGTATGTACGCACTTATTTTAACGAGGTAGATTGTGCCTTTGTAAAAAAACATGTAAAAATAATGCCAAAAGAGCCGAGACTCTATATAAAATTTTGATTTTTATAAGCTATGTATGTATATGATATATTAATGTAAGCATAATTGTTTCATTCTGTACATAATTATTTATAAGAGTGTATCAGAGGCGGACAAAAGATAAAATATAACGATTAAAATAAGTCAAAATTGAAACTATCAGTTTTTGTAATCGCTGTCAAAAGTTGTCATAACTACTCATCATCCCAGTCCTCGCACATCTGCAATCCGAAAAATAGTTGTGAGTGCGAAGCCGCAGAATAAAAATGAATAGTTACAGACTTACTTCACGTCCCTTCTCAGCGAGGCAAGTGAGAAGGTTTTGGGAAAATCGACACTTGTCTTGGCGACCATTATTAACAATGTAATGGTAGCACTCGACAATGGACTCCTCGATGAAGTCTCTCAGCTCGGGATCCTGCACGTTCTGCGTCATCATGTTAATTACGAGGGACCTCTCGGGAAAGCCGCGTTGATCCACCTAAAAAGCTCGATTATTAGAGCTAGTAAACGCACGAACGAGATGTAACTTACCAAATTGAGCTCATTGAAAAAGCACTGGACGACGCACTGTAAAATGCAAAACGTTCAATATTGTCAGAGCTCGCAAACGATTGCGATTCTTGAATTTCTTACGCTCTGATCGGTATTTCTGTCGAGTCCGCTGTTGCCTTGCATATTGCCGGAAGAATCTCGATAGTTGGCGGCTCCATTGCGTCTGCTGGTCTGATAATTTGTCATATCGTTGCCGTATCGGGCTGGTGCATTGTGGCTGTCAGAGTAGCTGGAACTTCGAGGATCCATGGCCATGCCAGCGTTGCCAAATCGACCATTCATTCGTCGATGATTACCGTAGCTCTGATCGTAATTGCTCGAGTCGTAGCGATTCGATTGTCTGGGCCAGCTATTGCGTCCTCTAGCCATGTTGTTCCTCGAGCTGTTGAATCTGTTGTTCATGGAGTTGCCGTAGCCGTTGTTGCGGTTTCCGTAGTAGGCATTATTGGCGTTGTTCCTGTTGCCGCTGCCGTAGGAGAGAAATTTATTGTCGAAAGGGTCCTCGTCGGAATCGTCGGAGCTCTCTTGAGAATCGGTTGCGTAGTCGCCCGTGCGGGAATCCGAGTCGTAAGACGAGCCGTAAAAGCCGGAAGTGCGACGTCGGCAGTCCTGCATCACTCGCTGGAACTGGTCGTCGCTCTGGGCATTGCCGGTCCGGCAGCGAAGACTCTGCAAAAAATGAGTCAATGGTCATTCGTTCGAATCACATCGCTCGACTTCTTACCAGAGAGCCCTTTATTTGCGTCGTCAGGATGAGAAAGAGGCAGACGAGGCCCGCGAGAGCGTAACGTTGCATGTCGCACAAGAGTACACCGAATATACGAATAGACGACTCGGAATTGCTCGGAGAACGAGTCGCGCCGATGCGACCGGACGCTGCCAGTTGTCCAGCAAAAGTGGACTCATCGCGATTGATCGCATCGAGACGGGATCGGTGCTTCCTGCGATCGCTCTAATTACTCGTCGACCCTGAAATAGACAGCTGACGGCTGACTGTGTGGATGCTAATTTGACTCCGACTGCATGTCGCAATTCGTCCTTGTTCGACCTGAACGAGCTCTTGGTCGTCGCTGCGTCAAATCTCTCAAAGAAATAGCTCTGCCACCGGTGAGCTCCTCGTCGGATTTTTACCACCCAACAACTGCTTAGGTCTTAATCTTAACCGGATCACACCCGAGAGTCGGTAATTAACTGACCGCCATAGAGTGGCCAGACTGAGAGCTTTTATGCAGTCACGGCAGCTTCGTCGAAAATGTAGTGATTGCTACCGAAGCTAACAATATTAGCTGTGTCCGTTCTGCGGTCAGCTTCATCCTTCATCCTACCCCGACTGAAAGCGGATGAAGACGAGCAACTGGTCTTGATCACGATCGCTCGATCGATAGCACAAGCCGCAACCAGCACATGTTACTTGGTCAAATGTAAAATCTATAATCTGCATGGTCGTATGAATTGACTTGAAATTAATACTTCTCTTTAATATATAGCAATGGAGTTTGACGCAGCCTATGCAATCTTAACAAGCTCGAAAGAAGGATCGAAATACCGCCACTGCCACCTCTAAATAGGGACAAAAAATGTATACTCTGCAGTAAGAGGAAGGTGTCTTGTGGAGTTTAACCGATCGAGCGTTTCCCATACAAGCACGAGATAGTGCCTCGACACAGCTATTATGATCAGTTTATGTTGATCCACTCAGGCGCGAACACTATGAACGCCCGCACAATCGTAAGTACGCGCAACTAAACGTACAATTGTTTTTTCTTATTTTGTGCTCGCATGATGTGCAGACTATAGCTACATAAATGCATTGATATTAAATATGAAAAGTTAGAGCCTCGGGTTTTCTTCGTTTTTGACTGCCTCGTTTGACTCATTTTCCACCGAGCATCGAGGAATTCACATCGGAACGAGTGGCCGGGTAACATTCGAAGCTGTCCGCGGATTGGATTCAGTGATCTTAGTCACTGTCTGATCAACGAGCGATCAAAAGAACTCGCAACTTTCTCTCTCGTGGGCGCAATTTTCTGCGCGACTTTTTGCACAATTCGATCCATGTCTGCATCGATCGCTTCGTCACGCCCGACAACCGATTCGCACGACTTGCTCCTACACCTGCTCAGATTAGTAATCTTGGTTTTTTTCTTTCAAGCTATTCACGGTGGTCCTGATACTAATAGATTGCATCGTAGCCTCGGCAAGACAACAATATCAACAGAGAGTCCCGAGTCATGCCGACTATTCACGCAGGATCCCTTCCAAAAAAGGCCGGATCACACTGAAGCCAATGAACCAACCAAGGAAGAGGCCCCCTCTGCAAATGGAAACTACGCTTCGTCGATATTTGGAGCCTCCGGCTGCCAATTCTGTGTCTCATTATCGACATTACTTACTCGCCAAAGACGAGAGCTTCCCCAAGAATCATAGGCCTAATTACTCTTCCGTCGCGCATAGACATTTCCGAAAAGATAGGCCGCATTATGTAAGAGATCACGATCCTTTTAACGACAACAATGACTATGATAATAATGAACAAGATAATAAGGTAATTATTTTAATAAGCCACAGAATTTGTTAAAATAGAGTGTCTAACATAATTTCGCGTTGACAATTCAACATGATGTTTGACAGTGGCACTTGCCACTGATAATCACTATTTGACTTTCTCTTAGAATCTTTACATCATTGAGTTATGACAATCATAATGTACTATATGATTTAAGAGTAATTTAAAAACATACATTATACAGCTTATATGGAAAGTCAGAGAGAATTGCTGCAATTTTCACATCTTAAAAATGTTTCACGTGTTTTTTCCATGAATATGCCCAGGCAACGCAGTCAATTGAACACAAAACTAAGAAAAAACAAAACAAAAAGTCTTCATTGGAATTATCACCAGACGGTGACAGAGTCGAATTTCACATCCAAGGACAAGACGGACCGGCAACCTACGTGTTTGGTTTCGATACCGGCGACGAGTAAGAATTCTGTGATTCGTTTGTTTCCACCTCTTTATAGATTCTTAGATAAAACTTCGAGTATTAATTTATTTCAGAAAAAATCGACAATTCAGACTCGAGGAGAAATCAAAAGACGGTACTGTAAAAGGACACTATGGTTATTACGATGCTCGCGGAAAGTTGCGAGCCATCAAATATGTAGCTCGCCCGGAGGAGGGTTACGTAGAGAAACATCATCAACAGTTGAGCAACGGGTCATCAGAGGAAAAAATAAATTATCCCACTGATTAATGAAAAAATCTCGAATATCCAATTTAAACTATGTTTACTGTAACAATAACAATATTTTCGAGTCGGACAAAATACAAAGTCAACAAAAAATACAGCAAAATCTTATATAGTTACAAAAAACATCATACATACATTTTTAGGTATATTCATTATCATTTCTATGCTATGTCACAACATGCAGGCATTTTTTCATAAGATAGTTCAAGTCCAATGGTCGTTTAATCATCTTATTCGAATCAAATAATAATCTTTACATACACCTATCTTTACAATTTGAGTCTCATATAATCACTTGAATTGAAATTTACAGTACACTAGGAAAGCACCGGTCACAGCGTAAGTGATCGCCGATAGAATGATGACTAAATATAAGTCATTCAAAAGAGGTAGCTCTGTTTTTATTGTAAGATTATTCCAAACTAGTATATATACGTTATCCATGGATTTATTTTCTTTATTGTTTTGCGCGTACTAGAACAGAATTTGTGCATTTTTCTTTATTTCATTTTTTTTTGTTCGGCTCCAGCTGCGGCTCCGTAAGATGAGCTTTTACTTATTTCCGACATTCCAATAGTTTTGTACATTAGCAAGAAAACTGAAAGAATGAAAAAATTAATATATTTATTTCCTCAAAAATTGACTCTGATTTATGTATAATATTACTTACATAGAATTATAATACCAACTCCAATAGAAAAGAAGCATAATGAGCCTGACAAAAACAGTTTGACTAAATAGTATAGCATGGGTACAAGAATAACTATTGACCAGAACGCAGTGTTGACAAAAGTCCACATTCTACGTTCTAACTTGAATGAATCTACTTTAGGTACCCCACTAGTAGCAAAAAAGTCTCCACTTTCTAAAAAGCTTTCTTGCATTCGGTCCTGAAAAATATTCATAAATTCTCAATTAGTACATTACTTAACATAATTTTTTATTATAAGTATTAAATTAAATTATAGATTTCTGAAATTTTCAAACATACCTTAACTTGATAAATGTTATGTAGCCATTGTGCTGCTTCTTCTTCATTTTCAGGCACAGAGTTAAGAGGGATTCTGTTTATGTACATATGTGCTTCAACTTTTTTTCCAAGTAGAAGATTTGTCATAGTAGGTTTAGTTGTCTCTGATGGTTTGAAAGCTAATTGAATATCATAAATAGCATCAACTTTCCCTCGAAGATGAGGAATACTGGCTGTAAAACCTCTTGTTCGAGGGGTTAAATGGTGTTTCAAAACGGGTAAACCCTTCTCTTTGGCAAACTTTTTACTAGCCTCTGCTTTTTCAGGGGTAAAGCGAGTACCTTCCGCATACAGTAAAAGCTGTAATTTAATTATAAAACATGTATTTTTATTTTCAAAGTCTTTTGGTTCTAATTGTATTCATCGACTTTTAATTTACCCATATTGAATCAGGATAATCAGCTAATTCTCTTATTTGAGATCCAATAACCTCTTTATCCTTATCCCAACTTCTCTGCAAGAAAATACTTTCTGCAAATTTCCAAGCCCATCCAAGAGTAGGAATGTACTGGATTGATTTCTTAGCATATGCTTTGCAATTCTAAAAATAATGATTATAACAATTTCAATATGATAAAATTTAATTTTCTCTAATGGTTTAAACAAAACTTACTCCTAAAACTTTTATGCGTTCACAAAAAACCCATCCAATTAACCAATCAATTTCGTAGCTATGGTTCATTAGTAGGTAGCCATGTTCATGACCATAATATTTATCAAAGTCTTTTTTATCTATGTACAAAATTATATCAGCTCCAGCCCACCATTCTGCCATAAATACTAATTCTAAAATACAATGAAATAATGGATTATTTTGTATACTTACAAAATTAAATTATAAAATGATACTTACGACTGTAGAATGAATAGCACAAATAGTAGTTAATTTTGCGATAAAAATATTTTGAAAAAGGCCTCAGACCAAAATAAAGAATACATTGCATCAAGTTTATTATCAAACCAGATGTGAAAAAAGTGATAGCAAATAATAAATGCACTATCCGAGAGCGTTTCAAATATGATAAAGAACCCATTTTGAAACTTTGAACTTTTCACTGTGCGTGTAGAAAAATGTTGATTTCTGAAAAATAAAAACATTATGCCTTAATAAATACTTCAAAATTAACAGAAGAGCATAATTAATTTAACAAAAGTAAAAAATCAAAACATCAATGATAAAAAAAAACTTTTCAACAAGATTAAAAAGAATTATAGGTTGTATCCTTGTTGATTCTGTTTACATAATGCTAAGCTCCATTCTTGACAAGTATATTAATAGAAAATATCATAAACACAAAAAAAATGAATAAAAATAATAATATCATTATGTTAAAAATATGAGAAGTAAATTGTTCAATCAAAATGAAAAGTTGTAAAATGATAAAGGTTAAAAAAAAAAAAAAAATTACTCATATTTAGTCGTAACACTCAAAATTTAGAGATAGCATCTAAGATCTTATTGAAGAAAATTATACTTGCAAATTAAGGAGAAGAAGCACTCTAAGGGGTCATAGTTCAAAAGTATCGGCGTAATTTATTATGAATTTTGGAGTCAAATGTAGGTTTTATAGAATCAAAGTTAATGGAGCTTTAAAGCTACTCACGTTAGATATAGGAAGATTCATCTAAAGACAAGAGAGTCTATAACGTTGAATAAATGTTGCGCAAAGGCAGCGCGAGAAGCAAGTAAAGATGATAGAAATACGAAGCATGAAATACCGTTGTGCGATCAACGAGTCAGTGTACGCACTACATTTGAAAATGATAACAATAACAGAGTACGGACGACACACACGAATACATATTATATGTCAAGCGAAGCAGAGCAGCTAAACACGCATCGAAACAATAACAAATAATCGTTAGCGTCCTACATGTGATCTCGATTCGCGTTGCAAATTCAGTGCTCGTGAACTCGAGGCGCGAGACTGTCGAGACTCATGGCTCTTGATAGTCCAAGCGCTCCGCGCTGCACGCGAAAAAGACGGTAAACAAGGAGAATTCCGTGCATGCAGAGACAAACCTGCAAAGTATAAGGTAACGTCGCAAGATAATATTACGTGTCGTCGTCTGTGCAGCGGTATATCGTACAAAAAGACGTGTACGATTACGAAATCGCTGCTACTCGCGTGCCACGAATTCATGAGTCGTTACGGCTTTTTAATTGTAGTTGCAATTTAAAAGATAATCTAATTCGCTGAGGTAAGCAGCAAAATATGAATGAATGAAATTTTGGAGCGTTTGCTTTAAATGTTTTCAAACGAATTTCTCCAAAATGTTCCCTTAGTACACAGCATGAGTTATAAAAATGATGAATCTCGTCAACTAGGAAATCACGCTTCAAAGACTTGAAAAAGTGATTCATTTTGATTGAACCGCTGCGGCCGACAAATATTTGTGTCTTTCAGTTCTACTCGGGCTCGTTCTGTAGGTTGTTTTCGTCGCGAACGAAAAACAAGAGGTAACAGGTAAAGGGGCTATAGAGTCGTGCGCAGATAATTAAAAAGTTGACCAAAAGGTCGACGCATAAGACACAAGACAAAGTGCAATACTTACAGAGGCCCTAGCAGTTAGAGGACGAGCGTCCGAGACATCTGCAACAGTAGAGCAACCAGCCAAAATCCAACACTCTCGCTCGAGCGTACGGAATATAATGATGCGCCCATGTGGCCAGGCTATTTTACATAGTACGAGTTCATGCTGGTGGCACGAGACTACTCGAGAGAGCTGCGAATTGCGATGATCATGTCCAATCTACTTTTTTTGCGGTTGTGTATGTGTCGAGGCTGACGATCGATATATACATGTACAGACATATATCTGTATGTATTTGGATTCTTGCATCGACTAGCCAAATCGAAATTCTCAACGTGTAGATTATAGTTATTATAATTATTATTGTCTCGTTTTAAAAGTCGAATCGTTGCTAAATGAGCTGAACGCACAACTGAACGATGAACCTGAATAGCACTGAAACTCGCTCTCAGAGCACGTTCCGTGGATGCACATGCGCAAATCGAACTTTTGGCGCCAGTCTTGGTTCGCTAATCGCTTCTTGCGCTACTCTTTATGCTCATAGCAGTAGGTAATAACGGATTACCGAAGATAGTATATAATATATATGGATGGATGCGAGTAGTTATAAGGGTACACAAGGAGGCCGATGATTATGAACTATGCGAGCATGTTATAACGCTCACAACTTGTAGTAGGCTTTTTTCGAGATGGCGTAATTTAAGCACGGCTTGATTTTTAAAAATTATTAAATATGCTCTGATGCGTTTGTAAATTTAAAAATCGTTATAAATGGCCAATTAATATTATTAATAGACTACAAAGCAATTTTCAAGCTGAGATTCAGAAGATAAAAAGATTGCTCAAGCACAAATGGACCGGTATAAGTTGAAAAAATCATAAACAAAACTTTGGATCATTTCAATATTTTCATTGATTAATACTGAGCTAAGAGTACCCGACAGGCGAATAAATATTGACGTTTGATATCACTTGAACACAATGGATTTAATTAAAATTTCTCACGCGTAGACCCCAGCGTTCACAGAAAAATATTGTTAAGGAAAATTATCCAATTATCCTCAATAAATGAGTTTTGAAGTTAATCGACTGTCGACTCACGGTCCAGTGACAACTAAAATCATCCAATTCGAGACTTCACAGGTACATCTAACTGAATTTCACCATGGCTGCAATGGAAAACAATTCCACCATAGAAGCGATTGAATATTTGAATAACGATTGTCTTCGAGAAATTTTTTATCATTTGCCCATCATTGACCTCTTGCAAATGGAAAAAGGTACATATGCGATTTTTTCAAAGTCATTTTCACCTGACATTTCCTACTATTCGTTATGCAGTTTGTAAACGATGGACATACGTGGCACGGGATTCTTGGGGACGCATCACGGGCGCCGATTTTTACGATTTTCTGCAAGAGGACGATGATACATTGGATGAAGAAATAATTCAGAATGTCTGGAAGAGGTTTGCGATGCGCATAACGGGTGTCGAGCTCGACATCACTTGCAGGACATTCGACCTTAATGCCTTCTTTCCAGCTTGCTGCAAAATTAAGAGCCTCAGGTGGGAGCTGCCTGATGAAGAATCGTGGATCACTACCCTCTCCCGATGTATCGAAAAACTTGAAAATTTAGATCTAACGATATCACCTGATCAAGATTTTATCCCGAACGTATGAAATACCCAAATTAATTTGGGACTATTCATTAAATCATGTACGCTGATTTGTTTTTGTTGTCTCTATGTTCGTTTATCTATACAGATAGGTGACGATCCTTTTTTCACGGCATTTGTAGGTCTTTTACAAGGAGCTAAATTAGAAAATTTGAAAAATTTCCGTTTAAATGTCAAACATACAAATTGTTCGGATAAAATTCTCGAAATTGTGGAATGGTTACCGAGACATCTTAAATCTCTCAAGATTATTAATACGTGCATCTTCTCCTGCAAGCTTTTAAGTGAAGTGAGTAATCTAATATCTCAATTCTTTTGAAAAATGTGTATCTAGTGTATAGATTATTTATTCATGTTCAATCCTTGTAGATTCTCGAAAAATTTACGCAACTTGAATACTTGTCACTGTCCACGGGAATATTTCGTCCGCAAATTAATTTGGAAAATACTCGTGTGTTTCTGCCAAGAACCTTAAAGTACTTATGTATTGATAAATTGACGTTCAATTCACTGTGTTACGACTTTATATGTGATTTGACGGCTTTAGAAGGCGTAAGATTAGTCGGAGGTGAAATGACGCACGAGGGCCTCATAAAAGTTGCAAAATATTGCGAACATTTAAAAAGCATCGACTTAACAAGTTAAGTTTTATTATTTAAATTAAAAACATTTCCTTCACATTTTTTCAACCTGAATTTTTTCAAATAGAAGTTGACGGTCTTAATGAAGCTGCTTTTGCCATTGCGCTTCCAATAATGAAAAAACTTGAAACCCTGAAGTTCAGAGAATTTTCCGATATGGAAGGAAGATTTTTCAGAGATTTGTTGGGATTGAAAGATGTTCACATAGCCAAATGTTTTAATGTCTTACCAGTCAATGTCTGTGATTTACTACATAGCAGTAAAGATTTAAGTAGGATAATTTATCAATGTGCTAGCTCAGAAGCTAGAATGCTTATTGAAACTGCCATTCAATGTTGTGTCGATCGAGCGCCTGACAATTTTTTGAATTTTATTATTAAAGGGGTTTTTACAGATTGTGATAGATTCGATGATTTTTACCCGTGCCTAAAAGTGCGTATTATTACCGATCATTCGGTACCACATAATTTTGGTCATATTAATGAGCATTACAATGAAGGAAATGAATATTATGTATAAATATTAGTTTTTTGGTATGTTTACATTTTAGTTCTGAACATCAAAATTTTTGTTAACATAAATTTTGTGATGTTGTGAGTAAAATGTATGTTAATAACTTTTTATTTATATATTAATGTTCTTGTCTGCAATGATGAAATAAACTGTGTTGCTCATAACCAAATGCAATAGTAGTTTTTTTTTTCAAATAACTAGTGTGAATTGATAAAAATTTCAATTTTTCTTTATTTTACTATAATATAGTATTTATATTCATATATACACGTGTATATATGCATATATATATTTATATTTATTAAATTCTATACACGCTTTGCTTATTTTTACCGTGTGAATTTATGACAACTTTTTTTTAATCTAAAACACATTCACACACCCAAAGTAACACAATGCACTCAGTACTCACTATATCTTATTTACCAAGTATGTGTAACAATCACACGTTTTTTCGTTTTACCACATCGTAATAAGTATAAGCTGCTTTATGTTAGCTATAAAAATGCTTTATTTAGAAGGTAGACTTTTCAATTTTAGAACAAACAATCTATGAACGATTTATAAAATTCGAAAGGTGGCCACAGAAGAAATGTTTTGATGAAGTTATATTCTATTATAATGATTTTTCAGTACCCATCAAAGTTTTAAATTTTATTTCTATAAATAATATTCACTAGTTAAATGAAAATTAGGTCAGAACGTAAAACTATTATCAATGAGTTTGATCAATACATGTTCACCTTAGCTTAATAAAAAAGTCTACCTTCTATATTTTGGTATAAAACAGATATTATTGAATGAATTCAAATTGTTTGTAACTCTTAATTGAGTTATTGAAAAAAAAGATTAGCTCAAATCTTATTACAACTTAAATGAGTTTAGCTCATAAATCCATCAATCTATCAAAAAGGTGTGAGTTAGTGCGCGGATTTTAAAACAAGTCTAGAACGCAATTATGCGCCCATTATAGAATAATCATATTATTATATTTCTTCAATTTCTTATGAAAATCAATATAAATAGATACAAAAAAAGTTGCGTTTGTAATAAATATGTATTGTATGCGTGTATGTGTGTTCTAATCGTTTAACGAGTTCTATGTCTTTTTCGCGTTACTCTCACATTTTTCCAAGTTCATCAGTTTACATATCTGATAGGCTATTAGCAATATATTTCTGGTTCGAAGCTGGTTTAGAATTTTCTGTGTCGCATGATACATGTCAAGTAATGGCTACAGAATAGTTCTAGAAGCCAGTATTTTTTCATGAACCAAATAGCCCAGACTTTATGTACAACTATATTATAACGTGTCTCCTACAACATGAGCCTTTTTATGTTAATTCATTGTATCTTTTATGTCACTTATTAATGCCAATATTGATAACTCTATAACGAAATGTCGCTTTTTATGGTTTTTCTGTTTATCGTAATACAATATTTTTTGAAACTATCTCTAAACTAATATTTTCTATTTCATTTGCTTCATATCAATTTTCTTTCATAGTAATAATTATTATGTAATTATAATGATATATATTTTACAAAGTGTACCGACTCCGCACTACATTAATTAGTGAATAGTTTTACTGACCAATGAAATTCACCGAGAATATTCGTAGACAGTAAATACCTTTATTAGAATTACTATATCTGTGACGATAATTTCAGAATAGAGACGAATTAAAGCGTATATAATAGTCATTTCAAATCCTAGTTTAAAATATCTGGCAGTTGACCTGTTTTTGCGACTCATATTAATTTCGCGCAAATGAAATACGTAAGTGCAGCTTCACCAAAAAATGTTCTTACATTCATAAGTTTTTTTTTATATTGTGTTTCGTAATCAATATTTGATATTGGACAGCTTGTTTTACAAATTCATTATATCACATATTTTACCAAAATTTTTTATTATTTTATACATTAATAGTTTATTTCAGTCGCAATTCTATGATTTTACGTTTAACATGTCTCAAACCAGTGAATTACATTTACTTACAACATCATATTTTTTTTTCAGTGATTTTTGCACACATAACTTTCGCTCATCTCACACGTACTTCAATTACAATCATCACGCTCATTCTCAATAGCTTCATCAATTGTCACATAGTAACATTGTTAACGAATTGTTTAATTTCATTCACTCTAACTGTTTCGTTGATGCATGTTAAGCATCTTGCATGTTTTCGTTCGATATCGAAATCGTACGCTTTGAAAGAGATTTACGACAACGTTATTTTTCGCAAAGATACTTTAGTTTTGCTTTTCTAGTATTTTATTTTTCTTATATCATACTCTCTCAGTGAAAACAAAACAAAATCAATTATATCGTAGAAAATATTTTAAAGTTTTTCTAATAATTATTAACTTAGATATCAAATCGAAAATTCGTTCAGCTCATATACAACTCATTTACTCATTTAATAGTTCTTACTTTTCCAAAAATCATTTGGATAAGATGTTTTTTTAATGTCACTTTACATTATCTTTAAATTTTCTCAAACGCGTACGCCAGCGATGCACATTTGGATCAAAATATACATTGACTAATATACAGACACAATAAAATTTTGAAAAATCATCAAATTTTTAATTTGCACATGAATTAATTTTCATCTGCATAAAAAATAAAAATTTTTGAAAATAATTTTACAGTAATAAAACTCTTAAAAATAATAAATAAATGAATGAGTATAAAAGTATTGAAAGAATATTTATTAATCAAAGTGGGTATGGACTCATCAAATCATTGGATGCTTGATTTTTCAAAATTTTGAAGGATTAAAATGCAGAATTATTTACGTATGTTCTTTAATGAAGAAAAGAATTTTACGTGTTTCATTTGGTTCAAACAATTGAATGGTCCCCAATTAAAACGAGTTGATGGTAATAAAGTTTTAAAGGTACCAAATTTCATTCTAACATAGTAAGATCCGATACGTAAAAATCACTTATAAACAAGCTGTTCCATGTGAGATGCAAGTGATAAAAGTGAAAAATATAATGTTTTTCGATTAGGTTGTATTTATATATAGAAAAGTTCTCATTAACACGCTGATAAATTTTAAGCTTCATTTGATTTCAGTTTCAAAACATTGACATATTACAAAAAAAGAGCAGAAGATAAACCTTATTTTTCTTCAATTTACATGATACCAAATTCATGCTATTTGCAATGATTAGAAGTAAATGTAATATTAATCTTATAATACAAACCTCACGTAGATAAAAACATACACATTCACCGAGCACAAATATTTTCGCTTGAGTTCCTGCTTGACCATGCCATTCTGAGTATCTTCGTTTTTGACGTATATTGGTCACATTCAAGCATACATTCATGAAGAAGCTCAAATTTATTTCTCAATAACACTTAAATTTCATTTCTCGATTTAGTGACATTTTTAACAAATAAGAGAGAAATTTCGAAGCTGCCAGTTTATTTTGTATTTCAAGAATTCGATGTAATTAGAGTTTACAATCAAAAACTCAAATTTACCTATGTAAATCTCAATTATTCTTAGTACACTTTCATACCGCCTATTATTAAAATTATAAGAATTTATTCCTTCTTTTACTTGACTAATGCAATATTTAATATCAACTATGAGTAAAAAACAGTTTCAAACACTCAAATACACATGAATGGTATCGCCAAGCAAGCATTCTAGTATTTTACTTACAACAAAACTCATTTTTCCATTTTAAAAATCCTATAACAGATAAACAGTTGCCGCACTTACTGGTTTGTTCCAAGCGACGTGGGCGAATAGTTTTATTATACACTTGTTGATATATTATCATTTTCCGCAATAAATGGTTTTTAAGTAATAAATGTGTGTCATTCAAAATCTCGCATGTTCGTTATGGGCAGATGTAGTTTTAGCAGGAAGATAAAAACGATTATAGCAGTGCGTCATTTGAATCGATGTATATTGATGCAATATGGGCTCTTTTGTGAGTTGTTTAGTCTTGCATTTCTTCTGGCATTTCATGAGGATTTAATATACCAGGAACTGCCATCTGCTGTCGCCTCTTTTCTTCCTGAGCCAAACGCAAAGCAGATTCACGCTCTTCCAAGTATAAATCAGAGTCATCTTCACCAGTATATTCCTAGAAATACAGAAATAATTAGAATCATTCATTAAAATCATTAACTCAAAGAAGGATAAAATATTTACTCTAATTTGCACAAGGAAGTCTCTTAAATGCTCTTTGAATGCAGGGATATCTTGGTCAAGATTGAAAAGTCCTTGAACTGTTATTTTTATTTGGTTATCCGTTAAATGAGGGAATGCTGCTTTCAACAATCGTGCCACATATTCTTGAATGTATATGGTGTTGTCAGGCATAGGACCTAGAGGTACTTTTATTCTATTCAACTCTACTAAAGTGAACATATATGCCAAAATAGTGGCGTGCATTGTCAAGCCAGCTGTGTGAGAAGTATCTGTGACAACACTAAATATGTGTTGTAGGATATCAGTAAAATATGTCTGATAGAAACTTTGAGCTGCTTCTTCATGTTTTTCCATATTTCTGAATAACTGGTACAAAATTTGTAATCCAGTGTCAGCTACATTACGCATTGTATGCTTGAATGCCCAAATTACAGAATCCAGAACCAACTTGAATTGTACTGGTTGTATTGAGAGACACGCAGGGAAACAATGCGCATTAACTGCTTGCAACAAAAGGAAGAAATTTGTCCTGTGTTCAGGAAATTCTTCAAAATCTTTATTTATCATATCTAGCGTACATTTGAAGACTGCTTCAAATATTTTAGGTACTTCACAAGTAATGTGTCCTTCAAGTTTATTTACAATCGTTGCCATGGCACTTAGCACTTCGGGCTCTCTAGCACATGGAATATTGGTCTTTTGATAATCTAATAAAACAGCATCTAAAAGTGGTGGAATGAAATTTTCCAAGACCTAGTAAAAAGAGTTTTAATCAGGAAAACATAATTAATCATCACCTATTAATTTTAAATATTAATTGTTTTAAAGCTTACCATTTGATGATCAGTAGATCTATTGATCCAATCAGCTATAAGTTTCAAAGTTTCTTTTCGAACTACTCGCATGCTTTTGATCAGTGGCTGCTTTAGAACAATTTCTCCGTTAGTTGTTATGGCCTGGCTTATGTTTTCACTCATTACTTTGTAAACATTAAGCATATCTAAATATATTCTTCCCAATTGTGTAACATAGGGATGTCCTAATGCTTTGCAAGCTCTGACATTAGTTTTTAAAATACTGGCAAGTTGTTTGACAGCTTCAGGATCTTTAAGAATCTCCACGTCCTAAAATAATATAATTGTTATTTCACTGATGCTTGGCACTTCATTTGATATAAAGCATGCTATTGTTTCCAATTTGCATGTAGCTTACCACCTTTGCGGCTTGACTGATGATGTCATCCCATACTTGATTAGGTAGTAGCATGTACTTTTCAATCAGACTTTCTTGCACTACCGTATCAACTTGAGCACTAATCATATATCCAACTGCTTCATAAAACGTGTGAATTTGTTGAGTTTGTAGATCACAGATAATACTGCTGATCGTTGATAATATTTCCTCAATAAATGGCATGGCCTCACCAAGTTGAATGGTAACAAAATGTCGCCTGCACTTTAGGGCAATCTTGATAAAAGTATCACAAGCCATGTCTTGAACACCTTCATGAGTTTCTGAAAAAATTTGGTAAAATTACATAAAAAACATGAAATATTGACCAATTTTTGAAAAACAGCTGTTACAATTAATATCAAGTATAATACATACCATGCATGAATTCAAACAGTTTATTAACAACAGTTTTTAAGAACTTCCAGTGGGCTCTTAAGAAACGAGGATATTGACCAACGACGTACATAATGTTACTGGCAATAATGGCTTTGTTATCTTTACCTTTTTTCTGTTCACATAAGCCAAGTAATTCCTTAATTACAGTTACTAAAAATCTTTTCTCATCTTCTTCATGCATTGCACCAGAAATACTTCCAATCGCCCAGCACAACTATTTGGATATTTGTATAGTAAGAATTTTTCAAACAAATAATACAAATCAAATTTTATCATAAGAACTTTTTACTTACAGTGTTTAAATTCTTCCATGACCATTCAGCACCATTCACCTGATTTTGCAATTTGCTAGTCATCACACGTTCAGTATCCGTGTAGTCAAGATGAGTCAAGTACACTAAAGTTTCACGCATGTTTTTGTACAAATTTATGGAGTCAGTATCTTTCATGAATTCTCTGACGACTTCTCCGTTTTCATTTTCAACAACAAGAACTTCTTCTGGCTTGGCCATCCTACTGATCATAATGTACCTTACCCTTGTCAAAACACCAGCATAGAACATTCGACGAGTTGGCATAGCCATGCTTTTGTTCAATAAAATGGGTGCATTGTTTGGTGTCAAAGGATTTTCTCTGTATAAATCAGAAGCTAATCCATTCCAGTATTCTAAGCAAATTTTAAAAATTTCGACTTCTTCAACTTCAGAAATCAGAGTGAGATACTTTAGGGCTCTTTCAAGAGGTTCATTCAATTGCTTTTTCTCAATTAACAAACCATGTTCTTTTAAATAAGTACATAAAAACATGGCTAGATTCTGAATGAAATTTTGCTCTTGGTCATGTCCAACAGCATAAGCATCACGTATATTAGTATCAAGTGGCAACATTAATTCTAATTGTTGCATTGTGTTGACAAAAAGTACAATGAACATGTCATCATAATTACACGGAACAGACACAGCTGCTATTTCAGTTAAGCATTTCAAAGTAACATTTCTGAATATTGGTACATTCAAAAACTGAAACAAGCAAAAGAAAAACAAGCATTGTCGATTACGCTATGTAATTATTTTTTGTACTGGTAATATTTTGTTTCTTCGACTTACCTTGAATATTAGAGTTGTAATGAGTTTGGTCTCAAAAATATATCCCAATGGAATCCAATTAAGGAATCTTAAAAGTGTTTCAAGAGTTACAGCCACAAGTGGTACATTTTGTGAATTTTCCATAACAAATTGACACAACTGAAAGACTTGTGAAAATTCACTGCACATTGTATCTTTTAAATGTTTGGCTTTTGTTTGGGTCATTTGTCCGCTTGAAAAGTCAAATACTTCTTCAGAAAGTAATTTTAAAATTGCCATATTATTCTGACATAAACTTTCATTTGTTTTGCTTGCACCAACAATATCACTAATAAAAGATTCCCAATTTTTAGGCCATTCTCTTTTTAAAACCTGTTGTACATTAATAGTTTACATTCGTAATTAAAATTTCTGTGAGCAGAAATTATGGAGTAAAAATATATATCTTACCTGAACCAAGATCATATTCAATTTATTTATGTAAACTTTAGAAGCCTCCAACGTTTCAGGATCGCTACTTGTTTTAATAATCAAGCCTACAATGTACTTTTTGATACCTTCACATTGGTTCCTAGGTAAAACTTTCCACCTGGTTTTTATGACTTGTTCTAAAATTTGTAAAGCATAAAACTTTGTTTGTTGGTTTTGGGAAAATTCTAAAATGGTATCAACACGAGTCCATGCATCAGGATGTTCTTTCAGCGTTGTTAAAACTTCTTGAGCAATACGTTGCTGATCTCCCATTCCATTGTACATACATCCAACTACGTTGTCTAGAAGTGTAATATCAATCTTCTGGTTGAAATCCAATAACTTGGATGCTTGTTCAGCTAAAGTTGCCATTTTTGCAATTCAAGTTTTCAATCGATCACACTAACTGAAAAGCAACAATTTTAATAATAGATGAGTTAAGTGGATTTTGGTAAATTTTGAAAATAATTAGTAACATGAATATATTGAGACAATAATTTTTAATACTTAATTCATTTACACTAATTTCTTTCATCTTTTACATACTCTCAATACATTTGACAATCAGCAAAAGAACAATTATCAAACAAAATATATGCTGTAATATCCAAAAGTTTTACGTATATTTATAAGCACCATAAAATAGCACCAAAATCTGCTACAAAACTGTACCATAGATGTATATATAGCTGATTAAGAAGAAAATGCAGAGAAAAATACGAAAAAATAAGAAAATATATCAAAGCACAAATGAACCTGGATTTTAAAAGCTATAAATGTTTTGAAACATTTGGTGCAAAAGCGTTGGGTTTAAATTCAATACTAAATGAATTTCAGTTATTTTCCCGGCTCACTATCACGAACAAGAGGAGTGATTTTTTTAGTAAAAGTCTAACCTATTTAATTGATTCGTCGATGACAAGAAAAAAAGTAAAACTTTGAAAAATATCACCTTTGTGAAGTCGGTATTTGTGAAGATAAAAATGCTTAGAAGTCACCGAGCTATCCGTGCTAATTATAGAGAAATGCAAATGTCACGTAAAACGAATAGTTTAAGCATCGAAGTTCATTATAGTTAGTATTGTAAGTTATCAAGTACGGCGTACACAACCGTTGAAATCGAAGAAAAGCCGCGCGTTCGTATCATAACCTCGTACGTCGGGATCGCTTTGAGGAAGATAAAATAATACCAAAATATATCGAGAGCAGCCAAGAATACGTAAACGATAATTGAGGTTCTCACCTGCTCCGTACGAGTTAAGCAAGGATTATTAATGCGTTTGTACACGCAATCACAAAGTAAATATCAATCAATTATAATTTGTACTGTTGCTACTTGGCTATTGCAACGGCACCTTCGTCACAAATTGGTTACGAAAAGAGAACTATTATCAATGAAAAGTTTCTATTAAAATCGTATTCACAATGACCCGTTAAAACATAGCCGGTCGCGATGCTTGGATAAAGGCCTTCCCGCGCCTTCACACTAGACCAGAGCTCAAAAATTCGATGTTGGATACTTTTACGTAGATCACTACACGCGACAATACTCGGCACAGTAGCGCTCATATACCCACACATAGACAGAACGGTTAGACACACGCACATAGGATATATATACGTCGTGTAACACATCATGGTGTTGGACCGTCATCCACCGCGCAACGGCGCAACCAAAAACGCACAAGAACGCACTATATGCAAGAGCCAAACGACTCTCGATACACTCGCGCTTATACGTAGACATTCGCATGCAAAAATTCAGTACCTATATCATTCATGTATCGTTTTGTCCGAGTTCTCTCGCATTATCATTCGCTCGTTCAACCTCAAGTCTTTCACTCTCATTCTGTACATAATCATGCATCAAACTTCACTGATTTCCATTCATGTGGAAAAGTCAGTCACACTTACTTTCATTTACATATGATAACATTCAGAAGGCAGTAATTGTCAAGTGGCTCGTCATACGCACAAAAACAGGCATTTTCCCGGCTTACAACGAAAACTCAACAGAGACATGAAACTCTCACTCGTAGGAAGAACTGGTCGTACTTGTATGAATGGGCAGCACTTGCACAAGATAGACGCAACAATAACACAATCACAAGAAGTATTGTTGAGGTGAAAAGTCCGAAAATGCACACGTTAATGTAACTGCTGCGCAACACGCTCAATCGTTGCGATTATAACCTCACTTTATTGGATTTTCTCCGCAGTATTTTTCTCTCGGCGAGTCGCTCGTCCTCTGCAGCTGCCACTTTTTCTTTCGCTCTTTCTCTCGCACACACTCTCTCTTTCTCTCTCTTGCGCACTGCACGTATACAACATGAGGCTCCTTCTGGCGCTCTCGCAGACTTGCACACAAAGGCACGCGCTCACACATACACATGATATACATACTGAGACCGAAAAGAAAAGCACGCCCTTTTTTTCGTGTGTAATCAACACAACAAAACAGCACAAGCGCTCGTATTCATAAGGTAAGAAATTAAGAAAAAGGTACTGCGATTCGAGTAACGGGTGCGGAATAAATTTCCCTTCTCGGCAGAGAGTTCCGAGACTGAGAGAGCGGTGTATAAGGTACCCACCGGAAACAGTCGAGAAAGTTTGTAATCCGAAATCGTTGCAATCCGGAACAATTCAATTTTCTCGAATAGAGCTGTGAACATGAGTCGCACTTGGATAATCCACTACTGTCGCCAACAGCTGAGCTGACTATCCTCGAAAGCCAAAAAGTTACGGTCGAGTTACGAGTCGTTATTAGGATTGAGATATCGTGCACTAATAGACACGCAGATAGATAGTGATCCTAGCTATACTGGCAAACGATTCCCGAATCTCGAAGCTACGCACGAGTTCTCGTCCGAATGTCTAGTAAAGTACATACACTTTGTACAAAGTAGCACTGCGCGATGATCTCGATATCGAGCATCGGCGTTTCTGGCTTCATCGATGCGCCGATCCCGGCGAGATTTACGATGGCAGTCGGGTTTGTGCAGAAAGTTGCAGGTTTTATGCGAGCGTATCCTCGATGAGCCGAACGAGTCGAGAGAGTATAGGGTCGAGCGGTGCTATGTGGTCACCTTTGCTACGTCTTTGTACACTCGGCAAAGCTGGAGTTGCTCGAACCTCTCGCGAGTTCTATGGCAACATGAAAGTGTAGATTGGCTGCGAGAAGCCAATGTGTATGTGTCGTATATGTGTCGCGCGTCGCGCCACTCTTCTTTGCTCTCCTTAGCGGTGCTCGCAGTCTCCGTGATACGAGACCTATACGAACCGTCGAGTTTGCCGTCGTATAGTTTTGTTGCGTGACAGACAAACGCTCGCTCGCTCGCACTCTTATACAGCCGAAAGATACTAATCAGTGGAAATTCGCGCAGTTACCTACCTCTTTATGCTGGCGTTCTACAGAAGCGCGCGCGCGTCACACACACACACTCACAGTTACTCTATCTTTCTTTCTTTCGCTCGCTCTCTTTCTCTCTCTCTCCTTCTCCGTTGTTTTTCGCTCGCTGCCACCAACGCTCTCGAGTTGCGAGCGCGCTGCTGATTCTCGATACGAGGGATGCTGCTGCTGCTACCGCCGACTTGCACCGCTTTTTCTCGATAACGATTTGAAAAACTCACTGTTATTATACATGTAATGCCCGCGACGATCACAATTGTCGACGTTTGACGACTGTGCAATTGACACGCACGCACGGATGCAGACAACACAGCTAAAGCCAGCTACACGCGTCGCACACATTCAAACAGAAACAAGGAAGAAGTGCACTGCACAACACACACATTCGTACTGCATAAATAGCGGGCGTCCCTACCGAGAACCGACTCTGCGGGCTGCAAGCTGACAAGAGCTGCCGCCTCCTTGCACTTGGGTCTTGACCTGCTGCTTGTTGCCTTCAACAGCTCCAAACTGACTCCTTTCCGAACTGCTGCTACTGCTGCTGCTGCTGCTGCTGCTGTACTCTTTTACGAGCCGGAGTCCGGACCAAACTAGTCGTTTTAGTGTCTGAGCGCGCTACTATGAGTGGAGGCACACGTTCGCGGCGCTCATGGTGGCAATTGTCGTCATTGCCAAAGGAAGGGACTACTAAGGGGGCGCGGGTGATTCTATGCTCGCTTTTCTGATTTAAGCTTATTATATAGCCTACTGTTTTATTGTGCGATTATGTATGTACACATATTTTTCGCTGCTCAAGTACCGACGATATGAATCACGTTTTCTATGTACCTTCGTATAAGCTGCTTCTCTTCGCCCTTCGCGAAACCACCAAAAAAAAAATGTTGGCTCTATATTCAAAATTCGTTTCTAATCCCTCTTATAATTTTAATTTCATTCAAAATCATTTAATTTACTTAGACTTAATCAGACTAACTGAAGCTGATTTTTGTTTTAGTGCCAACAAAATTATTTATTAATTCAATGATAAATAATTAATGATAGCATTAATTTTCGATTACCCTACTTCCATTTGTACACAAGGATAATAAATGTAAAGATTGACAACATCAAATTTTTATTTGGAAACGTAATCTGTAATTTGACATAAATGAAATAATTTTATCAGTCAATTGCTATTATTTTGTGGATATATAGTAAAATGCAATTGATTATTTCAGTTCAACATAAAATAAGTGAATTAAGATTAGGCAAAAGGTATCCATTTCAAAATAAAACTATAATAAATCAAATGTAAAAAAAATATTAAGAAATATGAAATGAATTAAATGCAACAATCTTATTTTTTTAAATTTAATACGCTTAAAAAATATAGTCACTATATTCACAAGCTTATGCGATAAATTCATAAGGAATTGGAGCAAGCATCTGTGGTTCGCCCTTTCCTTTTACAATGTGTGCTGGTCTGGGCTGAGCTGGTTGTCTTTTTAGATTAACTTTAGTTTTGTTTTGTTTTGCTTCCAATCTCAACTTTTCATTTTCCTTGACTCTTCTCAAGAAATCATCTCTGCACTTGCTATGTTTTACATGCTCAATACGAACATTAATTCTTTTTGGTAGGATCTTGCCTCGAACTCTCTTGTTGACAATAATGCCAAGAGCATGCTGTGTCACATTAAAGACACGACCTGTTTTTCCATGATAGTCTTTGTATGGCATACCCTTCTGGATTGCACCATCACCCTTGATATCAACAATATCTCCAACTTTGTAGACTCGCATGTAAGTGGAGAGGTGGAGAGTACCCCTTTTGCGGAATCTCCTGGAAAAGAGATCCCTCGTTCCACGACGGTAACCTTTGGAGTTGGTCATTTTTCCTGCGAAAAATGTAAAAAATTAATAAACTGAAACAAAATTTAATGCCTACTTGCATCAGGAATTAGAGGTTATGAAGTTGAAACAGTTTGATTTATTAGACCAATTAATGTAAAGCGTTCAATACACTTTACACTTTAATGCAAAAAATAAGAAACTTGAAAGAACAAATCATTCACAGAAAAATTTAAGTGAATTCAATTGATAGAAACTCACGTTTTTAATCGGGAATTATTTTTTATTAACTAACAACTTGAAGAGTTGTTTGCCTGGAAGATGTGTTTCACTCGCTCAGTTGCAGCAGACTACTTTTGTAAGTTCGATATATATCGATTCACTAAAAAGGTCGAAAGTAGGGCGCGCTAATTTAATATTTTTAATTTTTTAATTTTTTTTATTTTAAAAAGTTATTATTCAATGATTTTCAATTAATTAATGAAATAATTAGTTTGCTCGAGTTTTTTTTTTGAGAAATATTATTGTAATAGGTAGTGTTGATTGAATGAAATACGTATCGCTACTTGTAAGAATTATTCATAGAAATCGCATTATATAATTAGTTAATTATATTAATAGTTTGTTCGACATTCAATTGAATTAACATTAATTTGTGTCAATTCACATTTCGGCAAAGTAAAAGCGATCAAGTGCAATAAAAAGCGCATGCGCTATTTTTACCCGTGTTAATGTGAATGTGATGCGATGAAATGGAAAAAAAATGCATATACAAGAAATTGCGAATACGAACACTTTAAATTGCTATTGGTTCGTTATTGACAAATTAAGAGGACATTTTACTTGTATAGTTATCATATGAATCATTAAATTTTTATTAAACTGTTGACATCTTTATAGTATAAAATCACTGCACTCTCATCTGCCACCTATATAGACTATAAAAGTATCTGACTATCGTTAGTTGAAAGAAAGTGATTTTTTGCATTGATAATAATGTGCTTTCATTGATCAATACAAAACGTTTTTATTACATCTATTCATTTGAATGATATAACAAATTCGAAACACTTAAAATATTACCAGACAAGCAAATGTACGCTTATCATATCACAAGTTTTGCCCGGTAACCGCCAAGTAAATGCGCCAAAAATCTTCGCTCGTTAGCTTCTCGATGATTGTATCACAGCATAAAATCGGTAACTTGTAGTCCGTCAGCTTTAATATAAGATCCAGCGCCCACGGCTGGAAAATTCCTCTCAACATTATCTCACTGAGGTGTAGTAAATAAGCATCTCCAGGCTCTTTTAAATTAATCCACGATCCAATCTTTGATTTAAGTATATAAAAGGCATACGCAAATTCGATTTCCTATACAGAATTACAGTCTTTGGTGTCCCATTTATGGTTCATCCTCCACAAACTTATTACATACTTATTACATGTCCACGTGTAACATTCTTGAACTCACGCATTACAATAAAGTATAATGATACAAATTTTGATTATTATCGGTTGTATATTCACATTCTTCATTTGAGCTCTGTAACGGTAACTATTCTATAGTAAATTCATGTGATTCAAAAAAACTCATTTTGTAAGGCCGAATTTCGGGCTGTTCGGAAAATGTTCATTTCTTATAGTTGTCAATCGTAGCTAATTCAAATATTTATCATCTCCGTAAGAAAAAACGGCGTACAACCGATAACTTACCTTGCCAAAAAAGAAATTTGAATCTATTTTCATTTTCAATTCGGCAAATAAGCTGATTTCTGGAGAATAAACCATATATATGAGTCATTTCACGTCAAGTCTCCAGCGGTGCCCGCGCGGCGCCAAATCTCACGTTTTTACACGTTCATTGCTGTATTTCACTAAATAATAATCAATATCACTCTTTGTTAACTTGCATATCAATAGGAAATTTCCTCAGCTTTCGATTGAGACTACTTAGAAGAATCTTAAAAATGCCTTTTTTGAGATATTCGACTTTGAAGGTTTTCCGAAAATGGAAAGTTTTTGGAAATCTGACCTCACCATCAGAAAGCTGAGGTAATTTCCTATCGAAATAATGTAGCTCATATTTTTTCTTGGTGCATTTAGATGCTTTCCTGACGAGTTACAAATTGAGCAGTTTGGCTTAATAAGGCCGCTAGCGCGCACCGCTGGAGACTTGACGTGAAATGACTCATATATTTTATTGTATAGCTGGCTGTGTGCCGTGGTTGTAGTGGTAATATAGTGGTGGGGGTAGTGATAGTGGTGGTGGGCTATCGCGAGATTGCGTATTAGTGTATGTCAGATCATCTGTTCGCGCACTCGTTTCTATTGTTGTTCTTGACTCTGTCAACAGCACAAGTCCATCAGACGAACGATCAATTTAATTTGTAAAATCATTATAAAAGTGCGCGCATTATCAAATTAATTGCATTCCAAAAAAGCTATGAGATAATAATGTCCTGTCAAATTAAAGGGATTGCTAACTTGCTCAATCCCGTCGACGTGAAAACTCGACTTTTGGGCGATACCAATTATAAAAAGTGTAGGTTTTGACATTCGACGACTTTATCATTGACTTTGTCTCACATATCGACTATCTAATGATTTTTTTTTGCTCCAGTTGAACGACTACCTGCTAATGTTTTACCCCTACATCACTTATTTGTTTCCCTGTCTCCTGTTGGCGATGTTTTGGCGTTAGCCTGGAATACTCGTTTGGTTATATTAACTTGTGAGTATGACGTTTTTTTGAACGTTCATCAATTTATTTATTAATGACCTCAAGTTTCTCATTTGATGACTTTAATCTTTATATCATAGCTAAATGGGATTCTCAAGAAACTGATGAAGTTAAAAATAAGTTTCATGTCGTTTGGGATGGAGATGTAACTTCGAAACAACAGTAAGAAAAATCGTTCAAGTGATTAATGGATCTAAATTTTACGAAATTATTTGTTTTTTTAACTTTTTAATAGTGAATGTATAACGTCTGTGATATGTCTTCCTCTGATTGCTTATGGCAAAACTAATTCTGGAGTAGGTGCAGATTGGACTTGCATAGTTGTGGGACTAAGCTCTGGTTTTGTCAAATTTTATACAGAAGTAAGTTGTTTATATACATCACATGCAAAATGTTAAATAAGATTGTAAGTAGATACAATTTTTTTATTTCCATTTTAGACTGGGGCTTTATTGCTGGAAGAGCAATTACACAGCGAAAGTATCGTAAATATAAAATGTCAATCTTATCGCACACCACGAAACTCTGGAGAAACAGGAACCCAAGAAGAAATATATATATTATATAATACTGTTATATGTATTTTACAAGGATTTACTTTATTCTCAACTCTCAGAGCATATCGTAATCATTTAGCCAGAGGTAAGTACTAATTTTAATTGGATTTAATATACTTATAAATACAATTTTCTGTAACTAATTTTGTATTCTAGTAAAAGCTAATTGTGATGTCGAACCTCCAGCTGCTAATTTAGTTTGTAAAAAATGGTGTTTCAAGAATCATGATTTTATTAATGATACTGAAGTCATAGGCTCAACTTCGGTCAATATATTCGATCATTTGATGACAGCATCAGTGTGTGGAGGTTTCACTGCTAATTATCGTTCTAGTGCCCCTCAGCATAGTTTAGTCATGGCTACTGGAAAAAGGCCTTATATAGGTTTTCATTATGCTTTAGAAGGTGGTGCTGCTCCGGTTTTATCAGATGTTGCTATAGCTATGGCCAGTAAAGTTGCCAATGCAATTGGTGCTGCTGTTCCGTTAGTAAAATTTTTGCATATTTATGTATTGTTAAAAATTATTTTTATTTCAAAGTATATGTGGTTCTTTGCAGATGGTTTAGAAGTAGTTCCAAGTCATTAGGCTCGCAAGATAAAATTAAAGGGGTTTTAAGCGACCCCCCAGAGCCTATGACTTGTAGATTTGGTTTGAGTGATATTATGAGAGAAGGTGATACCATTGTTGTTAGTCCAAATAAGTTGTTATCAGTTGTAACTGATGTTATGGGAAGAGTAATACTAGTTGACAATAAACAAGGAATTGCTATAAGGATGTGGAAAGGATACAGAAGGGCTGAGTGTGGATGGATAGAGGCATTAGAAGAGAAGCAATCAACTTCTGTGAAAGGTTTTCATGGAAAAAATAGTACAAGTAATTCTTCTAGAAGACGCACAGCACTTTTCTTAGTTATATATGCTCCAAAAAAAGGAGTTATTGATATTTGGAGTGTACAATATGGACATAAAATCACTACATTTTCGGCTAGTAAAAAAGGGAGATTATTATACACAAACTATGGCCTGTGTGGATTGAACAATACACCCATTGCTTCTGGCAATCAAGCTTTGCATCCTTGTGTTTTTATTGATCCCTTAGGAGGGATTAGAGAGATCACTGTACCATTCCACTTTGCTTTAAATAGTCAAAGCAGTAATAAAGCTAGAGATATTCATCTTTTCAGAAAATTAAAAATGTTTTTGAGAGAAGAGGATTTTGATGAAGCTAAACTAGTTAATGAAGTTACAAATACATGTTTAGAACTGAAAACTAATGAAGTCAGATTACAAACAATTGAAATGCTCATGATAAACAAGCATATAACTCCTGATTCTTTAATAGCTGCCATTAATTGTTTTTCAAAACAGCTTGATTTACAAGGTATGAACTTTTTTTTTATACAAATAAATTAATAAATTATCTATGAAACATGAGCTGATCATTAATATTATTTACAGAAGATGATGATTCAGAATTGGCAACAAAAACAATGTATCACATGGTAAATCAACTAAAACGAGCAATCAAGTTTTACAAGTATGTAAGATATCAATATGATAAACCACCTGAATATTCTACAGTAGCTTCAGATAATGTACCTGATGGAAAACAATTATCCTCTATTTTATTTACATCTGAACGTGAAATTCATCGCATCCTCAAACTCTCTAAAACAATTAATCATCTTAAAAATTCCCATTCTAAAAATGAATCAAGAGTTACATTCAAAGAAGATGGGAAAACTTTTTTGGATTTTATATCCTGCTTTGATTTTGGTACTCCTGGATCATTAGGATTACATAAAGATGTTTCCTATGACCTAAAATGTCAAATTTGTATGTATTTAGAATGCAAATTATCTTAAATAAAGACTAAATTTTATTTTGTATCAACAGCTAAACTACTCTTTCAAGGATGGATGTATTCTAACGATCCAATTTCTAAATGGCAAGAAAACGCTCAGAGTAGCGATATTCAACCCGGAGTATTGATTCAATTTGCTATGCTCTATTGGTTAAATAAAAACCAAGGTGCGCCACTAGAAATTGAGCTAGTCAATTTTACAAAGCTTCTATTTGCTATTTGTTCCTTCATCGGTAATATAATTTTTCAAGTTTTTGACTTCTTAATCAATCGAAAAATTTCACGAAAATGATCTAATATACCACAGATCCCGACGACATTTGTCGTTGCAACGAGGCTTCGCGTTGGTGGAAAGACGTTCAAAATATACTGATACAATCTACGCAACCGTTTAACGCTCTGACAGCGGCGATAGCGTGTCGAGCAGTAGCTGCTTCTATGCAAAGAAATAAGGATACAATGAAAACAACTCTTTTCAAAGATGACAATGGCAATGATGATGAGAAAAATGGTAACAAATTAGAAAAAATGGACGAGAGTGCCGATAGAGAAGATATGTCTTCAATCGAGGACGAGACCATCAGTAACCATAGCGATTGGGAAAACGTAAGTAAAGATACCTGCCAATTTTCCTTGCTTGCTGGAAATTTAGAAGATATTGCTATCTTGGATGCGATCGTGAGGTAAGATTTATATTGCAATAATTTTTTTCTCATCATATAAAGAATTGAATCTTAATGCCAAATTAATTTCAGTAACCCACCGACGATCGATGATTCAACAAGATTTCATGCTTTACCATACGAAACGCCTTCAATTTCATTGGCACTTATATTGTCAAAGGGCAAAGGTAAGACTTCAATCGTCAAATATTTTTTCCTTTAAAGTTTTGAAACGGATAATCATATTTTATATTGCACAGGTTCTGTTTCTGAAGCAGTGGCTAAATGGTTGATCTCAACTGGTGTTGATCCAGCTCATTTGATAGACACAACTGATATTGAATTTGATCAAGTTCAGTTGTCTGTAGACACCATACAATACGCTGTTTCCTTAGACGAAGCTAAGGCCCTTGAAGTATCGCAACAAAATGCGAAATCATTACTTACTCTATCTGTTGAAGTAGGTAGCGAGGCAAAACCTGAGCAAACATCGATGGCTTCCGTTTTAGGTATCCAACTATTATTTTTATTAAAATTTGATTATAAGTAAGAAACATGTATAACAATTTATTACTTTCATATCAGATAAAGTCACTCTACTTAAGAGACACTTCCCGTACAGTCTGACCAGTAGCGTTTTGTTAGCAAATTTGTGTTGGGAATACGTAATAAGTTGGAGTAAAGACGTTACTCAATTGGACAATTTAGAAGCTGCATTGTCTATTCTCCGACAAATTCCTTTCAAACGTATCCGACATGGTAAGAGAAACTGTGAATTTAAGCGTGATATTAATTAAACTTGGAATTAAAAAAAACTTATTTGTGATTTTTATCAGGGGTTTCTTATTTATTATGGTCCATACATTTAAAGAAAAAAATGGAGTTCGCTGCAAAGCTTATAAATAAATGTGGGAAAATACCAAAAGAAAGATTATGCATGCAAGATACTGGTCTGTCGGATACTCAGCTTACTACCTTGTTACAACAATGCGTTCTATTTTTGAACATATTTTTAGACGTATGAATTTTTTTCTTGTAATTAAAATAAACTGAAATTCAAAAAGCTGTAACCTAAGGTAATAATTTGCAGGCAGAAATACTTGAAGAAGAAAATTGTTCTTTTGTAAGATCCGAGGAGTTGTGGGAAGGTCACACTGCAAGTGGTCCGCAGCCTTTTTCAGTTTTAGCAATATCTCAACCACCAGCCTCTTACGATCTACTCATGTTACACTTACAATTGGCCAATGTACTCCACATGATTGCACACTTTAATCTGAAGTTTCCACCAAAACCTATCAATAATTTATTTGATTCATTGGTAACAAAACAAACTCTGTCAAACACTTTAATTTTACAGTATGTAAATGAAAAATATTAAATCTTAATTTTTTTTCAGGCTCATCAATACTTTTTCCAGGAAATAAGTAATGTAGTAGTCATTCCATGGTATAAAGATGAAAAACGAGATAATTCTCGAATGGAGTTCCTTTGTCGCGTTATTACTGCATCGATGGAGTCCATCCATCAAGATACTTTGGAAATAGATAACTATAGCTCCCGTCACGCAATTATATGGATGTCAAATTGTCAAAGTTTGGCTTACACTTGGAAAATCAATAATGATGAGTTGAGAATACATCAAGCGTGTCAATTATACATCAATGGCTTAGATCGTTTGGCTGAAGAGGTATGCTTTTATTTTTTAATGGTCGTCGAGAGGAAACGTTTATTTTCTTAAATTTTTTATTTTTTTTCTAGGTGGTTATTGCTGTAAACGATACCGAACGAATGGCCTCTAATCTTCTTCCAATTGCTGGGGGGCGAATGGTAGCTTATTTGGCTAAAGTTAATGATTTGCTTCAAGAAGTATCTCAGATCAGCCCTGCCCTCTCGGCTTACTTACAAGGTTTATCTGCTGTAAGTTTTCAACTTTTTATTAGCATATTAAAACATTCATTTGTAAATTTAAAAACTTCGTCTGTTTCAGAATTCGCAAAACTTAGTTTTAACGAACTGTTCTAATGAGGATACCGTCGAATTGGTGAAATTAGTATCGAGAAATTTACCTGAAACACATAGTGATTATTATATTGCTCAATTAATGCTTGATGCAACTTGCATTTATCAAAGCAAAACTCCGAAAAATGTGAATGATTAGTTCGTTCATAATTTTAAACTTTTATCATATCATTTTACTGATTTATTTACAGAATCAGAATATAAAAAATTATGTTTGAAAAATTGCGGCAGTTTAAATATTACACGAGTATTTTATCCTTGTTTAAAAAAAAAAAAAAAAAAATAGTCACCTACCCTGAAAAGCATTTAAAAGGGGTTTGTCTTACACTACAAATTATGAACGTTTTGAAGTATTTTGATATATATTTGTCATTGTCGAAATGTATTGTTATCTGTAAAAAATAGTCTATCTAGAGTTGCCATTGTTTTGGCATTAGAAACGTATGTTTGTATATACCTTAATGATATACTTCAAGTAGTTGAATGTAAAGAAGATTGTTAATATAGTTAGTTGCTTGTTACAAGCATTAACTATCTATATAATATTTATTATTGTTATTCAATTTTATTTTTCCGCTTACAATCTAGTTTTTGATTGTCTTTTTGAATTTGAAAGGAACAGCACAATAGTCAAAATTCTAGTCATGAAACTGCTTCATGCTTCAATACAGATATATTATAATATATTTGTTGATAAATTTCTTCATAAAAGAATGGAATCACAACGAAAGCAATACATTATGACAAATCACAAAAGAAAAAAAGATGAATGAAATTTGTAGACAAATGATTCAATCATCATGTCACACACACAGGGTTTATTAAGCTTTGAATAAAATTGAATTGAAATTTGCGATTTTCGTATTGGTTTATTTTTATATATAAAAATAGAGTGGCACAACTCCTAAATTAATGTCGATTACAATCGATCGTAGGTACACAGTAGACACTTAATGGCTCTCGCGCGCATCTATATAACATTCACTCCTTAAATATGATAAAACATTTATACAAATATAAATTTTTATTCAATCGATCGTTGAAAATTATCGCGTTAATACTTTGTACATTTCAATTACAATTCATATAAATATATACACGCACATCCATGCTTGCGCATAACGTTTGACGTTTAGAAGCGAACTTTAAAGCCTACGTAGCCAGGCTTAGCGACGGTACACAAATCTTTGAATTCGCAGTGATGTATTTCGCTTTCTGGACTTCCAACTTTCGAGAGCCATTGTGCCCTAAAAAATAAACAATAATCAGCATAAGTATCGTTATTTACAAATTTATTTATTTGAACTAGCTCTACAACGACCGAGACCCGAAAGATTTTTAACGACGACATCGCGGCGCTTCGAATCGTGACCTACATTTTTATAGGCGCGACATACCGTATACTGGTCCTGGCAATGATACACGAGCGTGAATTTGTATATAACAATCATTCGACGAAGAAGACGACATTATTAGCTAATCGGATCGGATATTTTTAATCGCAAGTGGCCGTCCGTCTCGTTTTCTCTCTCTCTCTCGCTCGCGCGCGTGTGCGAGTGCGAACTTGTATATTGGGAGTATACAGTCTATTGGGAGTTTCGCACCTTGTCTGACCAATTATAAATTATTCTACTGCTGGGTAAATGCCTGGAAGTATTCTTTTAGAATGGCGTTGGACGATGGAAAAATTATTCACCGAACGACTCGTTATGTTGCTGCGGCCAGGCTTCATTGTTCGTAACGCAGCCAATATCGTAACGATTTTTATAATTATATTGCGAGTCAAGGTGCATAATTGCCATTGACTTCCTTTAACGTATTTTTTTTTTCTGTTCCAATCGGAGAGGGGAAATTGCAGCGAGTGCAATGCTGCGCGCGTGTGTGGGTGGCTGCAAGCACACACGACACAAGCTACACGGACGCGAACGAGTGTAAGCGCGCGCGGTGCTGCAACAGCTGTACCTCAGCACGCATTGTTCGACACAATCATAGCTTATAGTGCGTTCCAAGGATGAGCTTCTTAATAAATCACTTCCGTCAGTCATCGTTTCGACGCTCGATACGTATTTCAACCGTCGATTTTTTCTTCGTGATCGCGAGCGTTCGATTGGTTTTTGTTTTTTTTGTAGCAAGCACCGAGCCAAGTATTTTTATTTTATTTTTTTTATTTTTTTTATAATGAGCGCGAAGAAATTTTCCGACTTCTTAGCCGACTTTCGAGTCCATTGGAAATTCGCAATAAGAGCATTCCCAGGGTGAAGGAAAAAATCGCCACGAGATGGAATGCGAATCGACGAGATACACGAGTAAAAAACATTCGGCGCGGTCAATCGCAAGCTCGCATCCTTAACCTTCGTTTGGTGCACGCACACTCGAAAATATCTAAAGTTCAGCTCCACGTGAGGAAACGACATCTGCCGCGTTGACAGCTTAATCTCTAAAATAGTCTTCGCGTCTTGCGTCGATTATCTCGTTGACAAAGCCCGACGCGATGCGACGACGATTCGCGACAGCTCGCCGCTTTGCTTGCGCACTTTGAGTCGATTTTACGTAATTCAACTTTCATTTCTACCAAGTTGGGAACTAAAAATACACAAACAAATACAGGCAGTGGCGGCAGTGCGATCCGAGCGCATCGATAAGGTTTGTGTACACATAATTCGAGCTTGCAGACTCGCGCATTGTCACCGGCGCGACACTCGGCGATGACGCGCGAAGAGCTTGCGACAACTCGACGTCGTCGAGAAACAATGGCGCGTCGCAATCGGCAATCGTTGACCGCGCCAAATTAAATGAAATTTCCCAGAGCAAACAATTATGCGAATGAATTTTATAACCGTATTTTATGGCTAGGATATAAACTTACATCTGATCGATGAGCGACTGGGGTCCCTGCATTTTGCCCATGATCGTGCCGGTCTTGCTGTTCTTCACCCATCCGACGATGCCCATTTTCTCGCACAGATCTCGCACGTATCTCGTGAACGAAACACCTGATGGCATACCTGAACGTTATAATATCGTGTCATTTGTCAACCTATTGCTGGGCCTTCGAGATACAATCGTGCCAACTATTTTATAATTCGCTTATCAAAGTATTTTCTCAGACTATGAGCTATAGGAAATTTAGCGCCTCTTGTCATTATACACCGGGCAAGGATACATTTCATTATTATTATTTTTATCATTGTTATTAATCTTGGCACAATTATTCTGGCACATGCAACGGTTATGTCTATTTATTGGATGAGTGCAAGCTCGTGCGTGATACATCTTGCTTAACTAATCAGTTGAGATTTACGCACGAGCTTCAATTGAGTAAGGTTTTTCAACAAATAAGAGGACCATTTTTTCAACGGTTATGCCAAGTATCAGACAGAATCACAGGGATAACGATTCGCCGTGAACATTTTCAACTTTTCGTTTCGCGCAATCGTGCAATTAGTCGTGTGATATTTACTTAAATACTCGACAAGATTATTAGATTTTCTTTTGGATCGCGTTGATCGTTTCTCGGTTGAGAGTTTTAATAAGAGTAGCAGAAAAATTATTATTTATTTGGCGAGGGTATGTAAATGACCTGTTCTTGGTGATTAATCCAGAGAGTTTTTTTTGGACATCCCTTTGAGGTTTTCTGCAAGAGATAAAAGTGAGGAAATTTGGTTAAGAGAAACGATGTATCTCACCTTGAACTTTGCCAAAGACCTCGAATTCGACCGATACTAGTGGCTCGTGATCCAAAGGATCGTCAGATTGTTGCTTCTTCAAGTTCAGCACAGACGTCATTTTGTTAGGGCAAGAAGAGATTCTCCAGCAGGTACGAGTGCTTCCTCAGCCTGGCTACCTCTGCGGTATCAATTTTGATCACTTGTTGCGGTCCGTCGAGTGCCACATAAACCAGTGAAAGCACGAAAATCGCTCGGCTTTTCTCCCAACTTTCTCACTCTCTCTCTCTCTCTCTCTCTCTTTCTCTCACACTACGGCTACTGTTATTGATCGACCGTCTGCATGCAACTGAGATTTTATTCAAGAGCGATGCCAGTCTTCCTTTTAGCTTCTCGGCTTTTCGTTTAACAAATATAGAATCTTTGCGAGCCCCCACCTCGGCTTGGCAGTCTATTCGACACCGACGACGATCGATTGTGTTTCTCTTGATTAGAGATCGCATATAACAATATCGTTTGTCGATTGTCGATCGATCGATTGGTCCATCCACCCACCTCGAGAGACGAGTCTGCGACCTGCGCACGAGGATGGCCTTTTGCGCCTCCGAGTACATTTCAAAAGTGTCGTAGTCGCTCTGTAGTTTCGCGACATTTTTTTATCGACTCGCGCCTTTCGGCAACTTGAACGTAGCTCATAAAAATGCTCTCAGTAATCAGTCAAATTTTAATCGGCTTATTTTTCATTCTTTGGTACTTTTTCATAATGAACTTCATAAAAGAGTTTTTGTTTTTTTTCTTTGTATGAAGAAGGCAGTCGAGACATTCCTGCCGAATTCGGCAACATCGGACCATGAGTTGGAACTGGACATTTTTTATGTAACACGTAAGTAAGTTTAATCTCAAGTATACCGTAATGTGTTACATCATAAGGAAACGATATTCAATTAACTAATAACGACCTTGGCCGTGCGCGCCAATTCATTAGATCGCTATCAATGTCTTTGAATTACGTCCGAAAATTTTTCAAATCGCACTCGTATCCGCATAACAAGTGCGAAATGTTGCTTCCTCCCTCCATCTCTTTTCCTTCCTACAACGCAGTACGCGTAACCTTCCATTTATTGTGGCTTGTGTCTCGCTTTTTTTTTTTAAATATAGGCTACGAGGGCGATCTATTGTTCCGTCATTAAGCTCTCTCTTTTTCCTATCTCTCTCTCTATCTTTATCTGGCCTTTCTTGATTAATTGCGTCATTTTTCGTTGAGGGTTCAAGTTGGAGCTCGAGCCACCGCACGCGTAAAACTCGCAGCATCGCACGGCCTATTGTTACGGCACGGAGGAACGCATCTACATCCACACTTACGCGACGAGAACGCGCATATGCATGTGTAATCTTATCAAGTATCAAGGTCTACATTACATCCGTACATGGCTGCATCTCTCGTGGTCAGAGTTCAGACGTCACGTTAAGCTGGATATACTTGGGGCGAAAAAATTAAAAAACACGAGAAACAAAATTAAGAGATATTTCTTTATCGTTTATTGTGTATACATTCATACACACTCAGACTAATGTCATTGGCAAAAGTAATAATGAATATCGACATCTTTTGGTTCTCTTGCAAACATACTCATACTTCCTTAGGTAGGCTAGTTACATAATTTTCTTTGATTTATACGTGCACACAGACGACGAGCTAAAACATTCAATATTTTCAACAAGCGTCATACTCAGACTTGCACTCACAGGCATGAAAAGTAATCGGTAATACAGTCAAATAAATTCGCTGAGGAGCACAGAAGCTCGATCTTCTGCCAAGTCAAAGTTGTTATTATTATTATTACTGTTATTATCATCATCATTGTTATTATTATAATTGTTATTATTATTATTATTATTATTATTATTATTATTATTGATGTTGTTGTTGTTATTATTTCATTCATCAGGCAAGCAAAGACACTCGTAGTTTTGACTTTTCAAATCGTACTTACAGGTATAATATTCGTGTTATTTTTCTTTGAGAGCTTCCTACCTAGTAATGATATTTATTCTCTGCGTGGAGAGAGATAACGTCTCTTTTTTTCTTTATTCATTATCATTGGTCGAGCACGTTGAACTTTTCAAAACTTTAATCGACTTTTTCGCGTATTTACCTTTAAAAAAATAATTTTTAACATAATACGCGAAGAAAAAAAAGTGACGATTGTTTGGCATTTTTTCGTAACTTTGGCAAAAATTTTTATAGCTCGCTCACGTTAAACTATATCATTATTGGTAGAGTCATCTCCGTTTTCACAGCCATCGTAATGATATCCGCGACGCGTGATCTTTTCCCATCGACGAGTTTGTGGTACAAGAAAAAAAAGTGTTGCTCGTTTTTCACGACAAATGCGATTACTCGTACATAATTAAAGCTATACAAAGTATTTATTATAACTCATAAATGAAATATGTAATTATATAGATCATGCGTACATACGAGTTATCCATTCGTCCATCGATGAGCGCAGAATAATTATTTCATCCACAGCACAGCACTATTAATATTTTGTTTAAACTTATTCATCACTTTTTTGTTTTATATGACAGTTCGGGAGGCTCTCGTTCGTTTCAGCTACTTTTCATTTTCGCATATTCTCAATCTTTCTCTATGTAATAAGCACTTTCTCAACGTAATTTAAGTATTATATATTATTATTTATATAGGCGTATAGGCAATTTTAAAATAGTGCAATGTACCGCGTCGAACATGTCTTGGATAGACGCGTAATGCACGTGCACTCAATATAGGCGTACGTATCACTTTGATTGCGCGCACTTTGCTCTTTAATAAGCGCATTCATAGCCAAATTATAAAACGTTCTTTTAAGCGTTCGTTGATATTTCAACGTACGCATAGATAAGAAGCTGGTTTTTGGTCCTTACGTGATTATCGGTATTATTTAGTAGCTGTTTTTATCGTTGAGTTGATCGAGAAAATGCAGTAAATCGAGCAATGGTCGTTTTATTCATCCTTCTCGTTTAAGACATGGTCGCCGGGTCGACGTTGGTCGAAGAAACGATGGTAACGGAGATGCCAGTGTTGAGCAGAACTCCGTTTTCGATATCTTTATCCTTGAGAGGGCTCGGGTCGCTCGGGTCCCTCGAGGTCACGATCAAATTCTTGCGCTTGACTGCAGCTAGCTTCTTGTCCCGTTCGAGCTGCAACACACACAGACACAAGCGACACATAGGACATGTTTATCCGACTCGGGGGACAAGTGGGACGACTCTCTCGTCTCGGATCGCGAGAAAGCACAAGCTGGGATTTAACGAAGCCGTAATTTTGCAGAGCTCGTCGATACGCACCTTGAAGAAGGTGCGAAGGTAGTGGCAGGGAAAGACGACGCACTTGCCGGCCTCCTCCTCGGCGTCGATGTAGACGCCCCGAACGAGGACCGAGTTGCTGCAGTTGAGCAGCACGAGGAAGACGAAGCAGCCGAGATGCGTGATCCAGCAGGATAGCTTGGGGTCCTCGGGCAGCAGCCACAGGTCGAGCACGTTCCAGATGCCGCGCCACACGTTCACCGTGCCGACGAAGCTCAGCAGCAGGAAGGCGTCCGCGGCGGCCAGCCGGCCCAGGCCCTGCAGCTTGCCGCAGACGTATCGCATCGCCGGCTGCAGACCGAACGTCAGCACGACTATGCCGTAGCCCAGCACCTGTGCACAACGTGACAAAATCTATATCAATATCTCCTTGACTTTCCTCTCGACCAAAACTCAACCGTCGACCGCCGTGTGTAATACGAGTCATTATTGTATACCAAATACATTTAGTTAACGAAGCTGTGTGTCGCGTGAAAAATTGTCACGCGTTACGCCGGACAAGACCGAGTCGAATAAAAGTCAATTGCCAGCGAAAAAGGAGTATTTATTTTTAGACGTCCGAGAATTATTTTTACCTCCGATATTGACACTTGTCGCTACACTAATTGGAGGCTATTTTTAAGCGCTACATACCGCACGGACCAAGTCTAATTTTCCAATAAGATCGTTGATCCGGTGATACCTTGAACTTGACCGCGCGAGTCGAGCCTACATTGGCCTAAGAAACTCGACGGATTTATTGGTCTTGGCTCGAGCGAATCGCGCCGCGCCATTGTGATCCCGATAGACGCACGAAATTTTCGGTGCCCCGAGTCGAGTTGCAGCTAAGCGTGCGCGCGTGCCTCCGATGACGCTTGATGCGATGATTCTCATTACGATAATCCGAGCGCGCGTCTGCGGCTGCGAATGGAATACATAGGCCAAAGCGCCTGTCATCGTTCATCATCATCATCATCATCATCATCATCATCATCATCATCGTCGTCGTTATCGTCGTCGTCGTCGTGAGGCTAGCGCGCGCCTTTAATGAAATAAGGCAGAATATGGTAGGCGCGGGTTTGCGCTCGTTTACGCACGATCACACGGCAGCGTCGCCGAACGCGATTTTCTTCTCCAGCGAGTTCGGATGTAGCGAGCCGATGCGAAAATCGCCGTATCTCTCGATCGTCCATTTCAATTGAAAAAGTTTGCCAAAGGCGCCAAGATTCCGTGCAAATTATTTGCGCCTCGACGGACTGTCGCTCGGTCAATATTGACACGGCTGCGCGCTGCGCTCGGGAATAAACAATCGCGACGCGCCGATCTTTCTAGACTCGAGTCAGGGCGCGAGAGCAGACTTTCCACGGCGGAATTGGCTACTTACGAGCGAGCCGAGGGCCGAGTGCTCGCGATTGTCCGGGTAGAGGTAGAGGTCGAACAGGACCCAGGCGCCTCGCCAGACGAACACGACCAGTGTGCCGATCACGCCGACGCTGAAGGCGCAGTCCAGCATGTACAGTGACCAGTCCCTCGAGTTCTGAAACAAATCGTACCTTATCCTTATTTCGTTGCTTGGTCAATTTTACAACTCCATCTAGGTGCAGGGATAAAAAAAAATGTCGTAGCCAGCGAGCACGTGCTTGAAAAGCAGCTACGTAGCTCGAGAGGCGCGCGCATGTCCGATGCAACGCGAGCGTGAAAAGCTCGCCGAGCATACGTCTATATATTGCTACGTAACGAGCGTGTGCGGGCGCTTGGAAGTCGGCCGGAAATTCGGTGCGATTTCGCTCTCGAGCCTACACGCGCCTCGTCGACGCGAGCTCGGCTTCTTCGGGTATCGAACGGAAAATATTTTGCCTCGCGCCTCTTGTTTATTCATCGTATCAGCCACTGAACGCTGACACGACGAGCTATTGAACGGGTGAAAAAATCCCACGATCGCTCGGCGTTCTCTCCGCTTTTTCTGCTGGAGCATTCGTCAGCAAACGGAAAAACCAAAGTAAAATCGGCCAACGAACGACTGACTGGGCGCATGCCTAATGTTTGGCTTTTTTCGAGCGACTTGCATACACAGTATGCATTTGCACGTTTATAGAGAGAGAGAGAGAGAGACGGGTTATGCGTCGTTATTACAATTGTGTCAAGTACGCTCACTCGTGTCTCTCTTTGACGGAGCGTACGCTTATTCACACATACTGGCACACATACACAGAGAGCGGAGCGGAGCAGAGCAGAGCAGAGACTAGCTGCCTGTGAGTAGGCACAGGCACACTCGCGCGCGACGAGGAAAATCGGCGGATCGTCTTTGTGGATCGGCGCGTAGGAAAGCTGCTGGCACTTACGTTGACGCGAAAGAGCGTCGGCACGTCGAAGTAACCGGCGAAGGTGTCGAGGCTCACGGCGAACGGCGGCGCCGAGATGTTCCTCAGAGTCTTCATGACGGCGAGAGCGGCCGCGCTCAGGGCCGTCGCCGTGAAGACGGTGCCGAAGGTGTGCTCCGTGTAGAGGTCGAGCGCCTGCCAAGTGCCGCGCCAGGCGTTCACGCAGCACAGGCCGAACACGTAGGTGTAGAGGCGCGAGCCCAGGTAGAAGAGCAGCCGGTGCTTGTCCGGGTGCAGGAACTCCTGGAACACGTGCTGGGCCAGGTCGAAGCCGAAGAGGCCGCAGATGCCGATGAGGATCGAGGCCAGGCTGCTGAGCGGCTGGTTGTCCGGGTAGATGTAGTAGCCGCTGAGGCCCCAGGTGCCGCGCCAGTAGCCCACGACCGCCGGCCCGGCTATGCCGGCCGAGAACAGCGTGTCGAGGAGGCTCAGGATCGAGTAGTGCAGCCTCAGTCGGCCGCTCGAGGAGCCCGCACCGGCCACCGCCACCTCGGCCACGACGCTCGAGGCGCTCTGCAGCTCGACCATCCTCTTCAGCTCTCTTCCTTCTCCTCCTTCTTCCTCCTTTTCTTCGGCCTCTTCGCCTTGGCCCGCCGCGTCCTCGGCGCACTTGCTTCTTTCCGCTCGCTTATTTTCGTAGTTTTCCTTCTCTTTGACAGCTTTGGACTCTCGAGACTCGGCTCTCCTTTTACCCATTTACCATGGGCCACGGAGTTGAGAATTTTTCCTCGCTGCTGCTGCTGCTGCTGATGCTTGGAGCTTTTTCCGAGCTTCCGTTGGACGCGCGTATCAGATGCGCTGCGACTTTTTGCGGTTCTTTTTGCTCTTGTCGCTCGCCATGTTCCGCGCCTCAACGTTCAAACATTCCTCGGCGTCGGAACGTTATTATTGCGCGCACTATGGGCCACTCGCAACTCGTTACTCGTACTTTGTATTGTCCGTATATTGGAGCGCGGACGGATAAAGCTCTACTGACAGTCGCGCCCGGTTACTCGCTAACTTTTATCAACTCTGCATCCACTTTTCGTACCTTTTAACATCTCTACGCATCTCTGTCTACGTGTGCTCTTATCTCTCTCGCTCACTCTCTCGTGCATCAACACACACAAACACACACACACGCACGAAACGTCCTACCGTTCTCTCGCTGACTGGATACGCACACTCGTTCGTGTGATGTATAGATATATTAGGTGCCCTGCTCCCACTCTGGCCTAGTACCCACTCGATGCGTATACGTGTGTGTGTGTGTGTGTACGTGAATCAAAGCTCTTTACCTGATGATGATATAGGAACGAGCTGCTAGTATTAGGGCCCCCTCTCTCTCTCTCTTTTACACCCACACTCGTGCATTTCTGCACACTTGTGCAGTGCACTGCTGTAGTGCACATGTATGAGCGCGTGTAGCATTGCCTACAAGTGTGTGTCCGCCTTTTTACATGTTTTTGTAACATTTTCTCAAGCCAAGAGCATCGGTGCGAAGCAGCGCGTCTGAGACATTATCGAATTGTTGTTATATTTATATACAAGTAAACATCGCATACCAGAATTGACTCGTACGTTGCTATTCTTTCTTTTTTTTTTATTATTATTTTTTTTTGTTTCGTTCTTTTGTTTATCGAAACACACGCGCAGAGTCCATAAAAGTCGAAAGTCGAAAATTGCCTAACTGGCAATAGGCTGCAGATCCTTATCGTACGTATCTTCGCGTAATGGTCGAGCCGCGCTGCCATTATACACTTGACAATTATCGCTCAAATTTCGACTCCCGCGTCAGATTCGGTTGTAATTTACAACGCTGATTCGGCGACTACGCTCTAATATGAACAAGGAAAACAGCTCGCCATGGGCTGCATCGCAAAAAAATAACGCGCAAGTTAGAAGCGCGATCGACACTGATCGTGATCATTGGCATGCGATCCGGAAGGCTAAGCGCGGCCAATTCGAGCTTTCGATACGCCGACGAGTGGGCCACGAGTAAATTTTCCTGCCTACCGATCCGGCTTTTATGATCGCTCGACGAGCTTTCTCAATTATTCCTCCTAATTACTCAACGTCTTTACACCGGAGCCCTGTAAAAATGCTCCATAAAATCTCAAGTTGAGAGAAAGGATTGCACAGAAGTTTGAGAAAATGCGCATAAATTGTCGCGGGGATGGGTTTTGCGCGTCGGTGGCGGCGATCGGGCGGTCGGTCGGTCGGTCGGTCGCTTCTATGCGCAGATCTATCCTTGAGACGTGATTTTTCCCTTGACTGGCGTTTTCCTGTCGAGATTTCGCCTTACGCAGCGAGGCACGTCGAGCAAGCTTTTGTCCTGCGGCCGCGCGCGATCGCGTTAATCAGCAGCTTTTTGTTCGGCAATCGGCCTCTCGGGCGCGCGCGTGTCTGCATCGTATGAAACACGTCGTGTCGCGCAGCTCGTCGCATCGCCTGTATCTGGTTTCTGACGCTCGATTGCGATCTTCTCACCTTGTCCCTCATATATTATTATTACGCGGGATGTACATGTGTAATTGCCACGACGCCTCGCGACAACGCGGCCACGTCGCACACACAAGTGTCACCTGATTGTATCTCGTAGGAAAGTGAAAGACGAATTTCGGGCTGTCCAGAGAAATGAGGAAGGGCGGCGCCAGCAGGTTCCTCAGGCAGCGCAGCAACATCAGATTGCCGAGTACGGCCAACGTAAAGCAGCCGATGATTCTGAAAAGCAGCACGTAGTTATATTGCGCTCGCGATAATGCACACTTATCTTTATTAGCCGTCGCTCAACCGACGCATTCTTAGAACATAATTGATCGCGATCAGAAGCAACGCGCAACAAAATTTTATAATGCCTAGATGCATCGCTGCTTATTGATTATTAATTCGCGGGTGATTATAAAATGTCATTACGTAAATAGCTCGCTCCACGTGAAAAAACTTGCAATTCTTCATAGGTTTACGTTTTTCGGGCCTTTTTTATATAAGAATTTTTAAAAAATATTACCTGGCCTGCAGACCAAACCAATCGTTGAGGATGATCCAGGCGCCTCGCCAGTGGCAGTTGCAGGCCAAGCTAAAGACGTAGGTGTAAGCCGTACGCACGAGTCTGCAGCCGATTGTCCTGCAGGTCCAACGGCGATCGCTGCTCCTGCTGGCGGAGTCGTCGCTGAAAGCTCGATGCAGGGGCTGCTTCAACAGAGCGAACAGCAAGTGCAGGCTCATGCCGAAGCCGAAGCACAGCCAGCCGCTGAAGCTGCGAGTCAAAATTACGCGTCCACGTTTACGATTAGAAATCGATGCCGCAACGATCATGTACTCGAGCCTTAATCAATTCGTATGCGAGCAGCGGCTCACGCGATCGCCAAGCAATCAATCTTTCAAGCTCGATTAATTGATCTAAAAGCTGGAGGGACTATATAGACTACAGACTGACCCCCTCAATGCATACGTTTGTTTAAGCAGATAATCTCCCCAGTTTCAGCATACGTATTTAGGATCTAGTATGGCAAACGAATCGGATTAGGATGCATTAGAAAAGCTGCGAATATCTTACATGTTTTCGTGAAAGTCCATCAAGACCCATATTCCCCTCCAATGAGCGACGACCATGGGCCCGACAACGAGCGACGACACCATGCAATCGCTCGCGTACATCACTCGGCTCTGCGTGCTATTTTTTTTCTTTTTCTTGCTCGCCGTCGCCGCATTATTCTTGGACGAAAAAGCAGCTGATGAAGGATAGTTAGCGCGAAATACGCGCAAGTAGATGAATAATTTGAATTACCTGTCTCGGCGTCTCGTTTGACGCGCAGCTCTTCTTGGTCGTAAGGACGATTTTCTTGTTGCTGCTCGTGAAGAAGCTCGTGCTCGCGTTATTATCCAATTTATCGAGATCGTCATCGCCTTCACCATCGCTCGATCCAGTATCGTCCAGTTTGTTAATAGTCAGAGTGCACAAATTTTCCGACAGCTCGACGCTCTTCCGGCGGCTTTCCGAGCTCATGGTGGATAATACCTTCTCGATTCGGCAAAAGATTACGTGCGCTCGCGTAAAATGCACAAGCGCGAAAAGCAAACAGCTCGAGGAGCGTCTCGGGCGTCGAGTCGTCGAGCGCGCGGAAAAATTACGCAAGCTCGGGCGAACGCAGCGACCGAGCCATTGCCGGAGTACTGCGAGACACTCGATAATCGTATATCATGTCGTACTGTTCCTCGGGGATACAAAACGAGTACTAGCTGGAGGATGAGCCTCGCGTAAGGACGAGTAGCATTACGCGCGTATGGCGAAGAGGCGCGCGCGCGCGCACACAAACGCACACACACATAGGTACGCACACGCGATTGGAAAAAAACTCGCACGCGCAGCTCAATGGACACGGGCCGATTTTCCGCGACTCGCTTCGTTGGATTTGGACTTTGAATCGATCGTAAAGCTAACCAATTCCGCGTCTTTATTGCCTACCTCGGCAGCACAAAGGACTTGTCCACCCGTGTGAATCGTTACTATGCGTACGCGATTCATTCTGCAAACTATTGTTGCTCGCGCGCATATCGCGCCCGATTATCTTCTGTAAACTCGTGGCTGGCTCGATAATAAGTACGAATCAATTTTTCTTCAATGAATTCACTGACGAATCGATTGTGCCCAAAGTAAATAATAAATATATATATTTCTGACACAATTTACTCCGATCCAAATAACGTTGTAATGATTGATAAAGCTTACTGGCTATAAATACAAGTTTTGCTCGGTTACTGTCAGCTATCGTAATTTCCGATGGCAAATCGCGAGTTAAAACAAAATCCAGCAAACAGATAGAGTTACTTCGACCGCCAAGTGCGAGATCGAATGAGCTTAAGTCTCTTTCGACAACGAGATCAAAATTACGACTGACGAGATTATGCTCTATTTTATAAATATATAATGTTCCTTTGGTGTACACGATACCTAAGTTTGGACAACGATTTAGGATAGACGTGAAAAAATTAGAATTGCTTTCCTAACGAAGGTGTCAACTTGGAAAAATAATTCGCAGGTTCGTGGAGCGAGCGTTCAATCAATTGTAACAAAAACAGGAATTAGATTATGCAAGATAATGATGTAATTTTTATTGTAATCACAAAAAGACTTGACTTTGATATAATGCTCAAAATCTTACTATAATTCTTGGTTGTAAAGTTAATACTTATACAATTATTAAAGCAGAAAAATATTTCCAAAAATCCGTGTAACATTGGCTCATCAGATGACAAACAACCTAGATGTATGAACTAGGGTGTTGTAATTTTTTTAATACCACTTGACGTTTAGTTATGTAAGCATTAATAAAATTCTCACTGTACAATACCTACGTTTAAACAAAAAAGTTAATAAATGCTATACAATTATTATTTTAATTTGCTATTTTCATCATATAATAGTGTCATCACTGATATGAAAACCTTTGACGAGTTTTTTTATGCTTCATAAAAATTGCTCTTATGGTTTTTTATCGATTGAAATTCATTTTTATCATTTTGAAAAAATTTACTCGTTTTAATTTGAATATTAAACATAGGTACTCAATGAATTTGAAATCAAATAACATTTTTTTTTAAATATCTAACATAATTATGTTGATACTTTAATTTTATTAATGTTTATAAACATTATTATCCTTCTGTATTTTAATATTTCAGGATAAGTTGCACTTTAATTTAAACTTTTTTAAAATATTTAGAAATTTTTAATGAAAAAATTTTAGCATATTTATCAATAAGTATTCAATTAATTGAAATATTCAAATTTTGACAAAAATTTCACTTGGCTATTACATGAGAAATTTTAAAACTTTACGATTATAAATGTTGTATTTTGTGCATTTTAAATAGTTAAAAGAAATATAATTTTCAATACAATTTTGTCATATATTTTCAACAAAAATCAAAATGCGAAAAGCAACTCATTTTTTCAGTACATCCAACGACTTTGTCGATGTTAAAACCAAATCTTCGCATACTTTCATCCACTTTACTACATCATACAAATTACATATTGCCGCATTTTATAAACCCTATGGTAACACCACGTATTATAAATATTATTATTATTATTATTATAGCACACAGCCTTGATTTTAACAGTAAACAGTTTAGAAGCTTTTTTTCACTTTTTCATATTAAAAACTCCTTTGCAATGATATTAATATTAAGTTATGCACGTGGGTAATGCAATTGGGGCGCTTTACTTAAAGTTTTAATTGCAGTCGTTGTGGCAGCAGGCCTGTAAAAACCAGGCTTTTAATTTTGTGATAATACAAATTAATCTTTGATGAATATATTACCAACGTAAATATTTTGAACTTATTATGTAACTTTAGTGTCAGTCATTTAAAGTGTTGTTTTAATTTGGTTGTGCATATTCCAAATTAAAATATAAAAATGTGAAGTTCTTGGTATTTTCGATATAGATATTGATTTTATAATGGAGAAGTAAATCGAAAATCTTTCTGTAACATCTTGTAAAGACATGAAATCTAGCTCTAAACTATTAATTGTAAAAAAATCACTAAATATATTTTTGGAACATTACTTAGAAATTTTTAAAGTCTTTATTATATGTATTAATTTTACTTATAATGGTTCTGGTTGTAAATTAGTCAATTTTTGTAATCGTATAATTAATGCAAGGAGTATTAAATGTAGACTTTCGTTATTAAATATAATTTCAAATAACAATTATAGACTTTCAAAATACAAAGTTATTTGTCTGTAAAATTGACATTGTAATTTGTTAAAGGGGGTTTAATAATTTGTGAAAATACATAACACAACTCAGAAGTTTTGATGCATATTATCAAATTTGTCAAAAATATAAGATTTACTTGTAATAAAAATATACGTCTAGATGACATTATAGATTTATCTTCATCACCGTAAGTAGATTTTAATCGTGAGATTAATTATTCTTTTGCGTGATGTCGAGAGTACTACAATCAAACATAAATTTATTGATTGTGAGAACAATAATTTTATAATCATTAGGTACTAAAAATTGTTTCAAAATTGGATAGTAATTCAATCGATTATTTATGGTACTAATGTAACTTGTCAACTGTCAAAGTCACAATTATAAAAGAGCCTTTAAGACAATATTTTACGAGCATTTTTCATTGAAATGCACCATTAATATTACTACTTGTTTGAAAATTTAGAGAAGAATTTAATGGACCTATAACAAGCTATTATTTGTCAAAATATTCTTTCAGTACGAATACAACTGCACTTATTTTTTCTTAACGAGTACGGAATGTACAAGTATATAAGTTATATTTCAAATTGTAATGAATATTTCATTTGAAACAATCTATCCTGTTTTAAAATACAATTTATAAGCATAAATCACTTGCCAATAGCGATATGATCGACAGGTGTGTACGTATTATTATTCAACCGATAATGTGAAAAATATGATAACTTTTTCATAATACTTTTAATACGTCTGTAATATACATGTATTACATATTGTTAAATTACGCTTTATACCCGGTATATTGCACGTATCAATTTTCACGTTCGTTTTTTTATTGTTATTATTAATCAAGTTTCTTTGGTATTTGTCTCGTGTTTTGTTAAATGATCCTGTAGATTGTTACATAATTTGCCGTTATTATCGTCTATTAAATTCTATTATATTCCCGTAAAATTAATATATTATCGCGTCAAGCGTAGAAAACAACGATTATAGGCATCCTAGCTCGTATTTATGTTGTAGTTATTACAGATCAATTATTACACAAAGATCGTTTCTTACTTGGCTATGTTTGTTACAAAAATGTTATCAACCTATCGTACGTCTGCTACGCACATACATGAGTAAACTCGCTCTGCTACTTACTTATATAAAATCTTAAATTTTTTCCCCACTTAAATTACATCTCTTTGTATACCGAAATACTGAACATTAGCGCAGAATTATCTTCTTTGCCCTTGTGGAACGACTATTCTAACTCATAAACGAGTACATATATGTACATACATTGTAACTAGTGTCATACTTTAACTAACAGTCCCTTTGTTTTAGCCTGCAGTAATGGAAGGTTAATCGCTGTCCGAATCTCGGCCACGCGATTCTTTCGCATTGGACTCGTCAACGTAGCTGTGTTTGTACTTTTTCTCCTCGGCCGATTTGATGCACTGAATCATCAAAATTTTTCAATTGAAACGGCTTCTTTTTCATTATAAATTCGATAGGTAGATAGTATTATACTCACGTCTTCCGTTCTTATTCGAGGAGAAGATATTTGCTCCGGAGAGAACCAAGGCTTGTAGTTTGGATTATTCGCTTTTTTCCACAACGGATATCCAAGGGCGGCCTTGTGCAATTTTTTCACCATCTATAAAGGAAATGAAGCGAAATCTCGCGTAAATTTTCCATTATCGAATGAAGTGATTAGCGATTAAAACGTTGGTAAAATATGCGTACAACTGACCTTGGGCGCAAATATTTGCGTGATTTTGTTAACCAACCAGACGGGTAATTTCCCATGGGGGTCGGTATGAGCGACGTAGCCGAGCTCCGAGCCCGGCCCGTTGCGCGACGGCCTAACGATGTAGCCTGCGCATAGACAAAAGGCCTCGATTAAATTAAATAATTAATGCGAATTAGTAGAGTCTGCAGCTGAGTTTACCCGTGAGGTAAGAAGTTGCTCTGACGCAGCCTTTGAAGGGTGGATAATCTTTGTGAAAGACCGAGTGGTTAATGATCATCTGCTCCAAGCCAGTGTCTAGCCACGATCGCTGCAGTACAAAGTCGCGATTTTTCAGTGGCGACGGGCACGACACTACGAGCCAATAAATAAGTGTGCGCATTAAAAATAAAGTAATATCATGTCGAGGCAGAAGGGAAGGAGCCAATTTCTACTCACTGGAATAATAACCAATGTCGTTGTTTGGATTGAAAAAGCCAATTTCTCGGGCATCGATCATGTGAGTGTCCCAGACTTTTCTGTAGTCCGGGTCGTGGAGTACGTCGTACATAGTGTCCGGCTCGACGTCGGAAAACGTCGTCCTTATCTAAATTCAAATTGTCGTTAATGCGAAAAAAAGCTGTAGACTTTTGTCGATATACCTTGATCATTCGAAAGCTGATTCCAGGCACGCTCTTTGTCCAGACGCAAAGATCCGGCTTGTTGTAATCCAATCTCCACTCGTTACTATCGTCGTACAGTCTTTTGAGTTTCGCGAAGTCGCTGTCTTCGGCTATTTTCACGACGCCCACCTCCATTATTATTGCCCAAGCAGACGAGGGCCTGCAATAGCATTTTCAAATTTAAGCCGTCGGCATTTTTTCATGGCCCGTACAGTCACGTGCAGTCTAGCTGCAAGCGTCGAGATTCATTCACGAGTCGTATTATACCGAAAATGCGACGAGATGCATACTTTCCGACATACTTTCCGAGTTGCAGCTAAAGAATGCCTGCAAAGTTAAAGGCCTCTCTCTTTCTCTATATGTTCCTCTCGAGAGTAGCTGCAACTTTGAAGAGTCGCTGCTCGAGAAAGCTCTTTCTTTTCGGCTCGTAGCAGCGCAGCATTGCGCTCGTAAAGTGAAATAGAAACGAGCTGCTCACGCCGTACACTTTACACGCGGCTAGTGTGCAAGTAGGCCCGTTTGGCTTTGCTGCAAAATTCAAAGCGTCGAAAAAATGTTGTCCAGCGTCGCGATGGATGAATATTTGAGAAAGTCGCCGAAAGTCGCTCGAAGCTATTGAAAGCACATTCAGACTAGATACCGAAAATCGATGCGTGCGGCTAAATGGAATCGTTAAAGATGCGCGCGATAAGCGAGCTCGGGTTAGTTCATCGGCCGCAATTGCGTCACGTCGAGGCTCGTGCTCGATTCCGCGGAGACTTTTAATTCAAATGCTTAAGAGAGCTTTGAGCTTGCAGCTGCTGCTTTGAAGATTGCTCGGCTGCGCGCTCATGAATAATGCAGGCGGAATCCCCGAACGAAACACTGCACTTATTGAGGTAAGCGCGTGCACGAAAATGCATGGAAAATTTGACTCGCGCCCGAGTACACTATAACTAAAGTACGCTAAAACGCTCTGTTTATGTAGCTAATGTAAACGTACGAGAGCCTCGTGCATGCATATGCATGAGGCTGCGGCCGCGTAAAAACGTCGAGTGTCAAAAGGCACCTGACGAATGGCCAGCTGCACGCGCGTGCAGTACGCGACGATCAGCTCGCGCTGATAGAGCCGCGAACGACGCTCAACCTACATTAAAATTGCGCCATGGAAAAAAAAAGTAACAATAAAATAGAAGGCGGCTCGTGGCACGCAAATGTATTCGATACGAATGTGCGGGCTTACCTGCGGGAGTTGCGAGTCTGGGCCTAACGCCAGGCCCCGGTCAGCATGTTTTTCTTTCTTACTTCTGATCTCTATCAGATGATGAGCCAATTATTGTAGCAGCAACGGCGATAACAACAACAGCAACGACAACAACTAGAACGATAACAATCGCAGCCGTAGTAGCTGGCGCAAGAGGCAAAACAAGGCGAGTACGAGCGAGGACGATCGCTCGTCATTATCGCACGTATATCAATCGATCGCGCGACAATAATTAGCGAATGGTCCAGCAGTAACAGCAGCAGCGTCAGCCGCACAATAGACTTGTCGCAGCTCGTGTAATTGCGATCATCGCTGCGCGCGGCATCGTATATCTACTTGTAACGACTCGTTGCGCGTCTGGTCGCGTCGCTGCGCGAGCCTCGCATCTCTCGCTTGGCACTCGAGGGGCTGGAAGAACGTCAATTAAAAAAGTAAGGAAAAGGAGCAGGAGAGTCCGCGAGCCGACTGCTGCAGCTGCCTCGGCGTAAGCGCAGCACGCGACGACTACCTCGAAGAGACTCGTCCGTCGCTCGACTGCTGCTGCTGCTGGCGAGCTTTTTCCCCGGCGACTGCGCAGATGTCCGCGTGCCAGAGGCGACGTGCTTCGCTGTTCGAGCCGCCGCCGCCGCCACCGCCACCGCAGCTATACAGCAGCACATAGCTAGAGAATTTTTTCACTATATATATACACCTGTATGTACGTGCGGAGCGCTATTATGGCAGCTTCGAGCAGCGAGCTTCACCATATGCAGCGCATACTTACGTTGCACTCATCGATCGCCGCTTCTTATCTCGACGATATCTAGGTGTGGCAAAAACCACTCGATGAATTTGCTGCGGCTTCGCGTATGCAGCGTCGGCCGCCTCGAGCCCATGGCTGGCCCAAGCGCGATCGAGGCGAGCTCGACTTTCTTCGCCGCCTCGTGACGCAATCGTTGCAGCGCTACATAATACCTACGTTGTACACGCAGTTGCTGGCAATACACGGTATTATGGCATCGCGCTCCCCACCCCCTCGACGCCCTTTCTCGAGCCCAACAGCTGACTCATTGCACCGTTGAGGTCCGTGTACGCACGAGCGTGACTCGCAAGCTCGCCCGCCAGCTGCTCGATCGAGCTTCGTTCGTGCGCGCCCTGTATATATGTTTTCTCGCTGTTTCTCCCGTGGCGTGAATTTTTCATTTTCGACGCACTCGCTCGTTCGTGACTAGGGGCAAAAAGCTCGCGAGCGCTTCTTCCTGCATGCTGCGATACTGTTTTCATTCGTACACGCAACCAAAGCCAACCAAAGCGAATCTTTGGATTTGCGAGATCCTTGGAGGTTTCGTCGCGCATCAATCAACGGCTGGCTTCTTTTCATGCGCTCGGCGCGTATCGCATTAATACGCGAAAATCCAAATCTACGGTGTAGCCGCATTCGTATACGCACACGTCGATGGCAGCTCGGTAATTTCGAGCTTTTCTTTCTTTTTTCATCCGCACTGCGAGCTCGAGTAGGCGCCTGGCCGAGCTGCATAAGCGTACGTTCAAGCGGAATAGGTATGCGAGCGCAGCTGCCTGCAGTCGGCTGAGGAACGCGCGCTTTTCCCAGGAATTTCAATAATACATTTCTGACTCTGGCTTTTATTTCGCCCGGAGTGTGTTTACGCTCGTTCGTTCGATTATCCGGCCGAGCTTTTAATTATCTGCCTTGAGCGATGTCCATTACAAAGTCTGCAAAGATTTTTTTCGATAAACGACCCCTTCCCACGCGTCTGTCACCTATAATGACATCAAGATGACCTATTTTTCCACCACGGACAATGAAAAGCTCGTGAAATCTCCCCGCGGTATGTACTCAAAAATTTGCTCGTCTATTAATCTCTGGGCAAAAGCATTATACTAGTTTGCCTTTTTGTTCGTTTCTATGTATCGACAATCATCGTGGCCCAAATGAAAAGTTCAAGCAATATGTTAGCACGATTATTCCCCATTTTACGACTTCCAAACAATGCGCCGGTGACGCGATCTGAAAAATTAAAATCTTCAAAAAGCTTCGCGCAAATATTTTAATATGTAACTCGTAACTCGTAATATCCATTTGTTCTTCGTTTGTTTGTTGTTGATATCATTTTGGAATGATGACCAATGATAACCAGTTATAATAACTTCCAACTTTAAAGCTCGACAGCTGCCGATAAAAACATCATTACGGAATCGGAAATTTTACCCTGACTACGAGACAGCTGCGACTCGTGTCATCGATCTCCGTGCGTATTATCGCGTTGAATCATCCATTTTGTCAATATACAATTCAACCCATCACGCTTAATTTCTAAACCAACGACCCAAAATGTTTGCTTTGCTTTGCGATATAATTCGCCGTACTTACTCGTTTTTCCTTCCGAATACTTCTCACACCAATACACAAGAGACACATATCATATACGTTACATATGTTACTACGTCTTTTAAATGTCACAAGTGAGTCGATAAGGTAGATATTTCTGCTACTTAAAAAAGATTGCGCATCGCGTAAACGTTTGGAGCTTCGGATAGCTTGAGCGAAAAGGTTAAGTAAACAGCTCAATTGGTTTATTTTGATATTCCAAGTCTCAAGTTTGTTTAACGTCGCGCTGTGCTTTCCAAGTGATCGTTCGACGACTTGCTCTCTCCAACGGATTGGCCAAGTGACAATGTCATTATCGTTCGTATAGCGGACAGTAAGCACGGAAGAATCGCGATAAGAATGTTTTGAACGATCGCCGATTATATTTTTTCTTACACAACTGACATAGCGTGTTTTTGAACATCCAACAGGCTAACTCTGATTGCTTTTCATCATTTGTATGTACACGCTCATTTGTGCTTTACGCTATTTGACTCGATTATTTCTTTCATCCAATAGTGAGGGAATAAATCACGCCCGAGTTTTGTCTTTGTGAAATTGTTTCCATTTCATCAAACTTGAAAAAAGTTGAACGTTTGGAACTACTGATAGTTGGTAAGTGTCAATTTTCTAGTTAATAAATCCCTTCAACATTACTAATTAATATGACTTATCTAATCATTGTTCAATTGATTGCAAGTCTTTGACCTGTGATTGCTAAATTTATCAATTTTTACTCTTTGGAACAAACCAGAGGTTTTTTATCACTTGACAGTTGAACTGTTACTTTTGTCCAAGAAACTTGTGCAGAGTTTAAAAAATGGCACCAAATTTTGTCGAGACTGGCAATACAAACTTGGATGACAAAATAAATGAATGGCTCAGCTGGAACAAAGTGAGCAAACATTTAATATAAAATAAGTTATTATTAACATGGTTTTATTTAACAATTTTCTTATTGTTTCTCTCAAGGATAAAGAAGCAGAGAAAGAAATCAAAAGTTTAATTGATAAAAATGATATTAAGACTTTAACCAACTTATTTCTCAAGAGACTGGAATTCGGGACTGCTGGACTTAGGGGTAAAATGGGACCAGGTTACAATCAAATGAATGACTTGGTTATCATACAGACTGGACAAGGTTTACTTGAATATCTTAAAAAGACTAATTTATCACTTCATGACAAAGGTATTATATTAGGATATGATGGACGTTACAATAGCAAAAAGTAAATTACATGCATTATTTAGATATAAAAAATATGTTTTTGCAATTGAATAGTAGCAATAAAAATATCTTTTTATGCTAGGTTTGCTGAGTTGACTGCATCAATTTTCTTAAAAGACAATATTAAAGTTTATATGTATTCAAAAATATGCCCTACACCATTCATTCCTTATGGAGTGTTGAAATACGGCTGTGCAGCTGGTGTTATGGTAACAGCATCTCATAATCCGAAAGAAGATAATGGATATAAAGTGTATTGGGATAATGGATCTCAAATTATATCACCTCATGATAAAGAAATTCAAAAAAGTATTTTAAATAACCTTGAGCCTACTATATCATCTTTAAATACTTCCATTGTCTATGAACATCCATTGTATCACGATCCGCTAGAGGAAGTTATGAAAACGTATTTCAGTGATATACAAAAGAATGTTTTGTACCCAGAAGTGAATGGATGTACTTCTTTAACATTTGTGTATACTCCAGTTCATGGTGTTGGTTATCATTATATGGTTGAAGCATTCAAAGTAGCTAACTTTAAGGTAATTCTTTTTTAATATTAAAGTTTTGTGAAAATTAATTTTGACAAGAAATATTTTTGGCAGCCCTTCGTCGTTGTTCAAGAACAGAAAGATCCGGACCCTGAATTTTCTACCGTTAAATTTCCTAATCCAGAGGAACCTTGTGCTCTAGAATTAAGTATTGCTACTGCAAACAAAAGTAATTCGACAATCATATTAGCCAATGATCCTGATGCCGATAGATTAGCATGCGCTGTTAAAACTACAGAGTACGTCAATCAAATATAAAAAGAAAAAATATTATTACAGATACAATAGCTCTATAAATATATCTGAATTCCCCAGCAACGAGTGGCGCATATTTACTGGCAACGAATTAGGAGCTCTATTAGGTTGGTGGATGTTGCACAGATTCCGGGTACGAAGTCCAGAATCGAGCATCTCCAACGCTTACATGCTTGCCTCGACCGTATCGAGCAAAATACTCGCTTCCATGTCGAAAAAAGAGGGTTTCAAGTTTGAGGTATAATTTACGAACGGCTATTTCAAACTTGGAAAGTAAATAGTCTCTCATGTATATGCTATATCTGTACAGGAGACATTGACCGGTTTCAAATGGATGGGCAATCGAGCGTCTGAGCTGAAAAAGTCCGGGAAAGAGGTACTGTTCGCTTACGAGGAAGCAATCGGTTTCATGTGTGGCTCATCGGTATTAGATAAAGACGGTGTGAGCGCCGGCGTATGCGTTGCCGAAATGGCAGCTTATTTGCAAACTATGGGTCTCAGTCTAATCGATAAATTGAACGAAATTTATTGCGAGTGAGTTTGCATTGAATCGAGCGCATCAACTAATTTACGTACTTTACATTCGTACTTTTTATTTTTAGATACGGACATCACATAAGCGATAATTCGTACTGGATTTGCCACGAATCCGAAACGATCAAACGCATCTTTGATCGATTACGGAATTTCGACGGTAAAGAGCACTCCGTAAGTATTTTCTGGGAATTATTTTGCAATTCTTTCTACATCGTATCTCATTACAATAGAATTATTTACCTTCGTCGCAAAAATAAATGTTTCGTATTGTTAATGAGTCGCATTTAGTTCTCGGATTAAGTATTTTTTCTACGCGGTGTCATAAGCAACCGATACAGATCGAAGTCGTTCGATCGAAACAACGAACGAATGAAGAAGGATTTCTATCAGTCGTTTAGGCATATTATCATTGCCTGACACGGCGAGAAATGAATTTGCTAAAATTTTTGTCGGTCGGCTTTGTTTCGTTGTTAATGGCATGAAAGTTTCTCGATTCAGTGAATAATTTTTATTGTCCTCGACGTTGTTAGAAAATGCAAACAAGATCGAGCAATGCCATTACGCACGTAGACATTTCGATTGACAATAACTATTTTTTCAAGCGCAAAGTACGATGAGAAGCCGCCACAAATTTGAAAGGGTTTTTCAACTTCATAATAATAGTTTAGCAAATATTCAGAGCATTACATAAATATAAATGTCAGAAAAGCGATGGGAGATTAATAGAAGCGATGCGATCGTGCTCTCGATTCTTGTCACACTCGTGTGCCCGTAGATTATTTTTATTGGCGCGCATTCACGAAAGAAAAGTTTTCCTGCGAAATAAGTAGACGAAAAAATGCGAAAAGTAGTTAGAGGCGTGATAAAATCCATGTACGATTAGCGCGCACGAGCCTAATAAAAGTGCCTCTTTCTCTCTCGCTCGAACTATTTAGAGCATCGATAGTAATCGAAAACAAATTTCTTATCACAAATCCTTATTAGTCGGTAATCCGTCGGTCGCATTTAGCGATGCAGAAGTAAAAATGCCAAGATTTTTTACACGAGCCTAAGCATAGGATTTGTTAGTCATTGCGATTATATAGGCGACGACGAGCAACAGGTAAGTATATTATAGTCGTGTGCATATGCATACAGCGGCTTCGTATCAAGGCCGTGCGTACGTACATACGTGCAGTATACGAGCTGGCGAGAGAACGAGAAAGAGAGAGAGAGAAAGAGAGAGAGAATCGGAAAGCGAAAGAAAAAGCCGCGACGATTCTCCGCTGCAGTTCACCAAGTGCCGTACACTCGCGAATGAGGTGTACACGCACACTCCCGCGCGCGCCTCGCTCCATATCGATGTATCGTTTATTTCATTATCGTTAGTGATTTTTTCGCTTTTGCGCGCCGAATCCACTTGCCATAGTTGCACGATTGTCAGTACTCCTCGCGACTCGCGACTATAAGCCGCGTCCCGATCGAATTTCACGCCAATTTTCTAGTCGCCTCGATTTGGTTTACAAGCTAATTATTATCGATCTCGATTTCGCCGCATCGAGTAGTCTTTGCTCGCGGCAAGATAAAAAATTCATAAGTAAGTTAGAGTCACGACCGCGAAAAATGAACAACGAAACTCGTGATAAACACCAACAGCAACAACAAGAGGAACTGTCGTTTTGGACGCCAAAACTGCAGGATGTATTTATGACCTCGTTGACGTTGGTACCTTCGGTTTTGTTAGGCGTTTTAGCCATACCAGCCGTGCAGAGTATGTTTTACCTGGCGCCGATATTCGACGACCAGTGGCTCGAGCTAGTTCAAGTTTGATCGTCGTAGCGCAACTTTTAACGTTTACATTGTTGCTCTGCCTTGCTATTGAGATCATGAGCTGTCTGGTACGTTTTAATACTTGTTTCTTTTCCCCTTTGATCGATTGATTTATTTGCGTTCGATGAAAATTAATAATAATACGTTATCGCGCCACTCGGCTGAATATTATAGTCGATGCCTTTGTGAACTGCTTCTTCGGTGCATTTTCAAATCTTGAACTCTCGTATGCAGTCTATGCACAACTTATATGATCGCGCCAATCGATACAGCTACATTTGCATCATTTGCATTCGCGTCAAAACGAGACGAGTTTTTACGTTGACAAAAAGTAAAGTCACATGTACAATGTAAGATTACTTCCTGGATAATTTCATTTCGATCAATTGGACCTGCAACCATTTTTTCAATTTTATTTTCAGTAAAAATAGCGATCGCGCGCTACATTTCCGCAGAGTGCAATGTTCAAGCGTTGCGTGCAATGACATGACAAATTATTCGCGAAAATAATAGACATTGCACACGATTGACTCGAGCAAAAAATTATTTCAAGCTATTTATCATTTTTGCAGTACCCAACTGGTATTCTTGGAGGAAAATATCAAATTACAAATGTGAGAGACTTGACCACGGGATACGATAATACTAAACCCGAAAATAAGGCTGTTTTACCTGTATCCAAGTCATCTCATATGATAACGTTTACATTTAAAAACGGTTTAGTCACTACTCTCAGAACAAGCGGTACCGAGCCAAAAATTAAATATTACAACGAACTCTGTGCTTCACCGGACCAAAAGTATGTATATTGTTTTGCATAATGCGAAATACCAAGTTATAACCACGATTTAAACGATTTTATCAATTTACAGAGATTTACACGAACTCCGACGAATTTTAGACGAAATGGTAGCAGCCGTCGTCGAGGAGTTTTTGCAGCCTGAAGTGAATAAATTATTACCTCGTAGCTTGTAATTATCTCCCCCAAGCAAGAATGAGTTGGGAAAAAATTCGCGCTGATATATCACACAAAGACAAATTTTTGCATTGATCATTTTGAATTATTCGTAGTAATTTCGGCCGACTGATATACATCATTTTTCTAAAAGCAGAATGGATTTTCATCAGATGGACATTGTTATTTACGAAGAATAAAAAATTTTTATTTTTCTTGTACGCTACTGACGCTTTATTACAGTTCTATAATTTAGCTAAAACGTTATATATATTAAACATTGTTTTTTATCTTAATAATAATTCGTACGTTTCATTTTTTTATACACAAATACATTATTTACAGAGATGAAAACATAATATATTTTTGTATATGAAAAGTCTTAACTTTAGTAAAAATTTACATAAAAATCTATTTTTTACTAATAATTTTAACTAAGTTCAATCATCCTTTTTTCGTTCGACTTTTGTGTTTGCCAGTTTGAACTTGGAATGTTATGCCCTTCAAAGAAATTTTTGTCAATTTTACTCAAGTTTTTTTGTTAATAGTTGTGAATGAAATGCAACTTACATATTTATCGAGATAATCTTTGAGAGAATTAATTTTGCATTTAACACCGCTTTCTTTTAGTTTTAAATGCAACGGCTCTAATGCTAACGGTTCATAAGTCAAACATTTATTGTAAAGATCCTGATCACTTGAAAGTAAGCTACGAAATGCAACATTAATGGTTTCAAAATTATCAGCACTGGTAATTTCAGAGTTATCAGAACCCATTTCAGCTGCTATATTTTCACTAAAAAAAAAGTATTCAATTCGTTTAAATAATTTTTGTTTGTGAAAAAAAACAAAATCATTTCATCATTTACTTCTCTTTAGATTTTTTATTTCTGTTTGTTTTTGGCTTGTCACAGTTCGGCATTTTATTTATATCTGGTTTTTGAGGTATGGTTGATGAAGATTCATCGGTTTCGCTGGAAGTTTCCCCTTTATCTTTTGTAGTTGATATTTCTTTATTAGACAGTGAATAATGCGTTTGTTGATAAATATGTTTCAGCAACAATTTAGCTTTTTCTCGACGTTGAGGCTTCAGACCGAATTTATTCAGTTCTTTCTGTAAATAAAAAGAGATTATTACAATGACGCAAAAGATTTTACTACGTTATGTAATTTGAAACATTTTTTAAAATACATGTAATTCGGGAGTTCCCAATAAGCTATAATTTACAGGTGGTGTTACAGCACGGCCATATTTACCCGAGATTCTGTCTTCTTTATTCTGAGGCGTCCCTGCCGTAAATGATGAAGATTTTTGCAATCGGCGTTGGGGTTGTGAAGAAAATTCGTTTTCAGTTCTTGGAATAGAAGTTGTTTCAGATTTGAATTTTTTTACGATGTCTGATGTTTCCTCAGGGGACTCACTTTGTCTTTTTCTACTTTTGTTTAGAGATAATGACAAACGAGACTTTCGTGGGTTGGATATAATTGGAGATTTTACAAGTGATGCAAGTTCTGGCTCTTTACATTTTTCAATAGCCTTATATTTCGCGTGCAATTTCTCTTCCGAATAGTCGAAACCTTTGAGAGTAGTTTTTTCAATAATTTTTTTAGGCGAACGATTTATAGACCTGCTGCCATTTGAGTCTAAAACTTCTATATCATCAAAGCATTCATCGTCGATTGTTTCAAATTGAATTTTATTCCCATCATTCTGGCTTCTAGATTTAATCGATTGATCTTTGTGTCGTGTAACTTTATTATCTAATACAGCTGTTTCGATTAAATCTTCTGGAGTAGTTGCAATTGACACAGGACTCAAATCCAAAGTTTCTAGTTCGTTATTTTGATTTTCATTTCTTAATGAATTATTTATTAATAAAGAATTATTGTGATTCTGTGTTACTGTTGCTGATGTTAATGCTTCATCTTTCATTTTATTATTTGAAGAATTAAACAAGTCGTCACAATTTGGAAAATCTTCAAGAAGTGCTCTCATTTCTTTATCTACTTTTTCTTCAAGTTTATTGTATTCCTCACTAACATCACAGCTTTGATCATAGTTTGTAGTGAGTGAACTATTTTTTTTAGAGTAAAGGTACTTTTTAAATTTCTTTTTTTTAGAGTCTATTCCCACTCTTGATAATTCAATGTCAACAAATGAAAATTTAGAATGTTCTGGCAAAGTAGTGGAGTTAAGAATTTTAGGTTTTCTACGATGGGTTATATTGTCCATTAAAGATTTTTTTGAAGATATTGTTTCATCTTGATCTTGAATACTTTCACTGCTACAATTCTTAGAAGTATTTTCTATGCTTGTATCATCAACATGGTTTAACTTTTTCAAATCTATGTCTTCATCGGAATCAGAAACTAATGTTACATCAGCTATCACATCATTTGATTTTTTTGACGATTTTCTCAATAATAGGGGATTTAATTTGGCTTCATTTGTATTAGCAACTGGAGAAAAGGTAGAATCAGCACAAACTTGTAAATTTCTCACTGCATCAGAACTGCTTTCAGAGCTTTGTTTTAAATGATATCTGTAATTGGCAATACTGTTATCGTGATCAAGATTTTTTTTATATTTTGAATACATTGACATATCAGATTCATTTAATGTCTCAAGTTCTTCGTTGTCCTCGTCATCAGGTATACATATAACGTCATCAATTTGTTGGTCATTTGCTTTACAATTTGTCAAATTATTGGAAATGTTAGACATTTCGCGAGATACTTGTATGAATTCTGGCTTATTCAGTTTAGATGTTAATTTATCAGACTTTGTATGGGTTTGCTTCTCTTGCATCACATCTTTTTCTAAAAGACTTAATACCTTATGATATGGACTAGGATTACCATCTTTTCTTAAATAAGCATAAGAATCATCGCGATTTTTTTTAAGAAATGGATTTCTTGGTCTATTAATTACTTTTTGAGGTCTATTAATTACTTTTGGAGAGTCAATTTCAGAATCAGTATCCATGATACTTCTAGCATTTTTTCTTTTAACTTTATCAATAAATTCACTTATATCAGAACGTGATTGTGGAATATTTTCAGTTGAAATTTTAGGTGTACTAATATCTCTGGGAGGAGTAACAGCTGTATATATTGATTCGTTTAGATCTTCATTTTTTGTTGGTGAAGAATTAATTACTTTTTCATTTTTTATGTCCAAAGCTGAATTTGTATTTTCAAAAATACTTTTGCAAAAATTATAATCATTTTCCTCCGATAATAGAGATTCATCAGAATCTCTCCTCTCTGTTATTAATGATTTAACAAAATCTTCTGGACTCAATTCAGATGATTTTTGTTTTGAATTATTTTTTTCTTGTGCTATCAATTCATTTATACTTACATTTTCAACAATTTCATCTAATGAAGATTTTTCTTTCTTTGGTGTTACTGACTCTTGATATTCACTACAGAGATCGAGTGATTTTTGAGAACTTTCATCTGGAGAATCTAAAATATTTATAATAGTTTCTTGGGAGTGCGATGGACCCTCTTCTTCTTTTATTTTTTCAACTGACTCTGTGATAAAATTTTTTCTATTTCCTTCAGCTGTTTCTGTTTTAAAAGTGAAGGTGCTTTCTTCATTATCAGAAGCAAACAAATCAGGAGAAGCTGTTAAGCGGCGCTCATTTACATTTTGAATTGAAGGTATAATAACTGATTCTTGATGTTTTTCCAAAATAGTATTTGCCTTTGAACTAATTTTATCTGAATGATGACCACTAATAGACTTCTAAAATAAGAATTATAATTATTATATTTTAATTAGAGTTTAAATTTAAAAGTTTTTAGGTATTTACTTGTAATTTATTTTCTTCAGAACTTTTTTCCCTCGAAAATCCGCTACGTTCAGCAAAAATATTTTTCAGCAATGACTCATTTGTGGCTGAATCACCTATATCACTCATTTTTTCTGACTGAATATATTTTTGTTTTTTCTTTATATAAGTAAATAATTGTTGAACACTATACATTTTAGCTAACTTTTGCACTTCAAGCAATAGTTCACTTTGATCAAAAATAGATTTATACTTCACAATAACACCGCAATATACAAATTCTAAAAATGCTAAAGCTGAATTTTGGTCTACAAATGACCAATTAATTGAACCTTTAGTATGTTGATCATTGTCAGTTTTTGTTTCAATATCTAATAATATATTAGAACATTGAACGTATAAAACTAGTTTATGTGCATAAATATGTTTATCATTTTTAACAAAAATAATTATATCACTTGCTCCGCTGTCGTTCAATGCTTGTGCCCAATTAATAATTTTATCTTTCATAAAATCAGTGACAGTGTCCATGTTTTTAGAATCTTGTATTGAGAGGTCTTCAGAAAGTTCAGTTTTCTTTATCTCTTGATTCACAAACAAATCAAAATCTACTGGTTCATAAACAATTGACACATCCAGTAGACTGTTATTTTGTTGATTTTTTATGCACAGTTCCTCAGGTTCAGTTTCAACAACCTAAAATGTATACAAATAATAAATGAATGTATACTAGCAAGTTTAAATGTAATAGCTCATATATACCTCAGTTTCATTATCTTTCTCTAGAGGTTTTCTCAACAACTGTTCTTTCAAATTATCAACGTAAAAGCAAATGTTGTTTTTTGTGAGTCTTGTTTGATCCCATAATCTGCCACTGTCAGTCTAAAAAATATGTTTAAATGTGATTCTTGTGTCTAACCTTAAAAATTGTTGTGTTTTTTTTCCCAGAAAACCCTCGATTATCGAGTTAATATAATGTCTTGAGCAGACTTACCTTTATTTCGATGTTTTTCAGAAGTTCTCTATTTAAAACCGGCGGTATATACTCAGGTATATCTATACTTTCGTTTTTATGAACTTGCGTGTACGCGTCGTCGCCGGTTATGATGCAGGCGATTCTCTCTGTCAACACACAATCATTGTCTTCTTTCGTGCGTGTTTGCAAAATAGTTGGACCGCAAAGCTTTTCTGATAATTATTATAGACTTATTAGTAAATTTCTAATTATTAAACTATATATACAAGTAAAATAAGAAAATTTTAAACGTTTATCATGTTTTTCAAGCTTTATAGGGAAATGGAAAAGTAATAGATTGTTTTAAGATAGTACTATGAGCAATTACTTTTTTTCGTTTTTACATCTGTAGAAAATCCTAATTTTTTCAAGTTTGTTTTTAAATCCTCCTTGCTTATTTCTTTAGCACATTCCAAAGGGATACCTGCTAATACAGCTTTTTCTTCAAATTGTGCTTTTTCTGCTTCAAACAAGGATTCAGATATGGCCATTGCAAGCTGCAGTTGCGGATCATCTTTAGTGCTCTGGGAATTATTGAATTCACTTAAATTTAATTTGAAATGTAATAAATTAAGTTAAAAAGAAAAATCAAAGCATACATAATTTTTACTGCGAAACACTTTTTTCTTCTCTGGCACTATTGGTGCTGCTGGTAAACCTAAAGATCTTCTTTCACTTGCTTGGCGGTCTTGTAATTGCATCGCATCTAAAGCTTTTTTGGTGGTGATATTATTTTTTGTTGCACAGTTTTTCAAATGGCTCATCCGAATCACTTCATCTTTAAAAGGTTTCAAACACAAAGGACAAGGAAAAGATTCTTTGGCATCACTGAAAGGTTGTGGTTTGAAAAATGATGATTCTATGGAAGGTTGTTTAGCATCAGTCAAACTTTTTCTTGATTTGGTTTTGGATTTAAAAATTTTTTTCTTCGACTTTTGAGCATCAATTTTAAACCTATCTAATATTGGTTTGTAAGCTTTTTCATCCTTGGGTGATTTAAAATCAGCTAAACTATCATCTTCATCAACTTGTCGAGATGATTTATCCTTTTTTGGAGATGTACGATTCCTATCTAAATTTAGTTTTTTCTCTTTTTCTCCCTTAGGTGATTTGAAATCAGCCAAACTATCTTCTTCATTGAACGGTTCAGATGGTATTTCTTTTATTGAAGATTCAATTCTATTGAAAATTGCCTGATTATTTTCATCAAGTTTACTACTTGCACTTACTACACTTGGAATTCTATAAAGAATAGTTTTATTATTATAAACAATAAATAATTTTAACTAAAATGATAATCAATTTATATCAAATACCAGTATCAATAAAATAATATACAAGTTTAAGAAATTTTTTGGGCAAAAAATAATACAACTATCTAATTAACATACATTACAATTTAATAACAAGTACTTATATACAATTATAACAATTGATTATTGTGACTAAACAATAATGATCTAATACAATCACTGTACCTTTCGCTGTTAGGTCTTTTCAATTGCAGTTTGCTCTTAATACTTTTTTTATCTGCACTTGACATGTTGGTATTATTTTGGAAACATTAAACCAATTTCAAGTCTTCTGTTTTCCTCGTACTCTGCTTCTTTAGATCTTAGGGCTCTCTGAACAAGAGGATCAGAAAGAAACTCTTTGACTTCTCTATTCTTGTCCTGAGCTACTGTTGATTCTCTCAATCTTTCAATTTTTTTCTGAAAGAAAGGTAAATACCTGGAAAGGACAAAAACGTTGAGCAAAAAAATTGTTTTTCAATTGGAATTTGTATTACTTACGATATTAAGTGAAAACCACCGATTATTATTGTACAAGTACCAAGAGTTAATAAATACACCACTTTATTGGTTGGAGTTCCACCTGGATATCGTAACTTTTTAAATTTAGGGTCTGCTGGATCAGGCCACATTGCTAAACAAGTTCAATAATGCCTCAAGGAAGACATTCGTTGATAAAAGTAACAATAGTTAAAACCCCAACAAGTACTGTGTAGCTTTGTTATTACGCAGAGTATCGCGAATACACAAGACTAACCTCTCGAGTTTGACGCGTCAAGTGCGCGGACTGCGGACGGAATCTCCGCGTCATGAAAATTGCATCGCCAATGCCATCTTCACTAGAGCGTATTAAATGTATTTGAAAAAAAGCCGAACTTTGAATGAATCAAAATAAATTGTTTATTTATTTAATTATTAAGTAAGAACATTTTTCAATAATAAATCTACAACAGGCATACTGCATATGTCTGTACTATATATACATTTGTACATCATTATTCTTTAAAAAGAATGTACTTTCTTATATGTTCTACACACATAAATGACAAACAACAGTGGCATAATAGTAAAGAAATATATGAATAGATATATTTATAAAAATAATTTTATAAATGAGTCTTTGTCGATGAATCATTGCACTCGATAAGTTGATAAAAATTGGCGTTAAAAATATTCAAACGTACCTAGTTGAATATGTATCGTAATTGGTTTTACGCTTTGGAAAAAGCTCGCGACACTTTATGTACTTGCAGGTATATGAAGCATCCAGTCTTGAGATAAAGGCGACCGACGCCAGATGAGCTCGAAGTCGAGGATCAATCGGCGGCGCCGAGTCAAGGTATTTATTTTACGTTCCAGGCGCGCAGCGTAGAGACCACATGATTGAGCTTGGACTGCCACTCGGTCAATTCACAGGGAGTGTCGAAGGACAGCAGATTCCTAGGGAACGAGGTAAGGATTCGTAAAACAGAAGCGAAAATATGCCATGAGAAATGGCATGGGGCATTTCGGACTGACCTGACGATCGCGTAGTCATTCGGTGAGCGAAGGAAGATGCCGTCTCTGGTGACGTTATGCCTAGCGTGAGCAATCTCCAGGAGGATGGTCCTGGCCTTGGCGCACAAGGATCGATCGATAGGGCCGATGCTCTCGCTCGTGCAATCCGCCAAGTCGATCTCCTTCAGAGGATGGCCGTTGTTGTACTGCTCGTCGGGATAGTTCCAGAAGCGCAGGTATCGCTTATCCAGAACGGCCCAGCGTCTGTTCCAGTTGGTGTAACCCCCGAGCTCCTCGCCGTGGTTCACGAAGCCCGACTGCTCGACCTGCACGTAGAGCTTGCACTTGGTCGTCATGTCGATGCTGCCCTGGAGGACGCTGCTCCCGGGACTTCCGGGATAGATCTAAAAGACAGACGACAAAAACAGCTCGCTGGCCCAAGGAAATTATACAAAAGCAAAGAAGGAAGCGTCGCTTACCCCGCTCAGAGGCCAGGGCGGCGATTTGCTCAAATCCGCCAGGCGCAATTGGAGCTTGCCGCAAGCTAAAAACGACGACTGCTTCAATCCAGGGGCTCCGAAATCGGCGTGCTTCGTGCTCGATGGCCCGATGGTCCGCCTCTTCTCGTTTCGCGACAGAAAGTTGGACGGCGACGGACAAACGATGCTCCTGTCGGAATTCTTTGGACTCTTGGCCGGCAGATGGTACTTGCTGGCGTGATCGAGCGACGGCATGCGCAGCTGCAACCTGTACACGCCGATGCTCACGGCGAAGTCGGGCAAGAGCTGGAAAAACTCGGCGCTGCCGGGAAAGTGGAGTCGGGGCCCGGTCCTGGGGCACTCGATGGCTTGGCTGGCCCAGAGGTGTCGACCGTGACTGGCCACGACGACGTACCAGTCGGCCTGATCGGCGCCTTGGCCCATTCGCTCGATGCTCTCCCTCAGCGGCAGGCTCAGGTTGCTGATGACGAGGTGGGCCCTCTCGCAGTCGGCCTCGTCTTCCTGCTTGTCGGCCAACGCGCTGACCTCGTCGAGGAAGGCCTTGCGGCGCAGTCCCGAGACGAGCAGCTGACGCTCCGACTCGACTCGCTCCCGACTGCCGACGAACTCCGGCATGGAGAAGCAGAGCTCGAGGGCTTTGCTGGCCTGGTACATGCGCGTCAGCTCGATGTCGGCGCACTGCAGCAGCTCCGTCACGGCTGCGCTCCGCTCGGGACTCAAGTCGTCCGGATCGACGATTCTCTCCTCTGGCCGCTCGACGTCTGAAACGGACCTTCGCGACCTCTGCAGAGGTGTGCAAAGCCTTGCATGTAGTCACGCTTAACTATGCTCGATCGCGATCAAACGGCCTTACCTTGCGGAATTTCATGGTCCAACTCCTGCACAAAGACATCCTCCTGGGCGCTTTGTTCGAACACTTGGGCTGATCGGTCGCCGGAGTTTTCGTTGGCCCCTTGCGTTTCGCTGCTGGAGTTAGACGCGAAAACCTCCAAATCGAGCGCTAGCATCCATTTGGAAAAATATTAAAAGAAGAAGAAGAAGAAGAAATTGAATCGTTATATTTTTGAACTCCAACTTAAGCAAGTAGATGGGCAGACAAGGGTCGGTACCTCGTGTGTCGGGGATTTTTCCGGGCTCGCGACCGGCGACTGAGTCTGAATCGTGAGGGTCGAGATATCGACGACGCTTTCGGATTCGGCGAATTCGGCGGGCCTCTTGGTCGAGTTATTCCGGGTCGATTCCATGTTCGGTCTGCGACGATTGCTCATCAATCTAGGAATATTGCGTATGAAAGACATAGCTCTGCTGCCCGACTTGTTGAAACTGCAAAGTCTCGAAAATGCCGTTTTTTCGTTGTTGTTCGGCGAGGACGGCACCGCTGCGGGCTCCGAGTCGCCGACGGCTCTTGTGTCCGCTGACGTTTTCGCCCGATTCTCCTTGGCTTTCGAGCTCGAATTTAGTTTCGCTGCGTAAGAAAATGTTTAAAAGTAGAGCCATGAATGCAAGACGACGCGTAATTATATTCGTGAGTATAACTGTACCTTTGGCCTCCATGGCTTCCTTGGCCGTTAAGGTAGCTGCTGTGCTAAACAAATTTTTCGGACTGCATCGCTCGATTTCTCGGGGTTTTTCCAAAGACAAATTGGGGTAGACTCGTTTCGGCGTCTCGGAAATTTTCTTCTCGCCATTGTCTTGGTCGATTGTTTGCGGTCCCATAATACCAGCGATCTCGTGGCTTATGTCATCGATCTCGTTGGATAATCGCGACAAAGAGAAGTCGCGGCGTAGATTTTCCATTTTTTTCCTCTTTTCCTCCCTCTCGGCTTTTTCTTGTTCTATTTTGTCGAGCAGTTCCTCGCTCAAGGACGGCCTTATGAAAAATTTCCTCGGCGGCGACCAGTCCTCCTGCCATTTATCGACTCGAATGTGCTGCACCGTCGTGGCTTGACTCGCGCCTTGAGCCTCGGAAGGGAGAGCGTGTTTTGGCGAGGCCCAACTCGTATCTTCTCTCGGCAGCTTCGACAAGCTCTGTCGCTCCGGCTTCGTTGGCGGTGTGCGCTTCGCTATTGCTCTGGCCGTCAAGCGGGGATGACGACTGGCCCTCAAGTTGGCTCGCGGCGGTTTCATAGGCGAGCACTTGACCGCAGGCTTCGTTGTCGTATTCGTCTCCGGCCGCGATCGTGACGGCTTCGCAGTCTGCCGCTCTCCCAACTTTTCCTCCAGACGATTTTCGTTTTCGTCGACCGGGCTAACTCGACTCGGGCTTTTTACACCTGGGCCGGAATTAGTCACGGATGTTGATTCGCCTTCGACCGCCGGTGACTTTTCCTTTTCTTTCGAATTATCGCTGCTGTCCAAGCAGTCAAAAATAGCGTCGTTTATTTGTGCGTCGTCATCTTCGTCGTCGTCGTCGTCGCCGCCGCCAAAGACTACCGGCTCGTAATCTACCTCCGTAGGATTGCGAATATCGCTCATTCGATGCTTATTTTGGGAAATTTTCGGTCTCATTGTTCGAAGATCGAAGTACCTGTTGTGTTTCAATCGACACTTGTTGGACAGCGCTGGTTCGTCGCTTCGGAGCAGCCAATCGCGCCAAGTCAACTCGTGCTCCGCAGCCGAAGATACAGTGCTGGTCAGATCGTTCGGTCCTATTCGCGATACACCGTCGGAGCAGATAAACTGATCTTCCTCCTCGCTCTGATCGACTTGGGCTCTGGCCGGGCCCGCGACTCGCGTCTTCGCTCTTCTGGTCAGCTTCTGTCGTATAAAAAATTCCGGATCTTTTTCTCGATCTATCTCTTTGCTACTGGCTTTCGGCGCTTCAACTTGGCACACTCGAGCGTCCGTTATACTATTCTCATTCTCATGCTCTATTTTGTTTATACAAGCAACGCAAATATCGAGTCAATGTTTACGATTGTGTACGCGCGTGTTTGCGCGCAAGTCTATGGATCAAACTCATGCGCAGAAAGGTTTGTATTACAAAGTTTATAAATTGGTCACCCGATTACTCACCCATTTTTTCGCGCAACTTTTGCATGTACTCGTAGAACGAAATTCGCGAAGGATATTTGGTCGATCGGCTATGTCTCCGTGGAAATCGGTAGGACACATCTTCGTGATCGGAATCGGTATTTCTGCTGGCTACCGTCGAGTTTCTCCAGTAGAACCTGGAATAGTCTCGTTCGTTGGAGCCGTGCGCGATCGCGAGTCGAGCCGATTGCCGATAGTCGATTTTCCAGCTGTTGCTCGAGGAGACGGCCTCGCCCGGGCGACTTTTTCTTTTCCGAGAACAGCCGTAATCATCCGAACGAATGCCGTGGCTTGAATTGTCTGGCCGAACAGTGACGTCCGGGTCTCTAAATCTCTCCGTCTCCGCCACGGTCTGCAGCGGCGAGATTGGACTGTGATCGCTGAGGTAGTCGCTGTCCGTGTCATCGTCAACTTTACCTTTTTTTGAGCGTATTAATAGCGGATCGAGCTTACTTCCAATCGTGAGTTTCGACTGCGGCTCGTTTCCGTGTTTTGCTGCATAACTCGATGCCTTTTCTAGCCGGGCCATGTTTGCCCCTTTCTTCTTTGGCCAAAAGTTCTAAAAGTACATTTGTTAGAGGACAATATTACTAGAATTGCTTTTTTTTGTCATATCAATGAAGAATCTGCATAAAATTATTTTTACTTGTACGCATACATCATTAATTTGATAACCCTCGTGTCTTTCTTCCATTAGTTGATTTTTTTTCTTTCTCCTATCAGATTTACCGAGTCTATATGGGCTAGTATCTAAAAAGTTGCAAACAACTATGTGATTATGTGTGTTAAAGCAATAATGTACAGGTATTAAATCTAGATCACGGAGTAAGTCGTCACTTCTGCGTATAGTATATTTTTTTTAAATTATTTTTTCATAATTTTTTTTTATACTTTGCCGGCTAGGTGCTACCGCACCTCTTGATATGTCGATGGGCTTTGTTTACGCGTTTAAATTTTCACGATAAACAGTATGGTCTGTCGCGAGAATCACCTGCGCTTAGGAATTTTACGAAAATGTCGAGAAATTCAGTCGATAACTCACCTATTATTAGGTACTCGTTCTGATGCTGATAAAGCGTCCGATCAACTATGTTATTGTTTATTCATGATCAACGTAAAAAACAAAGAATATGCTACAGCTTGTGTATGCTAGAATAATTACGATATGGAATATTGGGACGCTAGTACAGTACGTAATGATACTAACATTTATTGCTCTATAGTCAATAGGGCCAATTTGAGAGAGGGAAGCAATGTGTCGTTTACATAATAAACGAGTACATCGATGTGCTGGACTAATGGTATTCGAAATGCCTGAGAGATTTAAGTATTTCCCAAAATTCCATGATCACGGCATAATTTTGATTCAGGCGTCAGATGCGCGCGACCGATCAAATTTTTACTTTTCCCATTTAATTGTTGATGTAAACTTTTTCAAAGTTCAAAAAATTAGTTTCGCTCGATATTTTTTTCTTCAAATTACAATGAAAAATAGAACAATGGGATATTTTTGAGTGAAAATTCGATGCGCGCATCGGGCTATACAAAGTTGGATCGTTCGAAAAATGCGAGCGAAGAGCAGAACAGCCGTGTGTTGCTGAATGTACGGCGGTCTACGTAACGAAAACATTCGTCCACATTGACGCCACATGCTTTTGGTATGTATCGTACGCAATGACTGCGATGCGAGAATGTGTTGTCGTGTGCCGTCGCGCCAAGCCGAGCGCCGTGTTGTCGTCGTTGCGCGCCATTTTCGTTTCCACGAATGCGCGCATCGCGAATCTCCGACCCTCGCAGTTATATTATCGCCAAAATTGAGACACGGCGTCGGATCTCTTCCAGTACTGCCAAATAACCAGTGTGTCTGTGCGCCTGCTCGGCCACTTTGTATATGTACATCGTTGAATAGTGCTCTGCTTGTGTGTCTGTGTGTTTCGCATCCTAACGTTTATACATTTTCTAACCTGCGCATATAAACATATATAAGCCGTAGTACGCACGAGAGCTGCCGTACTATCTGTCTCAATCACGCGACGCGGCGTAATAAACACAACACACACCCGCGCAGCACCACAAGCGTTCATTCGTATTTACGTGTAATTTACGTCTGTTTTTTCTCTTGTCCAACGAAAACAAAAACAATTCCCCGGCAAACATGTTTGAGGCTCACAGTATCAATGCAGAACACAAGGATCTTATACACGATATTGCCTATGATTTTTACGGCCAGCGCATGGCCACATGTTCCAGCGATCAGTTCGTCAAGGTAAGCGGCGCATCGAATTTGCATCTGTGAACATTTCACTTTATCCCTATCTAACTGTCATTTCAAGGTGTGGGACGAAGATGAGCATGAAAATTGGCACTTGACCGCATCGTGGAAAGCGCACAGTGGTTCTGTGTGGAAAGTTACTTGGGCTCATCCCGAGTTCGGACAAGTACTGGCTACTTGCTCTTTTGATCGCACGGCTGCAGTGTGGGAAGAAATAGGTATATTCGATCGAATAATCTTCCGTTAGTCATTACCAACAGGTATATTAACAATTGTATTTGTTAGTTGGAGAAGGTTCAGGTCCAGGTGAACGAGGCATGAGACACTGGATAAGGAGAACTAATTTAGTTGACTCAAGAACTTCTGTGACCGATGTTAAATTTGCTCCAAAGACGCTGGGACTCTTATTAGCAACTTGCAGTTCAGATGGTGTGATAAGGATATATGAGGCACCAGATGCCATGAATTTGAGCCAATGGACTTTACAACATGATATTACATGCAAATTGCCATGTAGTTGTTTAGCATGGAATCCATCACTTTCAAGGTAATTTTCATTTATTATTCATTACTCCCTATGATATGTAAAGTAATAATATAAATTTATTAATTCTAAAGGCTTCATCCTCCAATGATAGCAGTTGGTAGTGACGATGCAAGTCCTTCTAATGGTGGAAAAGTGTTTATTTACGAGTACAGTGAAAACGCCAGACGTTGGACTAAGACTGATACGATAGCTAGCATTAACGAAGCTGTACATGACATTGCATTTGCACCAAATCTTGGTAGAAGTTACCATACACTTGCTGTAGCAACCAAGGATGTACGAATAATTTCGGTCAAACCATTACCGTTAGTATTAAATTTTTGTACGTTTAATTAAAAGATTTTGTTCTTAAATCATTTTATCTCTCATGTTTAATGTTTGTAGAGATTCTGCAGCAAATGGACAGGCAAGATTTGAGATTTCTACATTAGCACAATTTGATGACCATTATTGTACAGTATGGAGAGTTTGCTGGAACATAATGGGAACAATCTTAGCAAGTTCTGGTGATGATGGCTGTGTACGATTATGGAAAGATAACTATATAAATAATTGGAAATGTGTAGCTGTGCTCAAAGGTGATGGAACTTCTGCACAAAGTAGCGATAATGCGACGTCAGCAACTCAAAATTCAAATCATACCGCTGTTCAGCCAGCACTGTCAACCACAAGGTACTACAAATTGGGTTCCATCAGTCATCCAAATCAAGTGCCTTGGCACTAGTTGAAGTAGTTTCTTACCTTCTCAGAGTATTTAATAGTATAATTTTGTAAAATGTTTTTGCAATCATTGTACAGCTATAGTTTGCTGAATTTGTACATAATTACCTAAAATAACTTTTATATATTAAATACTTTGGGTTATACAGTGTATACAATTAGCTTGTAGTTGTGTTAATGTTTAAAATAACTTATATTTGCAACACTTATTTTTTCTTTACTTTCTACATCAGACTAGACAAGCTTTGTTAATTTATAGATCGTTATTCTTTATATCAATATGCAATGATTTACCTTATTGTAAATCAATTGATTATTTACTTCAGTTTTTTTATTAATTTTTACATTACAATCATAAGGTGTTTAAATAACTAAACGATATTTTTTAAATGTAACTTATTTTTTGTGAAGAAATAAATGTTATTGTAGTGTGGTAGAGCACCTGTTTTATTCTCACCTTCGTTTTGTAATGTTACAATGCACTCTTCTGTTTGTTGGTAATCTTATGCTGGGTTTCACGATGGATACTTTTCTTTATACTTTCAGATATCAGAGAATTGTCCCCACCATAAGCATGATGGCGGAAATAGACAAAGTAATACAAGCCCCTTTAAGTATGAATTCTAAAAAATATCAAACATCTAGCATAAGAGGTCGTTCTAACAAGTGGGTAATGCCAGGAATACCGAGTGAAGCTTACTTCGAGCCTCCGCCTCCAAATATAGCAAAATCAAAAAATAAAAAGTAAATTCTTGAGATCAATTTGAAAAATTTCTCGAATGGCTTGAAAACTCAATTATATAATTATTCGAATTATTTTTTGGCTCGTACTCGATTGTTATTTTGTGGTGTTTATACTTTATTATTATTCGTGTCATAATCGTACGTGTTTTCTCGCTTCTGCGAGATATTATACTTGAAATGTCATCGCGATTACTAATGAGCAAATACGAATACATATTATATACCAGTATTTCTGTATGTTTAGTTTTAAGTGGCATTAGGTTGAAGTTCCTAATTTCATAGTTATATTTAAAAGCATTAATAGTTGTTGCGACGTGCCTTTGTGAAGTCTGTATGTGTATACTATATTATTATACATGTATACATGCATATTATGTGTTCGGTATTTTATAAGATTAAAGACTGATAGCTAATGCGAATTGTAACTATAACTGCACGGAAAAAAGATGCTTGTCGACTATGATCTAATATTTTTCACGTTTTACTCTCAGAATAATTTACTTCGATATTCCTCGAAATAATACATGTTGAGAGATAGATCAGTTGTGAGTTTAACATACTGCAAAACATCAGACTGAATTAATTTCAATAAATTATAACAATTAAGCACTTGTGAGTTGTTTTTTGTGTTATTTAACCTTACGTAACAGATCGTTTATTTATTTTATAGTTAAAAACGAGGTTAGACGCCGATATGGAAGAACCGAAACGAATAAGTTGCTTGGACGTTTTACAACGAAATCTGCGGGCTAATGAAAGGGTAAACGATTGATGTTTGTATGTACGAGCAAATCAATTGCAATGATCATCCATTTGATTTAGTTTGTTTTCACTACTCGATGGATATACATAGGCCAATATAGTGAATCAAATCGGACCGAATTGCGAAACGTATGTCAAAAACTATTATTTGATACTAATCGAAACAAAAATCTTAAACTTATGCGCTGATTGCGATTCGTAGAAAATCAAAGCAAATATAAAAATGGTGAACGAAGAGTTTTTTGGAAAAACTGTAATATCTGGCCTATTGCTGTTTTACCCAACAGTGTTTTTACATATGATAGAGGTATCATAAGCTACTTTTGTTCATTTGTGCAAATAAAAAATTAACGTTTCCTTTATAAGGGATATGAAGAAGCTATTCAAAGGCATCTCACAGCTTTGTTTTCTGGAGCCGCGGATAAAATGATCGGACGTATCATTTCAATGCCTCCTTTCCACAATGCCAATAAGGTACTAGTTATGTTTTTTTTTCTTTTTTTCATAATCATTCAAAGTAGCAACTTTTTTTAAATTGGTATTCGGCGGTGGTATTGGATCCACCGGTGCTTTTGGATGAAATCGAAAGCCACAACTTGCACGAAATCATGAAACAAATCAAGAATCTTCTCTTCAAAACATATTCATTGGGCGAATACTTGACTGACAATGGAGATGGACGGGTGAACTCAGATTCAGGACTTATCTAAATTCGAGTTTATTATTTGTTCATGTGATTTTCAGCCAGAGCTCACGAACGCTGCTTTAATGACTCTTAGTCGGGACGTGCCCAATTATTTACCTGAAATTACGGCGATCGACTTTTTGTTTGGCGTAGAATCCAAGGTTCTTCCAGATCTACGTACAAATATAGCTGAGTACCGTGATATACCAGTTCTTCAACTTTACAATGGTAGTATTAATCAATTTATTTTCTATATTTTATTGAATAAAAACGATCATTTATTTTTTTGGAATATTTACAATATATATATCAAAACAACAGTTTTTTTATCAATTTTATATGTATAGTATATATATGTAAAGGTACATATATATACGTACGCAGTCGATGCATCCAAGGGGGCTTCAAGATAATTTTGGGAGTTTATTCATTACTTTGGTACTTATTACTCACACGAAAGACTCGCATTCATAAAATTTGAAATGTTTCAGTGAAGACATTTAATATAAGCAAAAGATTGTTTTTTTGTTCATTATTATATTTACACATACACTCAAACAATTTGTAGAATGAGACGCTCTTGGTCGTAATTTTGTTGTTGTATTTTTCAATTACATGTAGGAAAATCATTCGAGCACGCATCGACACTTTATACAGCTTTTGGTAATAATAACACACTTTTCATTGGAAATAACTTCTGCTCACTTTACAAACTTTGATTGTAGCAATTGCTCTCTAGATTTAATTTATAATTACATTTAATAACTCTATCGTAGATCAATTAAATCTTTCATTTTTACATTTTCTCGAAAGCTCGAGCTTGTATTTCTCTTAAATTCCTTGCGCACCAAATTGGTACATCTAAATATATTTTACCTTTACCTAATAAACTTCATGTTTAACTAGCATCTTTATTTATTTACACGTGGGGCTCTTACAGAAATTTCACTAGTTTAAAGGAGCTCATTTAATCGATTTAAAAAATTTTTTTATTTCTTTCCCCGAATCATTGAGGATAAATTATAAAAATGAAAACGTTCAAAATTTTAATGATAGCGCAGCTTTACACACAAATGTCAATTAGCGCAGTTGATGATTGAAAATTATGACAATTTATTATGTTAGAATAGTCAGTCGTTGCCGTTGGTATAAATGTTCCTTAACTTTGCCTCAGCACGATAAACTATACATTCATAATTTCAATGAAATTATTTAATTTAAGATCGAACCTGGCCACCACCGGATATCATGATACCCAATCGACCAGATGAAGATCTCAAACAAGATCAAATGAAGAAATGAATCGATCACTGTCAAGGAAGAACATGTATCGTGGTTTGAAAAATGAAAGTTCGCGACCAGTCTTTAATGAAGTATTTACAAGTAAAGTACCTTTAAAATTACAAGAAGAATTCATAATAAATTGGCAGTTTTTTTCACTTTACTTCTAGTACAATATTAGTGCCATTTTATAAGCCATTCACGAAAATTGTATTCTCTTTCGTTCTGTTCGCTCGATGACAGTATACACTCGGCACAATTCGCTATCCTAGTGAATCTTTATATCTGCGCGTGTTTATGCGCAGCGACGCCATGCAATGTAGGCGCACTATACGCCCTGTTAACAACCGCAGTAAAAGCTGATTTAAAAATGTACCATTGGCATAACTCTCGAGGGGATTATTCGACCGTTTATATATTTGCAGTGTTATACTGGCTTACGGGGCACTCGAGTCTTGGAAAAAAAGAAAAGCACGTCACGTCTTTAAAACAGCTTTTATGGTTGGTACCTATACTGGATTCCATCAGTCGGGAGTTGTAGAATCAGAAATGCGATAGATTCAACAAAAATATTGAAATTTAGAAGCGTTATTGGAAATCTGTAACAATCGATAAACTCGTCATAGATAATGTCATAATAATAATTAAACTCTCTATTAATGTAACGAAGATATTCATCTTTTTCAATTTTATACATATATCTATGTGTCATTGAAGCGGCGACGTACAAGACACAGGCTCAAATCATTAATAAAATAGAAAAAAATGTCGCGCATTTGTTTAGCGACACACAATACACACAATAGTAGGTTTATTTGTCGTTTTTGCCTCATTTCCCCATTACATCTTTTCATTCCGACAGACAGGCAAAAATTAACGTGCGCACTCGCAATATTTACGTTGACTTTCGTTCTCCTGCAGTGTAGCCATTTTTTTTATTTCCTCTCTGTATATTTATCAACGAGCGATACGTGCCGAGCGTAGCTCTATAAATATGTGAATTCAAGACAAATGTGTGTGTGTGTGTTTTCCTCTAGCTGTGTATGAAAGCGGGCGCAGGAGCTGCACAGCGCGCTCGCATGCGCGTACCTATGTGCGGTCAATGTTTCTTTCAGCCGGCGAAGCTGCCGTTGGCCTTTTTTTTCATTTATAAATTCGACCGGATCGACGTGCGTGCAACGATCGGGAGGGGTATAGGAATAGGAAAAAAAAAAATAAATAAATAAAACTATACTGCTAGCTCGTCGCGTTTGCCGCACGCTGGTTTAATTCATGCACGGATGGTTTATTCCTCGCTGCGCCGTCCATATACAGGCCAGGCTTTCGTTTTGCTTGTGCACGACTAATTTTTCATCCGAAATGAAGAAGGATACTTTTATTTCGTTCGAACGTCCGAGTGAGCAAACGAACATTTTCTTGCGGGGGCGGCCAGCCCGCGCCATGCGTACAGAGATAAAGACATGTAAGCCAAATGGAACGTGATGAATTACCCGGGCCGAGAGCGCGTTAGCTCGTGCCCCGCACGCAGTAAACGCAGACACACGCTGCTGTCGCGCTGCATACGCGCGCCGCATGAATATATTATTATTACGTAACGAAGCTCGTTTGAATTTTTTTGGCCATGGCGCGTGCGAATCGGGCTTGTCCTCCTTATGAATCGAGCGGCTTCGTTGTTCGACCGAGCGATCTTATCGGCAAGGAAATTTTTATATTAAATATTTACAGTAATTTTAACAAGTCGGCGTTGCGCTATTGGTTGGTCGTGCACGCGTATCCGACCTAAAAGGTTTACTGCTGTGCTTTGTGTGTACTTTATCTGTGCAGAAGGAAAAAAGGAAAACCGATGACGGCTGCACGTAACATATAAAATGCAAATTAGCTGCTTCCCTTTCTATAAATGCATATCTAGAGCAAACATTCGCCTCTATATCTATCTATATAATAAATATAAATATATATTTTTTTCCGAGCGAGCGAAAAATAAAAAGGAAAAATAAAAAAAAGGCAATCGGATCAAGTACGAACGAACGAGCAAATATACACGTAAACTCGGATTCTATGAAAATCGGCCAAACAAATATTCAAACTGAGCTCGCGCGACCGCGTAACCCCGAAATTCATCGAACGAAAAACTTTTCTCTCTTTACCTCGCTCTCTTCCCCTTTCGTTCTCTCTCTCTCTCTCTCTCTCTCTCTCTCTCTCTCTCTCTCTCTCTACCTCTCTTTCTCGCTCTCACTCTTTCAGAGTTCAAAACACTTTTCTACGTTTTTCCGACAAATCGACTCTTCTCAGCGAAAGAGAGCGAGAGAGGGAAAAAGAGCCAATGATTTACTCTCACGTACGTAGAGCCGATGTATAAGGAGTAGCAAATGTTCTTTTCGCATCAGACGCGCGCACACACCATCTATCCATCTGCCTTTTCCTAGCTCCTTTTTCCCCTTTCAGTCCAGTGAGATCTACACACTCTCCATATCTATGTACCTTCTATTTTATATTTACACGCACACACGTACATGTATCTTTCCTTACGTATATATGTACAGATACGGACATGGACAAAAGAGACAAATACTTATACATGTACACATATATAGATATATTTTCTCCTCTTTTTTTCTCTCTCTCTCTCTCTTTCTCTTTCAGTTGAGTGTCAACCGAAAATTTACAGCTATACACATTTTTCATCTTATACTCGTATCGACACCTTCTCGCGCCCAGCAATATGGTATAAAATATGCTCACACTTTTTCATACCTCCCCGTGTATATATATTTACAATCTATATGCGACTATGAGTATTTATAAAGTTGTGCAGTATGCGCACACTTGTCGGCCGGAGCTTGGGTTACGAAAACTGTTTTGTCTCCTTGTCGCTGGCGTTTTAGTTTTTATTTATTTCACGGCATTTTTGCGAGTATCTATATTCTTTTGGATTATTCATTTTACTACGAGTAGATTTATATCGTCTAAAAATCTGTACTCTCTGATCCTCAGGGCTTCACTTGTATATGTATACGTATGAATATACATTCGAAGTCAAAGATAGGGAATAAGAAAGCACACGATAGAGGGAGAAAAAGAAAGAGAGAAAGAAAGCAATGGAGAAAGGCAAAAGGGTATCTGGGAGAATCGGTGCTTGGCTGCAAGTAGATAACAATCGCCGTACTATCTTTTCTCGTACCACATTGGCGCGCGTACATACAGACAGAGCCGCAGTTATGGATGATTTTTCGCTTCGATAGAGCAAAAAGAAAAACTTTTGTTTCCTACATCGGCAGCAAGGCAGCAACGCACATAGAGCAAGAACAGCGCAGAATAGAAAGGAGAGCCGAGCCAGTCACTTGGCCGAACGATAAAATATTTATTTTCTTCCCGCGCGCGTATAAGTAGAGATGGAATCAAAGTAAAGTTGTATTATATGACAAAACATAGGATAGCACGCAATTGCACGTATAAACAGTCAGGTGGAGCGAGTGTAAATATTTTATCGCGATGCCATTCGCACGCGTGTTGTCTTTTGAATTAATGAAAGTGTCGGGGGCTAAACTGCAACTGAATTTCTGCATGCGGAGCAGCGCCGTTCTGTTTGTTTAATATTTATGCTTCTCGCTGGCTCTATGAGGTCATGTTGCTGCACGCGCGCGCCTGCCAGAGAAAGTAAGCTGCGGGGCGCGATCTTCATTTTATTCCAAGCATCGACCGAGTGGTAGCGAGCAAGATTAAAAAATGTATACGACGAAATTCCTTCGCTGCACTGCTCCTGCTGCTGCTGCAGGCGGCGATAATACGCGATGTGCCGAGGCTAATGTCGAAGATGCAGACGCGCGCGCGGGCACGTATATGCGATGTACGCTCGCGCGAGCGGAATAAGGAAAGCCGAAAGGAGCTGTCAAGCGAAATAGTGCGCACGCTGAGGATTTCCCCGTTCTCTTCTCTTCTCTCTCTCTCTCTCTCTCGTCTTCTTTTTTCTCTCCATCATTGCGCGTCACAAAATTTTTATGCTTCCTGCGTAATCGATTCCGCTCATGTGCATTCTTTACGTCTTCCAGCTTATGACCGAAAGAAATGAAAAAAAAAAAAAAAAAAAAAAAAATTATCGCTACTCTGCCACTAAAAAAGTTTCGTCGGATAGTAGTAGCAATATACACACCAACGCACGGCGCGTCTCGCACGCGCATACGCGCCAACTTTTCTGCGTGCAGCTCTGGAGTGAAAGGCATTTTTCCGAGTTAAATAAACGTCATCGTTTCTCGGTATACCAGCGGGCAGCTGCCGTTGCAGGAGGAATTTTTTTCACCTCCGTGTGCAGCAGCCTGAAAGACAGAAAAACGAAGTAAGGAGAGAAAAAAAGAAGGACAAAACAAAGCAAACGAGAAATAAAAAAGTGTTATCTTCTACGCATATAAGATGAAAAAGTTTTTTTCAAGTGCAAGTCTCTTCGCCCGCTTGAAAAATAATTTTCGCAATGTACGGAGAGAAAAGTTTGCGCTAAAGGTACAAAATGCAAAAGTTGTATATGTACTATATGCACATTTTAAGCTACTTAGGGAAACGTAGAAAGGAAAACTTTTGGAAAAATGTGTGTCTATGTAGGTGTACGTGTCTTGGTCGGGGGGTGACGAGAGTCAAGCTCATATAAATAAAACTTGGCTACACTGCAGACTGACGAACGATCTTTGTCTCCTTGTTGTTTCCCGAAAGTTTAGTATGCGTCGCAAAATCCTCTTGGCCTGTCTCTTTCCAATTAAAAACGCCCAACACATCCAAAAGCCTTGTACGGAATGGATAGTAGCATATTGTTTCCTTCTAATCAAACAAATTTACGCTACACGAACCAAATTTGAATACGTAACCGTCCTCGTTTTCAACTTTCGCAATTTGGTTCTTACTTTTTGCCAACGTTGAAAAAGTTTCACAGATCGAGAGAGTTAAGAAGCAAGGGGAAAACATAATTAGTTGAAAAAATTCACTCGGATGTTCTTGAGCCGTTGTTGTCAAAAGTATAACGTGACGAATCATCGAGCTCCGTGTTCATGAGTCAGCTCATCAGCGTGATTGGTTCCGTCGCATTTTCAGCTTTATGTATATAATAAATATTTCGTTCAAACGATATTTACACGACATTTTTCGCACTGATTTAAAACGCAAATACACATTTACTCACAGTTAGTCAGACGCACACATACACGCACTGAACGGAGTACTTGGTTTATTTGATATCGCTCGAGCGATTTGCACAGCACGTTTAGCACTCACTAGTGGCGTACTCGGCGTTACGTCAGACCGAGCTCTCCCGCTTGGTTATGAGAATCGGCGAAGAGTCCATTATGACCGGTGGCAAGTTGTGAGGAATGTTGGTGACGTAACAGGCGGGGGGCGGGGGCGGCGGCGCCGGCAACGGAGGATCACAGAGAACACCCGGCGCCGTCGACCTCAGCAAAGAGACGCTGCCCGTCCGGACGTTGTTGCAGTTGCCGCTCGTGTACATGACCGCCGGTGGGTGCGCCATACTCAAGGCCACCGATGACGACTGCATCGCAGGTACGTGATGATGATAATGCTGACGCGGTAACGTGCACATCCCGCTGCTCTCGTACATTTCACTGGCCATCGTTTGCTGCTGCTGCTGCTGCTGCTGCTGCTGCTGCGAGTATTGCTGCAAAATTAATATATAACCCGTCGTTAACAAAATCAATTCAGATTTGTTGTTTTATTCATTTTTTTCTCTCTTTTAATTTGGTTCCGTGTTCAAGTGCGTCGTCCGTGTCGGTTAAACTTTGGGAAAAAATTAAATTACTAGAGGCTGGAGCTTTCATGGGATCGCTTTTATTTTCAAGCTGTTTTCGTAACTTCAATAATATTTCTCTTTTATCCAAATTTCACGTAAATTAATTTATGCATTCAGCCCGGGCGCAGGGAAATTATTTTTTGATATTTCGCGATCAGGTTGACTTTGGCTTTTCAATAAATTTTCTCGCGTCAATATAGAATCGAACGTGACTTTGAGTCAAAAGAACGAATGTTCGTGTTAGGACAGAAAAATCGTGCGTGGCAAAGATTATTATTTAGCGAAGAAAGTCCAAATGATACTTTACAAGACTCAGGTGAGTGTAAGTATGTATATTGTATACGCGACAGCTTGTGTAGGAGCCATCCACGCACGAGCGGCTGCTGCCACACACGAGCTCTAAAAAAGTTTCGACAGCGTATCTCTCTTTGCGGGCGTTCTCTGTGCACAGGGTGCCTTTTAGTCGGCGGCGCACATAAAAGAAAAAGCCTGCAGAGCTGGGCATTTGAATTTCAAATTTTGCATCCTTTCATCTTGCGCGGATCGTGGCTACGGTTAAAACTTTAAACGAGCGTGAAAAGGCTAGCCGGTCTGTCGTGTAGCACAGGCATCGGCTGGCAGATCGAGCGAGTAACAAATGAGACTTACGTTCTTATGATTGAACTTGATGCTCGTAGGCATCTCTCGAAGCGGCATGGAGCCGCGCGCCATCGTGCAGTATCCCACGTAGTTGGCCCTCGACCTCGTCGCCGCGAGGGCGGCTGATCTCTCGAGCAGACTCCGCGAAGGAGACGTCTCGATCGTCGACACCAATCGCCTCTTCCTCAGATACTCGGACAAGTCTTCGTCTGCTGATGATCGTAGAAAAGCAATATTAATACACGAGGCCAATAATATGACGCATACGAGTGTGACTCGCGGCTGAGAGCCATAGGCTTCGTTTCGAGTCAAACTTTGAACTGCGATACAGCCGCGGACGCAGCGCGCTAACTTGGAAATCGTGTCAATAATTCATGTCTGAACTCGCGCATGGGGTCTATAGGGCTCCGCGTTCAACGTATTTCGCACATTATATTATAAAGACTGCGAAGGAGCTCATATCTGTGAGCCTTGAAAAATACTTTCTCAAAGTGCGCAGCAGACATTCTCAATGGTCTTTATCACGCGTAATTTATGACTCCATAAATTGAAATTCACGATACGCTTTTGCCCTTTTCTTTTTTAATTCGTCTTCTTTTGCCTCGCGTATAAGCTCGCAACATCTCCGCTAAGCAGCTATAAAACAGCAGCAAGCGAGGCACAGCGCGGACTTTGGTGCTTTATATAAGCTTGCATGAAATATTCAGCGCATCCGCTCGTTATGATAATTTTCAAGCGAAATAAACTTGCCGTTTATCTGTTGGGGTATGATGTCGGGGTTCTTCTCGTCGGCCTCGCCGCAGTCGGCACCGCCGACGCTGTCCAATTTGCCGAACGGGCTGGCCTCGAGGCTCTTCTCGTCGCTCATGAGGCTGGGACAGTCGCGGAACCTGAGCTCGCGCTGTATGCCCGGCATCGCCTGGCTGTTCTTGCAGGCCTGGAGCTTGCCGTTGCCGCCGGGCCCGGCGCCGCCGATCACGATGCCGGCCTCGTCGCTGCAGATGCCGCCGCCCCCGCCGCTGATGCCCACGATGCCGCCCGTGCCCGTGCACTGGTGCTGCTGCTGCGACTTGGTCTGGTGATGCTCGTCCACTTGGCTGTGCTGGATCCGCAGGACTATCATGACGATCACGGCGACTATGACGAGCGCCACGACTACTCCGATCATGACGCTCAGCATGGGCGTCAATCGCAGCCGCGACCTCGGTTGCTCTGCAAACAAATTCAACGACGATAGGCTTCAGTCGTTTAAAACTTTGTCAACGCAATCACTTATTTACGAGCTTTACAAAAGTTTCCGTAAACTCGCCGAGCGAGAGAGAAATCTTCGCAAAGAGGATTAGCCGTGGAAAAAGTTTATTATTTTGCAAACAAAATCGATAACATATATAAATGTTGCACGAGTCATTTGACTATATTATCGCGTCGAGTATCTTGTAAATTGATGCGTTCAACTGTTAACTATTATGTATATATGAATTTATGGTAGATCTTTCCCTCGGCACATACGAAGTAAAAAAGTTATTCAAATTCTCCTCTCGATGTCAGAAGCAGCGCAGTAGCATCGGCAGCGGCAAAATGTTTAGTTTGCTTTCTTATACGTATAGAGAGAGAAAGTGGAGCCGGAGCCGCGCGGAGCACAGACAAGCTAAAAGCAAATAAACCCACGTCTCTCGGTTCGCTCGTTTGGTCTTGTACGCGTATATATTATAATATAATATTCCTTTCCCATGGAAAGCTCGGCTGTATGTCGGCGCAAAGCGAAGCTGCGCAGGCAGCAGCCTCGCATTCCCCTGTATAATTCATTGCTCTCGCATTATTGTGCGAGTATGCAAGCTGCGAGCGAGTCGAAGGGATCAGAAAGGAAACGGGAGACACGATGTTTGCTTCTAATAGAGACGCGCCGCCCCGAGGTGATTTACTTGGGCGTTAATGATTCGCGCACGCATATACTCTTGTGCGAGCAACCTTATTTTTCCTCTTTCCTCGGCTCCCTCTAGCAAAAATAAAGGCAAAACAAGCTCGATTCTTATTCCATCGCTGTTTTCAGAGTAAATATTTGCTCTATATAGAGAATTTGTCGCGAAAAGAAAATACAATTATAGCGAACAATGGGGACTTGTTGCTTCAGCTACGTCGACGCTGCGCTGCTGCATTATGTTTCCGAGAGCCGGGCTGCGGACACGGGCGCAGGCACGTAATCAATGTACAGGATGCTATAGGATGAAAGCAAACTCACCTTCCGAGGTCAGCTGCTTCTCCGGCGGACTGAGCGTCCCGGCCTGGATGACCATCGGCTCGCTCCTGCCCTTGTCGTTGTAGGCGTAAACAAAGACCTGATACAGCGAGCCCGCCTCGAGATTGTTCACGTTGAAGTGCGGCTGGGACTCGCTCATGTTTGCCTTCACTTCTTGGCTGCTGCTCTCGCGCACTTCCAGCAGAAAAGATTGGCTCAAGCCGCCGTCGAAGCCCGGACTGCAGCGCACCACGAACGAGTGCTTGGACGTGTTCGACGTCGTGCAATTGTGCACCACATCCGGTCGACCTGTGAATCAACGCATTACAATTATTCAGACTCTTTTTTTCTTTCTTGCCAATTGACATCGTTTGCTGTGGCGGTGAGCCATCGTTTATATTCAAAGAAATAAAATATGACGTACAATATTCCTTCGCAAGAACGCCGCAATTAGCTCAGCTGATACATGTATTATATCTATTGTTGAAAATTGGATCGAGTTCAAGCAGAGCCGGTGTTTTTCCAACATTCTTTATTCGAAAGAGTCAACTTTCTCGACACGACGCGTTGGTTGCGGCTCAATGTCCATATCCAACGCAAAGAGCCACACGAACTTTGAATTTAGTAAGTTTGTGCGTGTAAAATTGCGGAGCTACATTAAGGCCGACTGCGACGAATCCTCCCGACAAGTTTCCCACAACAGATTTATCAGCGCTAGGGCGCCTAGGGCTTGACGCATAGATAACCATTCATATTCATCCACTTAGATCGAGATTAATGTCCAGCGAATTACGCGTATACGCCAGGATACAGTATATTCCTAGATATACTTGATATGCACACGTGTATAGGTGTATAAAGGGCAGTTGCGTTCGAGGCCCGAGAGCAACTGCGAAATAGTCTAAATAACGTGCGAGGCCAGATAGTGGATGTATAGGTTGCCTGCAGTATGAATCTATGTGTGTGTGTATGCGGCCTCCGTCCCGACTCTCGGGGGAAATAGGTATAGAATCTCGCCCCGGCGAAATGTTAAACAAAGGCTGATACGTGGATGGATTGAGCGAGCATAGGCGAGAGCGAGGATAATGCCAGAGCAGCAACAGCAGCGCAGTGGCAATCTGCAATCGGCCGGCGCTGTTATTGCCAAGACTAAATTGATATTATAGACGCTATCCATTCGTCTCTCTCTCTCTGCTGACCCAGCCCACAGCCGTGCACCGATGGCTTCTTGAGTCCGAAAGGCGAAAATTAGTGAACCCCGAATGGCTTTACTGCTGTTATTACATAACTGCAGCCTCCGACAGCGAGAGAAAAATAATTGCCGAGTGTGTGGCTGCGGGACTAGTATATACGTAATTTAACGTAGCGAGCTCGGGGCAAACAAAGGAAGGACTAGAATTTCGAGAAAAGAGAGCTCGTGCGAGAGAAAGATAGGGCAAAACGGCGCGAGCTGCGAGTGAGTGCAGTGCAGCAGCCTCGACTGCAGGAACACTCTGTCTCTTTCGCATTGTTGCTACGGATACGTGCGCGCGAGTGTGTGTGTGTGCTACGCGTCTCTCTCTCTCTCCCTCTCGTCCATTAATAATTTTGACAAATTTTCCTCCTGCCTGCCATGCTGGCCGCTCGGATAGACTCGCACGGGCGCCCCTATTATCTTTGGCCTTTTTTAATTTTTCTTTTCTCTTGCTATGTACACGTTACACGCGACTATCCTCATGCTGGTAATTTATTCTTTAATTTTTAACGCGGTGTTAAAAACGCGCTCGAATGGTTAAAGCTATTCTACCCTTTGCGTATGGGTTCACAGCTATATGATGGCTGTTGGAGCTCGTCAACGCAGCGCAACTGGGCGTTTTTAGCGATGACGGGCTTTTTGCAACTTTTCCAGTCATATTACTTTTGGAGCTAGAAGGGAAAACGTCGTCGAAAAGGTGTCGCGCATACATTTAAGGAAAAGAAGAAAAAAAATAGCTACGAAGCAATTCCAATATGGAGCGAGTAGCAGTATCGTAAACAAAAGGGGCTGCGCGCGGCAGCAGCGCGAGTACACACATCACGAGACAAACCTGTCAAACTTCCTTGGCCTCTTTTTGCGCGCAGCCGAAAGTTTTGTACTTTCTCTCGTACTCTTTGAAAAGCTCGCCAAGATAACGAAACTTGTTTAGGAAAACTCAATTTCTCATGCGCGCAAACGTACAAATAGCGCAGAGAGAGAGAGAGAGAGAGAGAGTATACAGCGCCACTTTAAATTGAAAAGTTTGTGCGGCGCATACCTGCTGGAATGATATGATAAGCGCAAGGCGTCTGCTGATGTCCGATGCGATTTCTCGCCCAACAAAGCAGCGTCCCGTAGTCCATCTCGATCATGGGCGTGTAGCTGGCCGTCGATGTGATACCCTGGCTCTTTACGTGCTTCTGCTCGAGATTCACGCTCTCGGCGGAATTGTTGAACGTCCAGTGGAAGTCCACCTCGGGCGGGTTCGCGTCCACTTGGCACGTGACGCTCGCTTTTTCTTGCTTTGCGACTCCGTGATATTTGTTCTGGTTCGGTTTGCAGGTTGGCGCGACTGCAGCACACGTAGCAACCAAAGTGACGCATTAGTTTTTTTACTTATTTATTTTTTATTTATTTTTTTTTTGTATTTTTTGCCTCAGCGTTCGGTGCATATCGCGTCTTTTTCTTTTGCAATAATTATGGAATGCCTCAACGAAATTGTCTACGAGTAATTCGTTCCTTACGTGTTACGCCTACCGGACGCATGCGAATCTGTTTTTGAGCGCGAACCACTATTCTTTGCCTTCGCGAGTTTTTTCTGAACAAAGCTAAAGCTTTCAAAGCCCCTATCCAACTGGAGTGCATATTTGTGTATAGGAATACGCACAATCGATTCGAGCTCCGCCTAGAAATGAAAAAAATTCCTCCTGTCGCATTTGCATTTTTGCTCGCCAAAAATTGATTCTAAATAAAGGCACAGGCTTGGCAAAAAACCTGCACTTTTATCTACGATTTGAAAAAAAACGCGAGTAGAATAGGAGATTAAAGAGCAGTTATGTGTACAGTAGTCTTCGCGCATGAAAAGTCTTTCTTTGTTTCGCTCATTTAATTAAAGATCGGGTGTTAAATTCATGGATGTTTATACTCACACATGACGTTCAGATAAAAGGGCCGACTCTCGCCGTCACCCTCGGTATTGTGACCGACACAGGTATAGTTGCCGGCGTGTCGTCTGTTGACTCCCTGCAGCACTAAGCTCTGATTGCTTATTATTACGCCTTGCGTTATGTTGTGGCTCAGACTTTTGCCCTGGAAAAAAGAGAAAAAGCCGTGCCAAATATGAACGTCTTGAGCACATATAGAGCTCTGCCGCTGCTGCTGCTGCTCTACCGTACGTATAAGCCGTCGCTCGTGGATTGAAAGGATCCGAGGTTCCCGTCAGGGATTAAAGCTTGATTATAACGCGCTAGAAGGTGGCGAGGCGTGGACAGCCCGAGCAGTGGAACTTTTTATATTTATATGCACTGCGTAAAAGTCATTTGTGCCCGGCCACGCGTGACACTTTCTTTTTTGCACATGTCGCCTCGTTATTGCTGTTATACGAAGCACGCCGCACGCGTTGCATACAGAGATTAAAAGTTTTTTTCGTTCGTGGTTGATTAAATGCATAAATTGCGTAACTATATTTTACGATGAATATTATGGATTCTTTTTCAGCATTTTTCTCGGTGACGCGCACCAACAAGTTTTATTAATTTATGTTTTTTCCAGTTGAAAAGTTTAACAAATATTTTAAATTCTAATAACTCGCGCTAATTGCTTGTAATTTCATGGAAAGTAAAAGTTAGCTCGGCATATGAAAAAATTCGCAACGAATTATCCCGATTGCCAAGAGGTGGCAAAAACTAATCAAGCAAAAGTAATCGTTTTTATTTGCTCGTCGCGCCGGCAGAGAGAAGTGTAAAATTGTTCGGGCAAAAAATGAAATCTGAAAATCGCCATAAATCCTCGGATAACCTTATCGTCATTTAATCACTGGAGCGATTGACGACCAAAAGAATATTTCCGCGTGCCGAAATGAAAAGAGAAAGAGATGAAGCAAGGCAAGAGAGGGAGGAAAAAAACACGTTCGTTAATTATCCAAAGGTGAAATTTCTCACGATTAGTCTGGGCCAAAGACATAGGTAGAGCGTGAGTTTTTGCTAAAATCACGTTCGTTCCTATCGCAATTACAGTAATTAACGTACACGTGGGTGTATATATATTATATGCGCGGCGGATATAGATATAGGGCAAAGCTCGAAAGCTTATATGAAAGCCGGCGGTGCGCGTGAATAATTAAAGCTGCAATAAAGGGGCTGATATAGAGGCAGCCGCGGAGCTGCGACGCGCACTAATCCCTCTCTCGGGCGCACTAGAGTCATCGAGTTCAACGATGAGTTTTTCGCTCATCGACTCATTAAAAAACGATAAAAAGGTCGATATAAGTATTATGTGCGATACCTGATGCCTCCACTCGACCTTGTAGACCGGGGGCTCGGCTTGTATCAAGCAATCAAAGTACACGTCGCTTCCCTCTTTGATGGCGTTTGGATCGAGGCTCGTACCAAGTCTTATAGTAGTTTCAGGCACATCTGCAAGCAAAAAGATCGCGCGGGAGCACGTGTGAGACAAGGCGCATCGCCGTAACTTTTTACTCTCTGCCTGCCGAGAGATTACAATAATTTCGATTAAGCTTTTTTTTCTCCCGCAGCGCGTAAGAGTATACAGTGTAAAAAGCAGTATAAATTACGAGCTTACATTGTACTTCCAAAAGCCAGACATCCTCGATGGCTTGGCTGTTCATGATTGGATTTTGCGCTCGGCAAAACAGGCGTTTTCCAGCATCCGACTTACTCGCCGTGAAAGACAAAACGCTGGTCGTCGTGTTGCCGTCGCTCGTTGTCTGTGTAAAGTAAAAACAGAGACATCCATATAGATATAAAGCACACACATTCCGACGGAAAGGAAACAAAAGAGAAATAGGAGAAGGTAGAGAAAGGAAAGAGAGGGAGAGAGAGAAAAAAAGTAATCAAATAAAGGGATTGTGCAACGCTCGTGTGACCTGCTTTTGGCCAAAAATACCGAAGTATAAAAATAAAATCTGAACTCGCGTGCTGCTGGAAAAGAGCTCACAACGTCGAGAGGAATTATTTCAATATTAGCTGTTTATAATTTGCAGCTACACGTCTTTGTGAAAAGTCATAGTTAATCATTGGCTGCAAATTATATTTTATCTCGCGTCTTACATTGATATTTTTAGCCTTGATTACAAAATCGATCCTTATGATACTGCCTCATTTTTTCCTACCAGCTAATCGGGTTTATCTTTTATTGTTAACGTTTCATAGATAATCGATATTTTCATCTTGCTTGGATGGCTCGTTGTTAGTACATAATTTTCCAAACCATCTCACTATCTCCCTCTAATTGTTGAGCAACTTGAGATAAAAACCGCTGCCAATTTATTGGCAAGAAGCTTCCTCCAAATATGGTTTTCACTTATTGTTAAAAAAAAAAATAAATAATAACATTTATTTTCCGGCCTTGTAATTGAGAAAGAGCTAAGATTATTTTCAGACTTAGCCAGAGCCGGATCGTCAGAGAGAGAGGGCTCGGCCAGGGACTTTGTTCAATAAACAACTTGTTATTGCAAACCCAGCCTTTTCCATAACACGAGGCAGCGAGAATTCGGGAGCGACCGAAAAGCGGCGGGATCCAAGAACCGAAATGAGGCGTGATTCGAATACGTGTCCGGCCTCTGCGAGCTTCGTCACCGACCGCTAGGCAGCGCATCGAATCCCACAAGCGAAAGGACCCCACCAGGGTACTTGTATAAGTGGCTTTCCATGTACAGTAATGCACGCGTACAAGTTTCATGTGTAGAAATAATACCTTGCCGTTTGAATGTTTTAACAGCGTTACCGCAAAAAAACATCTATCACTTCAGTATAACTTCCACTGCGATGTATCAATAATTTAGAAAATTTTCAGTAATACTTTTTTCGTTACAATATACCTTTCCCCCCAGTAACAAAGGTGTGCACATCATACAATTCGAAAACGCGATGGTTTTATTCACGTTACCACAATTTCAGCGTTTTTGAAATTTTGAGGTTTTACCGCTCTAATTTTTTCAGCAATTGATGCACACAAACCATTATGAAATATCTTCCTCTCGTTATTAGAAACATTTTAAGATGGCACTGAACGCTATGCATAATTCGCTGCTACTTATTTAATTTAATTTGACGCGTGAATAAGCTGAAGATTTTCAGAGTGCACACCGACCACTTTTGAAAATAACGCTCATATACGCGTTTGAACAGTAGTTCTCATAGTATATGACGTTGGTGTAAAACACAAGCTGCAGATAATAACCTTATCAACCGTTAGGACCTTGCTTATTAAGCAATAGTATATTATGATACGTGTGACTTAAGCAGGCCATTATTGCACGGCACGGTTAGCACCCGAGCAAAGCGAGAATTCCGGAAAATTTATTTTTCATACTGAAAAACGGCTTCAAAGATAAGCCTATTTTTCAGCAATTTCTCCCAAAATTTTCCTGACTCAAGTTATATCGGAAGAAAAGAAATCTATTCGGAAGTATCGTATTAAAATTTCAAGTTGGAATTTCAAGATTGGAAAAAAGAAAACTTTTGTTAAACTATATCGTGAGATATATAATTAGTTAAATGAATGGTTTAAATCTGTTGTTAGAATTGTAATAACAGTTTAAAGTACTCTGCAAGAAAATTATCGCAACCTCGGCTACGCCTCGGATGATAAATTACACGTGCTCTGACATTTTCCAGTTTTTCACTCCCTAGTCGCAAAATATACTATTTTGAAATTTGAAAAAAAATTTTTTTCTCCGCTGATCGAAAACAAATTTTTATGGGCTTCATCCTTGATAAATTCGACAATAAATGCAATTTAATTCAACAAGATTCATCGTGCCGTTTTTTAGATAATGCTCTACACACGTTACACACAAAACTCGTATTCGAACCCATCACATAGCTTCCTCTATGAAGGAAGCAATAAATGTACGAATGAGCGGTTAAAAACAAAGATGTATTGGAAAATTTTCTCGCAGCCGGTAGGGTAACGTATGTTAGTCAGTATAATACAAGCTTTCATCAATAAACATGTTTTTAGAGCAGTGGAATACAAAGTTGAAGAACGCATTACCGTATTCATAAATAATTTATCCGATTTTTTTTCTTTTCTCTTGGTAATTTTTTTCTTCTTCCACATAATAAAGCCATCGGGGTTCTCTCACAGTGTTTGTCATATTATCGGAAAACTCGTTGACATGGCGGATGCGGAGTCGAAAAAAAAGTAACAACGACGCGCACAAGCCCGCACGAGTTGCTGCGGGGGATAGCGAACGACGCGCGCGTATATATAGAGCATTGTCTCGTGTCAAACATTTGTTTTATTTCGGTCCGAGTCCGAGCCCGAGCCGGCGCTCTTTGCTGTGGCTACGAGGCTTTCGGGAGGACTCTCGATATTCAATTTGCCACACGAAAAATAAATGTTTGTACTTTTTTTTGTCGCGCTCGTATGTAAAGCGCGCGACGCTGTTACGCGACAACCGCGGTGGCGGCGTGAATTTATTTATCATGTTTTTACAAGCCAGTGGATTTGGTTGAGCTGCGCGTGGCGGATAACATTGTGCGGGGACGAAGCGGCCGCTGATCAGATTTTCCGAGCTTCGGTAGGTACATGTAGCTGGGATTCACACTGGAAGTGCGTGGCGTTTAAAAACTTACCGTGTCCTTCGAATGAGTCAGCATTTGGCTTTCCAGGAACCAAGTGACGTTCGCCAGCGGCCGACTGCCCGAAGTCGTGCAAACGAGATCGTATCTCTTCTCCGATGATAGCGGCTCGTTCGCACCCTCTATATTGACTGTCAGCGGTCGCACTGCAAGCCAAAGAGAAAAATTCATAAATTTATACGTATTTCGTGCATCTGCGCGACTTATCGATCGATTCCTCGCAAACTACGTGTAAGCTACGTACGCGAATCTGCGTACGCGATAGGCGGAGCCAAAGGTGCGCTGCGACACCATGATACATCGTTAAAAGTTTTCTTTTTCCTCAACAATTTTCATCGGAAATTCGAATCAGTCAATATCCATCCTCGAAGTGAATATAAGGGAGTAAAAAGAAAAAGAAGCAGCTAGCTGCTGCTTGTACTGCTGTGAGCAACAAATGGCATTGATGGGAATTGACGTTGACAGATTTCCTTTCCGATCCGAGCTTCGTGCTCGGCGAGAAATACGCGTCATCCGTTTATGTATCGCGGCGCGAAAATCGCTTATTTTCTCGCGCGACCTCCTCATCAAGTGTTTTAGCTGTTGGAGCTTTCATGGAGCTGCAGCCGGGCTCTATATATCTGTTCGCGCCGAACTGTACACAGGCAGCCCCGGAGTTTGCGGCAAGATGAGATTCCGCGAATTTTTGCCGGCGGGCTGACGCGCGAGAAATTAGTTACTAGTTGATTAAGCATAGCTAGCAAGGACTAGCGCGGCCGAGAAAAGCCCCAGGGAGTATGAGAGGAGTCACGAATAACTCGCAGGAGGCAAAAGTACTTTGCTCTCTGCCCCGCTTTCTCGGCTTATATATACTCGGAGCTACGCGTTATACTTGGCTGCTATTCGCGGATGGGGCGAGGGGAGAGGAGCCCGCCTAGATAAAAGCGATTTTTTGTCTTCTCTCTCGCTCTGCAGCCGACAATGTTACATAGCCATCAGCAAAGGGGATTACCCATAGCATCTGTACTGAAAGCTCCAAGTGTAAATTATTCGCTCGGATTAAGAATGTATATTTATTGCGTTACGCTATCTTTTTTTAATCGTGCGCTTGCTTAACTAATGGCAATATAATCTGAAAAGATCGCTTCGCGACGATGGTATGGGCAAAAAATAATATAGAACTCGGCAAAGAAACTTGAGTAACTTCTCCTTGGCTACGTAAATAATATAATAAAATGAAGTTTAAACTACCGTTCGGATGAAATTTATTCTCCAAAGACAAGAAAAGTGTGCCAATTGTGGAATGTATGTCTATATGCCTATAATAAATACAACGTGCTCGAAACGAGCTGGTGTGCGTAAAAATCTATATAATACGTGCGTTTATGAAAGTTACCCTGATGAAGATAGAAAGTTTGCGGTATTGTCAGTCGAGTCGGCTTACTTGCGAGAAATAACAATTTTTTCGTTGTCGATGACTAATAGTTGGCGCTTAAAATTTTGCGACAAAGTTTATAACGAGGTAAACATTGCAGTGGAGCTGTATGGTTTAGAAAGTTGTTGCACAAAGTAGCTGCTGCTACTTGTCCTACGGAATCGTGCAAAAGTGTAAAATGATATCTCGGCATATCTTGTAATAAGCGCGAGCGCGAGTAATTTTTAATAGGTTTTCATTAAAAAGTATGTAGTAAAAAAAGGAATTTGAGAAGTTAATCTGTCGGCGTGACACGGACTGCGTATTATGTAGCTGCAGCCGAGTATTCAGTGTAGGTACATAGCCGAGTCGGCTGCAAGACGCGGAAAAGACGGAATATAACGCACGCAGCTGCAGGACGGATAGCTGCGAGTCGCTCGCTCCTACTATACAGCTCGTCGTCGTAGTCGTCGGAGCCGAGCACGCGCGCTATACTAAAACCATTAACTCTTAGTTAAGCGCATCAAATTTTCCCGCTTGTCCTCTTCCAGCACCATCAAGCCTTGCCAACGTAATTGGGAAAGTCAGCGATCTCCCGTTCCTCCGGGTTGCCGCCGCCGCCGCCGCCGCTGCAGTAACCACGTTAACTTTCCTAGCGAGTCAAATTACTATTACTCGACGGCTGTGGCTGTTATACATCTCTCTCTCTCTCTCTCTACAGAGCGAGTCGCGCGAGTATGTAAGTCGTCTTCGTCGAGAGCGCGAGTAATGGCGAAAATAATGACTCGTTCGGCAGAATAGTTCGTATAGACAAGAATATCAGACTAGCGCGTGAAAAGCGAAAAAATATCGTCGCCTCGTTGCGTGGCTGGTATCGTACACGACACGTATACGAGACCTCGTGGGCCGATTATAATTTCTCTCGATGCTCCGATGCTTCCTCGAGATACGTACTTTGGTTTTTCGTTCGAGCAGATCCGTGAAAGTATAGTTGCGGTGAGCTCGAGTCTACTAGTACGATTTGCTAAAAAAACCAGGCTTTACTTTTTGCCCCCTTGGCATTATGAGCCGGGGACCAGCGATAGACGAGCTGATTATGCATAATTGATTACAGCGGATTATTCGGCTGGGAGTTGGGGCGAGCTTTCGTCGGATAGCAATTGTAGCTACTAAAAGCTCGCGCAGCACGAGTGTATAAAGAGATGAGTGGCGACTGGCGACTTCCGAGAGAGGTGGTAGATTAGAGTAGTGAGTTGATTTGCATGATTCACGAGTGGCCCAATTCGACTGGCTTCGAACGAGTAGATGCGAGAGTCCGGCGAGGAGCGAGCTCGATGTATATATATATAGAAGGCCCGCGCGTATATATTATATACCCAAACTACGCACGGAATAACCTACTCTACGCGTTTCAGCCTTTATGCCGTCGACGTTGAACGTTCGCCTATATAGATGCGGTGTGCAATCATGCGCAAAAGTATGCCACATGTAGCTACGTGCAGTGCAGGCAGCGGTGGCCAATTGCAATTTGATAATGCAATCACTGTGTGGCAGTCCTCTGCAGCAGCTCCAGCGCCACCGATAGCTAGACCAACCGATACACGGACTCGCACCACTGCTTAATGTACGCAAATGCCGCCAAGGCTTTATTCGGCATAGTTGAATGAGAATTTAAAGCTCTTGTAAAATCCGTATCATAAACGAAAGCTCGACTAAATTTCAAGGTTATAGCTGCTTCCGATGCTGTTGACGCGTCAGGTATGCGCTCGTTTCGAATGAAAATCGAGTGCGATGCTTGCTGTGCAAACCTCATTTAACATCGCAAGAGTCAACGACGAAATGTACGGATCGATCGAGTTAATTTGTTTTTCTCAATTGCATCCTGCAAGCGCGAAGCCGCAAAAGCTACCTGAATATTTTTCCACTTTAGAGCTCGCTCAAAGGCACAGTTCGCTACATAAAATGTGGCATGAAATTGTTTTTCACCGTTGTGTCGCTCGTCGAGTCGATATTTTTTAATTGGATTTGGCACTGGAACAAGCGATCTAAATATTTCATTCGATCGGGAGATGCATGTGCGACAGTAGTGCGGAATTTTGGTCAGGCACGCCTCTGGCTAAAAACTCGAGAAACTGCTTTTTGGTTAAATGATAAATTTTTCCGTTTTGCTCGACAATTATCATTAGAGATAGCGAGAGCTTAAAGTGCGCCTGACACAACAGATGTTATCGAAAGACAGGAGGAGATGCCACCCGATATTCTTTGCTGTAGTGGCGGAGAAGCCCTTGGTTGTACGTGGCACACTTAGAACCTTCTTATCGCGCTCGTCTTTTTCGCCTCTCTCGCAGCTTTCTTTCTCTCCCACCCGTTTGCTCGTTTGCTTTCTTACTCTCTGGATGCATAGCTTAACCAAGTTGCACACAGGTAAGATGAAAAGATGGCTTTTGCTATACATTATACGCCTTCGTTTGTGAGACTGAAAGACAGAAAGAGAGAAGAGAGAGGGAGAACGAGAGAGAGGAAAAGAGAGAGAAAGAGAGAAAGAAAGATGAGTTGGCTGCGAGGGAAGGATTTATTTCTCTAGGTGCACTTCGAGCTCGAGGATTGTACGTAGCTTATGTACATGTATACGAAGCGAGCGCAAGAAGCGAGAAATGTTTATGTGCGAGTTCATGGAGCTCTCTCGACTCTCGGCCGTCGCCGCTTCGGCTATATTGCTTTATATATTCTTGTAAAGCTATTATACTATTCATTTTCATTTTTAACAAAACTTTTTTTTCCTACTTTCAATAAAACTTGAGTATTTTCGTATTTTGTATTTTCCTAATTCCACTTAAATTCCTACTTTTATTCTTCGATCGAATGCAGCGCAGCCACAGGAAATACTCTTTATATGTTTTTAGGAGCTTTAAAGCTATATCTTGTACTTTAATTCTCTTTCTCTGTCTATCTATTTCCTCCTGTGCGCACTGATTAATTAAATTTCGGTTCTCTTTGATAGATTGAATACTCGCCGAGACTGAATTATATGCTAGCATGTAAACAGCCATTACGACTGCCCTGAGCCCTGAATAAAAATCGATGAATGTCTATATATTTATTAATCAAATTTTGCCCGGCACAAAAGAGATGTTATTTCCGAATCTACCGATGGATAGCCCGAATAAAATGGCCCGGGGCACAAGCACGATACAATGGAAAATCATTAATTAATTTGAATAGCTTTTGGTATACGCTGCGAGGAAAAAGGTAAAGGCAAAAAAGAATCAGTGTCAACGTACGCGCTGGTAAATTCTTGCGCGTACTATATCTCATTGACACGTAAGCTCATCCCTCATAGTCGAGGGCATAAGTTAGGGAAATTCCTCGAAGGCCAGTGAACTAGCTGGCGAACTATCCCCCTCGGCCCAAGTGCAATTTTTTCCATCCTCGAGCTCTTTCCAATCTTGTTGTAAAGTTGGCACCCATCGAAGGCCCGTCGAGATTCCTTTAGCTAGTGTATACGTATATAGAGCGAGCAGCTGAGGGGTGGCTTGATTAAATAGCGGCTAACGCCGAAAGTTATTTTGGAAGGTAGGAGAGATCCTGTTCGCTCTGGAGGTGGGGAAGGTAAAACTCAATATTCCGAGCGTATAGTGCGCGCACTACGCTGAACAAGTTAAATCGCATTAGAGCGCGTGTGCAATGCCGCGCTGCTTCTCCGGCTGCTACTCGCCGGGTCAAGTCTGGCTCTGCGCAGCGGTGGTAGCGCAC